ACAATAGATGTCATGTATACCATCGCGGATCGTAACTAGACTGGTGTCTTGTAAATTCACTGCGGGATCATACCCTGCCGATGTCCTATATACCAGAGTGCGACGTACCCAAACCGGTTTCCTATAAAACCAACACGAGATCATACCCTGGCCGATGTCCTATAAATTCATCTATTGTGTTGATCTCATAACAGGGCACCTTTACGTTTGTATTAAGTTATCACACAATTCCAGTTGCAGTCAGTCACACGTTTAATATTGGATGATAATGTGAAGCAAAACAAAGTGTCTCTATAAGAAACATTTTGTTTTGATATCATTTATAAAATGTTGGAGGTAATATAGAAGCATAACAAAATAGTTTGGTTGTAGTTAATATAATGGTGGCAAATGCTAATGTGCACTCAAGGTGTAATATACACCTTCTTTCATACCTATTAGTTGTACTTTAATATATGTTGACAAATAAGAATCATTGGTTATTATTTTTTTGCATTAAATGAATTGTATGATTTGGATTAGAGAATTAGAGACTGTGGTTCACCCATTAGAGGCTATGGTATAGTATCATGTCTCAAACTCCGCTAATTCATGGTCTAAATAACAAAACTCGATAAGAGTACGGTAAGGTGACGTAGGCTAGCTTAAACTATGTACAACTTATGAAGTTGAAAATTGTTGGTCAATCAAAGATCAAATGGTCATGAATACTATTTTCCAAGTGGTGATGAAGTTACAGCTTTGTTTGACATTATTGTTGATCATAATTAAAACCTGGATTAAATGTAGTGTTCCTCATATTAGATGAAACACGGATAATCGATAACAATAATAAATAAATATGAAAAGTAGGAATCCGATACCATTGGAAAAATGACAGATAATAGAAGGAAAAATACAAACAAATAACACTCGTCGCTCATCGGGCGGGCGCAAAACTAGTTTAGTACCATGGTTATTTTGTTGTAAAGACCTATGAGAGGAGGTTCACGCGATTTGCATACTCTCGTGCTAAATGCTAATTTTTTATTACCCATAAAAAATATTGAAATTATCAATTTAATTTATATACATATATTAAACATCTTATACAAATTTTGTACATTTTTAATATGAGAGCCATTAAATGGGCGTGAAAGAATCGAAATGGTTTGTTAAAGGAAATTTTTAAATTTATAAAATATGTGTCCATATATACACATATTAAACAAAGTATTTACTACTTTAAATTAATAATATTATTTCATCGTTATAAAAAACAAAGTATTTACTAATTATGCTATGTACGGATAAAGGTATTGTTCACTCCAAAAAAATGAGGATAGATGTATTGTTATTTGAGATGATTGAAAGAGCAGTATTGAATTCCTAATCTCTTTCTCTAATATTTACCTTTGACCTATTCCATGAAATTATCTTCTCAATCCCTAACTCTTATTCTCAATCCTTAAATCTAATCACTTGGTTTCCATCAATAACACCAGAGCAGAGCAAGATGAGTTCATAACAACTCACCACTCATGAATTGACTGAATTGTTGCAAAGTTTACTTCAGCGAGCCATCAGTAAAAAGGGTTATGGGACCCTAGTTGCTACTAGGACATGAGGCGACTAAAGTTGAACCATAGTGGTGAAGGTGGCCAATAGCATTCCCATGACATTTGCAGGCTCTCTTGACTAAGTATGTGTTGGTATTTTTTTTATGATATTGTGATTCACAGTCCAACATGGGAGGACCTGACCATATGCACCATTTACAGGAAGTTTTTTACAACAACACTAGCAGTACGTGAAGGCTTCGAAGTGCACATTTGGGGTATAAAAGGTGGATTATCTTGGACACTTTGTCTCCCATAAGGGAGTACATGTAGACCAATCAAAGATCAGAGGCACGCTAAATTGGTCGGCTCCGGAAAATGTGATCGAGCATAGAGCATTCTTGGGCTTGATGGGGAACTACCAGAAGTTTTTTTTTAAGGGATTTAACTAGATTGCAAGACCCACTGACCGCCTTATTGAAGAAGGGAGGGTTCAAATGGGGCCCTGTGGCTGAGGAGGCCTTTCTGTCTTTGAAGACCGCGATGACTATGATGCTAAATGTGGTAGCTGGTGGCCTATCCAAAAGTCAAGAAGGCACGATCCTCGTCACGTTCATGATACTAGTGCCACAATTATGGGACGAGTTGTGGACAACCATTGAATCCAGCCCTTATTTGCCATAATGTTGCGGCGTAGCCATCAGTGAGCAACTAGGAGGCAAAATTTATAAGCATGGTATAATATTATACCAAGGGAGGTTCATTTTGACAATCGGAGCTTCATTAGTCACTACTGTAATGAGGAGTTCCATTACTCACCTCTTGGGGGCATTCAAGACATCGAGAGGACTTTCAAAAAATCAGAGCTCACTCTTATTGCTTGAGGATGTTACATGATGTGAAGCATTAAAACCAGTATGTGGTACTTTTCAGAGGGTCAAGTCCTTCTCCCTATGGTCGGCGGGTCTCCTTCAACCATTAACTGTGCCAGAACAGGTGGGTGAGGACATTAACATGAACTTCATTTTCATTGTGGGGTTACCGTCTTTTGGAGGTAAGGCAATATTGTTAGTGGTGGTTGATTGGCTCATGACTGTACATGGGCGTTGGGCCGTGCTTGGGCCGGCACAACACGGGCACGCTTCGGGCCTATTTATTTTGTGTCGTGTTTGGCACGGCCCGTCAGTTTTCGTGTCGTGCCATGCAAGCCCATATGTTAATTTTGCTAAACCCGGCCCAGGTTCGGGCACGATTCGAATCGTGTCGTGCCTATTAGTGCTCGTGCCATTCTCGTATTTGTATTTAATGAAAAGGACAAAAATAAAAGAGAGAATGAAAAAAGAAGGTGAAAATTGGACGGAGGAAGATAGTATTAACCGATAATGTTTGAGAAAAGTAACAAATAAGGGGGAAAAGAAAATTGGAAGTATAGCGAGTATGATTTGGCTTTGTTTAATTATTTGCCCATTTTTACTTATATTAGTAATTACGTATATATCTTTATGAAACTTCTAACAACAACAAATAATTATTTTTCTACGTGTGTTTTGTAATATTTGAACCTATAATTTTTTTTATATTTTTTTATATCAAATAAATATTATTTTCATGTCATGTCCGTTCTTATATTCAATAAAGTCTTGAAAATATTAGGCCCGGCATGACCCACTAATATATCGTGTCGTTCCCGTGCTCGTGCCCATTAAGTTTAGCCCCGACACGGCCCGTAAATTATTTGTACTCGTGCCTGGCTGGCCCATTTATTTCGTGCTCGTGTCGTGCTCTAACCGTGTCGTGCCGTGTTAGCCCATGGGTGGCACGACCCAGTGCCCACGTACACTCATGACGTATGCTAACTTTAGGATTTTGTCCCATCCTTATACCGATACATATAAATTTGTGTGGAGAGTCATTCATCATCATGTGTTTCAAAGACATTGTCAATATTTGTTATACTTGTAGAATTTTTAGCAATAGGTCTTCTTAAGGCGCAAACTGAGCTATGGATGAGTTTGGCTAATCATGCGCAATGGGCAAAGCTATGGTACAATACCATATATCACATGATGGTCATGTTACCATTTGAGGCATTGGATGTGGTGGATCATTAGCTGGTGACAAGGGATGAGGCATTGGCTCAATTGAAAGCAACTTGACCAGTACCAACCATAGGATAAAACAGGTGCCAAACACTGGAAGGAGGTACTAGAGACGCGATAGACCCAAGTGAGGGAAATTAATGGACGAGAGCTTCATTCGAGGTCAGCACGTGAATCCAGAGGATGGTGTGTGGGAGGACACAACGATCATTCATCAAATCTACCATACCTTCGACCTTGAGTGCAAGGTTTGTTCTGCAAAGGAATGAACTTATGAAAACCCAACTAGTGGCGTTGGGTCGACTATCTACTCCAGCCCTTTATTACTATTATTATTTTATTAACTTATTTTACAGAATAACTATGTAATGATTGGTACATTGTTATTTGAGATTACGAAAAAAAACTGTTAGGCCGGGCACTAAGCCACAAGGCCTGAAGGCCCAAATTGCATTCAAAGCCCACGTAGGAGCCGGAAAGGCCCAAAATAGAAGAAAACAGCCAAGGGCGGTCCTAACCATCACGTTGCGAGAAGACCGCCCGACAGGGAACCTTGCCTCAGGTAAAGAACCGCCCGACAATCTGGCTTTACCGTACGAAGTCTGACGAGGGACGTTGGAAAAGCCAGAGGCGCCATAGACCGCCCGACACGACATTAAATGCACATAACTCAGTCTAAACTAGTATAAATACCCCTCATAGGGTCACATTTATGGTAACTTCAACCAACTCCTTTCTCTCTCTTATTTATTTTCACTTCACTTCTCTCTCTAACTTAAGCATCGGAGGAGGTCCCAGGAACCCCCTGAGGACCTTTCTGCAGGGTTCGGAGACCGCCCCCGACCATCGAAGCCGCCCAAGGCGAGTAGAGTCTCACAAACCGCTTGGAACAATCCAAGCACAAACAAAAACAATATTGAATCCTTAATCTTCCAATTCTCCTTTATAAGAGTGCGCCAATGATCTATTTAGTATATTATGCTGCAGTTAATATTGAAAAAAAGAAAACAAGTTTGTAATGAAATAAGTCCAACACTAGACCGTAACCGAGAGTATTCTCAATGAACTCGATGACCCACTATTTTCTGGAGACCAACAATCGAGAGGGCTATTCATCCATCCAACCACTTTAGCCCAATATTGTTAACATATTTTGTGTTGACTTGACCAACACGGGGAGCTACTAAAGCCATCTATGCGACACCCTACAATACCCTAGTTAGTGGCGTAGCCAGAAGTTCATCTAATGTAGGTCCAACGTGAAAAATATAACGTATGTTTTAGAATATGGTTTTATATTCTAAAAAGTTTCTAAAATACGTTCATCTTGCATATTATGAGTGATGTTAAGATACCCAATTGTAAAAGCATTCATGATTTAATCGCCCATCTGACTCTGAAGTGTTTCTTCATGTTGTTCTTTGCATTAAGTGCTCTTTCAACACTTACAATGTTGACTGGTAGCAACAAATGCTGCTAGGTTTTTGTTTGTATTAAACTCAATTACATAAAGTGAAATAGAGATCATAAAATATTGTTTGTTATTAAAGTTGTTTAAACAATAAGAAAATATTGTACAATTCACGATCACATAAAAATTTACCACATTTTTTGGGTCAAGGTGGTCGTGCAAATAACCTACCTTGGCCTCTAGTGATACGTAGAGAGACAGAAAAAGAGAGGAGAGGAAAGAAATACGGATGACAATGGATCGGGTTGGATTTTGCAAAAACCAAACCATGGGTATATCCACCAAAATAACCAGGGATAAAATTCATTGGGTTAGAAAAACTCAAACCCAACCCGCAAAACAATAAACGAGTTTAAACCCGAACCCGTTTCATAATTTTACAATACAAGTTTTACCAACGTTAACCGAGTTGGATCGGATAAGGTACCCGTGGGTTCAGATTATTTTGCCATCCCTATAAAGGAAGGATGGGGAGAGATAGTGAACTAGGATGTTAATAGCTTATATATATATAATTAATGTAAAATTGCTAAATGATACATGATAATTTAAAAAAATTGATTTATTAAAATTTTAAATTAGTACCTTATATGTATATATATTAGAAAATATATAAAACAACTCAGGTTGAATCTTGATCAAATCATTAAATCTCAAACCACTTCTTTGACTTGCTAAACGACTTAAACCAGTTTGACAACCTTGTTAGCAGCATTCTCGATGCGTCTTCGTAATTAGACTTCTAGAGCCGTTACCCTTCATAAAGAAAGTTAGCATAAGATTATTAATGAAAATTAGAAAGTAGTATTAACATGACTCGTACTCAAATAATATGTTTTGTTGGTTGCAAAATTATTTTATTTACGGAATTGATTTTATTATGACAAAAAACAAGATAATGGAAAACAAAACAATGACATTATACAAATAATTAATTTAATAATGACTCATCTAAAAACTTTTAAACACACCATACATTCTCAAATATCAAATTTTATTTTATAAATGACTCATGCAAACAACCGCAGATAGCTTCAACTGTTAGTCAATCTCACTAACTCTGCTACGATTTTAACTAGCCAATCTAATCGATTTTCTTAAATACCGTGGATCAAAAGCGACCAACTAGAATGCCAATTCTTCCAGCTCCCCATCTGTTGATGAGTTTAACAACTAAGCCGTTCCAAAAGTTTTTCCCAGTAACAAGAAGCCAAGAAGTGAACACTAACACAGATGTTCGCAAAATTCCTATAAGATGTCCAAGAATCAATGCAGGGAGGGTGTTCTACCAATCTCTCTAACCTTGTCTGCTATCTCTTTTCCCGTTCCCGTTACAACCTTGTTACAGCTCTAAACAACACAGAGGATCTACAGCCTACATTTAGTGTGGAACATATTTGAGGGTATCAAGTCTAAAGAAGAAATGAAATAATAGTGAGCAACAGACTAATCCCCTCCCGCGATGGGGTTGTGACAATTTACAAGCTATTCTCGTTTCAACATTCAGTATCGGATGACATGACGACGCAGCCAGAGATCATACATCACCATGTGGAATGCATCGTACTTAATCGGTGGCGAATTCCACTGGAAGTGCTTCTGTACCTGTAATAGTTAGGATCACACATCACTATTATAGGTAGATGCAGCTCAAAAGTAGTGTTAGGCGAGTGACAAAATTTGGGATACGACTTTGCTACCTTGGCTACATTTTTATTCAACTCAAGAAACTTCTCATCTGGTATGTCTTTGAGGATCTGCTTCAGCTGATACACGTCTTTCTCTTTCAATACAATGGCGAATTTGCTCCAGTCAATGATGTCGTTGAATGGCAGGTCATAGTAGTTGGATAATATTACTGCAAAATGCGATAATGACAAACTGAACTCAGGATGATTTCAATACTGTACGTACAAACCAAAATCCATACAATACATAGCTAGCTCTGTCCTAATTCATTGGCTACAAGATATGTGGAATCATTCAAGAGTTCCGCACTCAATTGTTTCCCATGTTATATGAAAAGACTTGGTAGTTGGTGCATAAGAGGTTTGTGTCATGGCTTTCATGCCATGGTACAAAAGTAACAGAAAGACTCATTCAGTGATAAATTAATGGTTCCCTTCCCTCTCCTAATTATACAGTTAGCTATGGCGCTCAAAGAGATAATGTCTGGAATCCACATAGACAGCAACACAAATGTACTATGCTTCCAGTTATATAAGTGGAAACGTGATTGACCGTGATAGCATCAAGACTTACCAGGAACACATCCATAGTGGATTGAGTCGGTTATTCGAGCACTGTTGACCTGAGAACCTCCTGGGCATATGCAAAATTTAGTCTTGTAAAATCTCTTCTGATAAACTAGATGTCCTGTGGCCCTACTTATTCTGTTGTTCGAAATATCGAGCTCCGTATCATTTTCCCAAACACGTGCCAGTATAACTCTAATTCTAGAGTTCCTATGGCCAGCCCAGAAGCCAAGAGTAGTCCTGCAAACCATGCTTCTGGTTAGGGGATAAGGTAGATCACTTTCATTGACATCAACATAGTAAATAATAAATCAATCCAAGTGCTGGTTAACAATTTTATTTCAATATGTAAAAGCTCTGTACTTCAAATACAAAACTCGAACTTACAGAAGCAGAACAAGCTGGCTTCTGAGAGTTACCTGTTTTCCGCATCATTGCCTCCAGCTGGAAGAGCGAATGGCTGCAGAACTTGAGGAAGTGCAATATCTTTGTGTGGAATGAATCCAACGTCATAACTTGGGGAACATACTGCTCGAATTGCATTTTTCACAAGAAATGGAACACCTTCAGTTGCTCTTACACCAACATCATGACATGTAACGAAAAAGTGATCTGCCCCAAGAGTCCTGTTCCAGTAAGGATATTTGGCTATCAAGCCATCCAGATAATTCTGAACAATTATGGTCATGTTTTCATAGGAAGTACCCTGCGACAACCATAAGAAATTGACACACAATTAGCAGAGGAAGGATGAATTTTTGACAGGATAATTATTATCAGATAATAAGGTATAACAGCATCACTATCAATTAATTCTTCATAACCTAATAAATACTTTAACATTTGTCGCATGAGTAAGGTTTTAAGCAACGATTTTCAAAAGAAAAGGGTATGGTCAACATGACAATAATACCAAGTAAAGCAATCAAAAGATAGAGACTTGTAGCTAAACCAGAAATGTCTCAAGTTGAAAACCAAACCAAAGACGATTCAATGGCTATGAACTGCTCATTCGTGAAACAAACAGTAGACTGAAAGATGATAGCAAAAACTGGCAACATAAGCTGGATAAGAATTCCTAAAACTAGGTTCGTACAACCAGCATAAGTCTCAGCAGATTAATACACCCTTGTGAATCTTCATTTCATGCAAGAGTTGCTAACAGGCCGAGCAGTATATCAGTCCACTGACACAGATTATTCTATTTACCATTTTGTGCTAGTCACCTAATCAACAAGACTAAAAGTTTGAGGCGAAAAAATGCAGAATCTACTATCCATGTGCTGAGTTACAACTCTCCACAGGAATGCAAGGATGCAAAAATTATTCCGCCCTAGTTCACAGTCCTAATTTAGAAAGCCTGCCGACTTCCAGAAGTCAACAACAAAATGAAGCATTACAATCATAATAGCATGACAGCAAGTAATTAGCAATCAATTCTAAATCATGCTATAATTCCCAGGAAAGATCCACGAAACATAATTTTAGATAATGAACTAAAGCTATTCCAAGATGGGCGATCAGCATGTAACGCAACCATAGCCAAAGATTTTACAGGAAACTGATTCTTCTTCCCTTATCTTCAAATTCCTAAGACATCATCCAACTCTAAAAGATATTGCAAGTACTCTGCACTCGGTAAGTGTAAGCCAGAAACTCCACCCTAACTCTAGAGTGTATCATTCTCATCGAAATCCTAGCATGATAACCGAGCAGCTTTGTTGCAGTAAAATGTCAACATGACGATAACGAAATGAAATGCTACAAACTTGCAGGGGAATCTTTAAACAATGTCCGAAAACGTCCAGACAACAATGGCCCTGATCATACAACCGAAACTTGGAAGACCGTTTACTTCTCTTACATTCAGTCCTAAAACTAACTACAGTTTTGCAAGCTGTGACTAACAAAATTATCAAATGCCAATGCACTGCACCAAGCTTTTCCACTTCAACAAGAGAAAAAGAAGCAAACCAAGACAGCTCTGCAAAGCAGAAGTACAGTAAGTAAAGGAAAACATCCATTACAGAGCTGAATTTCCTGTCAAGAACTTTCTCCTTACCTTGCCTCGCATTTTATGACAAGAAATCGGGATAAAGAAGAGGTGAGCCTGATCCGGATCTTCAGTCCTGAACTTACTTTCTCTAATGTTCTGGAAGAAGTAGCCCTCGCTCGCGTACTTCCCCGTCAATTTCCTCGGCGTCTGATAAAACGTTTTCGGATCACCGTCCGGGTAGATATAAACCTTGAAATTCTCCTCCATAGCCGCGTAATTCAACTTGAATACCTCCGGGTAATGGTACAGATCCGTAATCTCGTCATCGCCGTCGCTCCTCCCTACCTCCGCATTTCCGCTCTCTTCTTGCCCCGCTGAAGCCACCGTCTCTCTTTGCACCAGTTGAATAATTTGCTTCCCGGAGGCTGAGGATGCGGTGGGAGAGGACTGCGCGGAGAAGGAGATTGAGGAGTGAAGAGAGTTAAGGGACAGGTAAGTGAGGGAGACGAAGGTTAGGATTGCGAGAGAGAGGAGGGAGCCTCTGAGAGTGAGCATTGATTGCTGCTGAAACTTGCTGGCTGACATCGCAGGGGAGAGGTACCACGGCGGATACGGATCGATGTCGGCGGCGAGTTCGCCGGCGCCGGCTGCAGCTTTGGTGGAGTGTGTAGCTGGGATCGGGACCTTGGAGTGATCAGTGATCAGCCAGTGGTGGGGAGTGGGGACTGTCTTTCCTCTTTCGGAAGAGATCCAGGAGATGAATCAGATGATGATTTCGTCGTCGTTGTGTGCGATAAATTGTCCAGGGAAGGATTGTCCACATCAAATGTAGGATTGTCCAACAATCCACATTAACAAGCCCAAAACAAGTAGCAGCCGTGGGCTCAGTTAGGGATGGCAATGGGTCGGGTTGGGTCGGGTTTTGCCAAACCCAAACCCAAACCCATGGGTTTATCCGTGAAAAAAACCTGGGGTAAAACACACTGGGTTTGAAAAACTCAAACCCAACCCAACCCGCTGGGTATCCGCGGGTTCATGGGTACCCACGGGTTTTTGTCGTAAAAAATTTACAATAACAAGTTCCTATCAAAATTAAAGTCAAATATCAATCTCTCAATACAAATTATCCATATTTAAAACACCATTCTAGAAAATTCAAGCAAATCACAAATTAACTATACAAATTGTTCAACACCAATCTAGAAAACTCAAGAAAATTGAAGTAAATCATAAATTATCCATAAATAACATATTAATTGAAGGCTTCTTCCTTTCAATTAAGTTTCTTCACTCTCCACTCGATAACACAAACTTCATTCTACACAATTAGAAAGAAAAAATTAGACATGTCTCCACAAACATAAATAAGATTAGTTGTTTAAAATATTAAATATACCGAGAAAATTAATTATATGTGTGGGCGGGTACCCACGGGTCGGATTTACCTAAACCCAAACCCAACCCAACCCGGTGAATAGTGAACGGGTTTAAACCCAAACCCGACCCAAAACCCGTCAACACGGATTTTACCCGCGTTGACCGGGTTGGGTCGGGTGGGTACCCGTGGGTTCGGGTTTGGTTGCCATCCCTAGGCTCAGTCGCTCAGACGTAAGACACTGATCCTACACTCAGGCTCAATCCTATCCTTTCACACCCTTCACGGCTCGGTCCTTCCCTTCCCTTCCCTTCCCTATTTCCTGATCTCGCAAACCTTAATACTTCTCTCGAATCATACGACGCCTTTTGATGGATTTGTTTTCGCGAGCGAAAATTGAACACGCTGCTTCCGCCTGCGACATACAGACGTGTTGGGCGCAGCGGGTGAGAATAGCGGGTAAATATATTGCACTAAGAAATCACACGCTTGTAAAAAGTTCACAAATAAGTTGGACCTGGTGGCAGAGCCTCCAGAATTACGGTAACCAACTTACTTAGATCAATTTACTTCGGTAATTTAATAATGCAATATACTACGACTATTCTCAAAATAACAACAAGCATAGATAATAATAAATGACACCGAGGATTTACGTGGTATACCCTGATTTTGGGCCAGTCCACGGGAACAGCAGCTCCGGAGTATTTCTTTACTATAACAATGATAGGTTACAGAGATTTTCTCGATACAAGAAATAGAACACACGGTGTTTCCAAAACAACCTCACTATTTCACTCACAAGGAAATCTCCTATCTACCCGTGGTAGTGAAAACGTTTCACTACCAAAAACCCACAAAAGAAATACGAACAGAAGCAGAACAAAGGAAATGGAGAATGATGGAATGTTGAAGGATGATGGAAATGAGGCTACTGCCTCTGCCTTTTATAGGCTAATGGGAGACAAAGGGAAATGAATTCCCACCTGCTCACTCACCTCCCCAACTGCATTCAGTGACTTTGTTGACATTTTTTTTTTTAATTTCCACCGCCAGCTGAATTGCTGGCCTCTTCCTCACCATATGTAGGCGGACAACAATTCTCCCCCGCCTGACTACATAGATGACTTCGTCATCCCTGCAGCTGATCGACAAAACTCAAACTTTTCTCTTGGAAGAGTCTTGGTACACATGTCAGATCCATTTTCGTCAGTATGGATCTTCTCCAATTGTAGCTGCTTCATTTCAAGTACATCACGAATCCAGTGATATCGAACATCGATATGTTTTGATCGAGCATGAAATGAAGCATTCTTCGCAAGATGAATAGCACTCTGACTGTCACAGAACAGCTGCGGTTGTTCCTGTAGGAACCCAAGTTCATTCAGGAACTTCTTCATCCAAATCATCTCCTTGCATGCTTCCGTTACTGCTATATACTCAGCTTCTGTTGTGGAAAGAGCTACACACTTTTGTAGCCTTGACTGCCACGATATTGCTCCCCCTGATAAGGTAATCAGGTACCCAGAAGTGGACCTCCTCGAATCAACATCACCTGCCATGTCAGCATCTGTATAGCCAACAAGGACAGGTTCACCATCTCCAAAACATAGACTCATTTTGGAGCTACCTCGAAGGTATCTGAGGATCCACTTCACAGCTTCCCAATGTTCCTTTCCTGGTTTTGAAAGAAACCGACTGACAACTCCAACTGCATGAGCAATATCTGGCCTTGTACACACCATGGCGTACATCAAACTTCCCACTACTGAAGCATATGGAATTTTATCCATCTCCGCCTTTTCCTTCTCAGTAGACGGGCTCTGTTTGGATGTCAATATAAAGTGGTTAGCAAGAGGACAGCTAACCGCCTTAGCATTATCCATGTTGAAACGTTGAAGTACTTTCTCAATGTACTTCTCTTGTGACAACCATATCTTCTTGGCACCTCGATCCCGAACGATCCTCACGCCAAGAATTTGCTTTGCTGGTCCCAAGTCTTTCATGGCAAAAGACTTGCTCAACTCCTTCTTCAAATCATTGATCTTTGAGACGTTATGCCCAGCAATTAGCATATCATCCACATAGAGCAAAAGTATGCTGAAATCTCCATCAGGAAATTTCTTCACGAACACGCAGTGGTCTGAAGTAGTCTTCATGTAGCCTTGCTCCCCCATAACAGACTCAAACTTCTTATACCACTGTCTTGGTGCCTGCTTCAAGCCATACAAGCTCTTACGGAGCCTGCACACATAGTCCTCCTTTTTCTCCTTCTTGAAGCCTTCTGGTTGCTCCATGTAAATCTCTTCCTCCAAATCACCATGAAGGAAAGCAGTTTTCACATCCATTTGTTCAACCTCCAGGTTAAGACTTGCTGCTAGTCCCAACACAGTACGAATGGATGTCATCTTCACCACAGGTGAAAATATCTCGTCAAAGTCAATGCCTTTCCTTTGACTGAAGCCTTTCACAACTAGTCTGGCTTTGAAGCGTGGCTGACGGTTGTGTTCATCATGTTTAATCTTGAACACCCACTTGTTCTTCAAAGCTCTCTTGCCTTTGGGCAATTTCACCAGCTCAAATGTCTTGTTCTCATACAAGGAATCCATCTCGTCTTGCATGGCTTCTATCCAACTTTGCTTGTGTTCATCATTCATAGCTTCTGTGAAACTTTCTGGTTCTCCCCCGTCAGTAAGTGACACGTATTCAGTCTCAGGATATCTGGTAGAGCGTCGTGTGACCCTACCAAATCTCGTCATTTGAACAGGAGAACCCTCAATGGCTGGTGGTTGACCATCGTCATCAGCATCTTCTGGTTGAACCTCCACAGGAGCATCTTGTTCAACTATCTCAGGCTGATCATGTTGTGCTTCTTCTCCAACTTCTGTAAGCGCCGGCGTTGGAGGTACTAGCCCAAGGCTTGGTTGACTAGCATCAGTACTAGGAACTTCTTTCCTAGCAACAACATCTTCGATGGTCTCATTTTCGATGAACACAACATCACAGCTTCTGATAAGCTTCTTCTGGATTGGATCAAAGAATCTATAGCCAAACTCATTTTGACCATAGCCAATGAATACGCATGGTCGCGTCTTTGAATCCAACTTTGACCTTTCATCCTTTGGAATATGGACAAAGGCCTTGCAACCAAACACCCGCAAATGTTTGTAGGAAACTTCTTTTCCTGTCCACACCTTCTCTGGGGCGTCATACTTCAGTGGCACACTGGGTGACCTGTTCCATACGTAAACTGCTGCAAGCAGTGCCTCCCCCCAGAAATATTGTGGTAGCTTCGAGTGTGATAACAAGCACCTGACTCTCTCTAGCAGGGTCCTGTTCATCCTCTCAGCTAGCCCATTCAATTGCGGCGTCTTTGGTGGTGTGAATTGCTGCCGAATTCCATGTTCCTTATAAAAGGTAGCAAACGGACCTCTGTACTCTCCACCATTGTCAGTCCGGATGCACTTCAGCTTCTTGCCAGTTTCCCTCTCCACCAGGACCAGGAATTGTTTGAAAACGTCTAGGGCCTGATCCTTGGTCTTCAAGGTATACACCCAAGTCTTCCGTGAATGGTCATCAATGAATGTCACGAAATATCTGGCACCTCCAAGTGATTTGACATTGACATCGGGTTCACAGAGATCTGAGTGAACTAGATCCAACACGTTCTTCGCTCTTGAAGGGATGGAACTTTTGAAAGCAACTCGGTTTTGTTTTCCCGCAAGGCAATCGACACATTTCTTTAGATGAACATGATCCAACCCAATTATGACTTTCTTCTGGGCCAACTTTGCCATGGACTTCTCACTCATGTGACCGAGCCGTTTGTGCCACAATTCAATTGTGTCACCATTCTCTGCTGAATTGACAATCTCTGGGGAGATCTTGGCTTCCGTCACATACAGCTTTGACAGCTTCTTGCCCTTGGCCAACACCAAGGAGCCTCTGGTGAGTTTCCACTGGCCATTGTGGAAGGTGTTGCAGTAACCTTCCTCATCCAACTTGTCTACAGAGATGAGATTCAGGCGCATTTCTGGAACATGCCTGACATCCTTCAGCAGTAGCTTTGTACCATTCATCGTCTCCAAGCAGACTTCTCCTTTTTCGATAACTTTGGAAAGATTACTATTTCCCATTCTTACCACACCAAAGTCACCTGGTGTGTAAGATGAGAAAAATTCTCTCTTGGACGTCACGTGGATGGTAGCACCACTATCAACCACCCAGCTTGTCTCCTGGGTTGTCAGGTTGACAACATCTTCCTCGTAGACAATATTGAACTCATCTACAGAGTTTGCACCATCATCATCACTGTTCTCATCTCGTTTGCCCTTCTTTCTCTCATTTCTGAACTTTGGGAAAAATCTTCTGATGTGGCCCTTTTCCTTGCAGTGATGACATTGGATGTTGGCAAACTTGTTGGACTTCCCTCGACTCTTGCCTCTTTGCTTTGAGCCTCTAGCTTTACTTCTTCTTCTGCTTCTGGAATCCACTGTCAGAAGGTCTGACTGGGAAGATGATGAGGATGCACCTTGTGATCTTTTTCGCATCTCTTCGTTCAGGACTCCGCTTTTGACAATCTCCATGTCTATAACTCCATCTTTCGCAGAGTTGGTAAGTGAAATTTTTAGCGTCTCCCAAGATTCTGGAAGGGAAGCCAGAACGAGGAGAGCGACCACCTCATCTTCCATCTTTATGCCCATACCAGACAACTGATCCACGATCCCTTAAATTTCGTTCAAGTGATCCGTCAAGGATTTGCCTTCCTTGTATTTCATTTGGACCAACTTGGTCAGATAAAATAATTTGTTGTTGCCGGTCTTTGATGCATAAAGTGCCTCCAGCTTGTTCCACAGAGTTCTGGCATGAGTTTCTCCGCTAATGTGGTTGTATACATTATCGTCGACGAACTGTCGAATGTAGCCACATACTTGCTCATGCTTGAACTCCCATTCCTCTTCAGTTTTGCCATCAGGTTTAGTTGGGCTAAACACCGGCAAATGCAACTCTATCACAAGTAGGAGATCCTTCATCTTGTTTCTCCATATGTGATAGTTGGAGCCATTCAGACTTATCATCTTGCTTGTTTTTGCCTCCATTGGACGTGGCTCTGATACCACTTGTTGGGCGCAGCGGGTGAGAATAGCGGGTAAATATATTGCACTAAGAAATCACACGCTTGTAAAAAGTTCACAAATAAGTTGGACCTGGTGGCAGAGCCTCCAGAATTACGGTAACCAACTTACTTAGATCAATTTACTTCGGTAATTTAATAATGCAATATACTACGACTATTCTCAAAATAACAACAAGCATAGATAATAATAAATGACACCGAGGATTTACGTGGTATACCTTGATTTTGGGCCAGTCCACGGGAACTGCAGCTCCGGAGTATTTCTTTACTATAACAATGATAGGTTACAGAGATTTTCTCGATACAAGAAATAGAACACACGGTGTTTCCAAAACAACCTCACTATTTCACTCACAAGGAAATCTCCTATCTACCCGTGGTAGTGAAAACGTTTCACTACCAAAAACCCACAAAAGAAATACGAACAGAAGCAGAACAAAGGAAATGGAGAATGATGGAATGTTGAAGGATGATGGAAATGAGGCTACTGCCTCTGCCTTTTATAGGCTAATGGGAGACAAAGGGAAATGAATTCCCACCTGCTCACTCACCTCCCCAACTGCATTCAGTGACTTTGTTGACATTTTTTTTTTAATTTCCACCGCCAGCTGAATTGCTGGCCTCTTCCTCACCATATGTAGGCGGGCCAACAAGACGGACTGACGGAGGATGCGATGGCGCCGCCTAGGCTCTCCGGAATGCAGAAGCAAGTTCTCAGCCTCTACCGAGGCTTTCTGCGTGCAGCTCGCTTGAAATCTCCCGACGATCGGAAGCAGATCGAAGCCGTCATCTCCGCCGAGTTCCGTCGCAATTCCGAGCAAGTGGATCGGAAGAACTTCGTCTACATCGAGTACTTGCTCAACCGCGGCAAGAAGCAGCTCGATCAGCTTAAGAGCCCCGGCGTCATCGGCTTATCTTCTTTCAATGTCGGTCAGCGATAACTAAAATTCAAGCATTCCCCTTTTTGGGTAATTAGAGGATTGATGATCTGCATTTTTTTTTGTATTTTTTACTCCGGCATGAGTTAATATTTTCGTATGGCCTGAATTTTGACCAAAATAAACATCCTTGTCAATCTTTTCGATCTATAACATCTTGGCCCGAACTATACACCAAAATAAATAATTTGACCAAACTCGATGTTAGTCAACGCGCCACGTCATTACCAAGTCAGAAGATCTGATAAATATTTATTTATTTTTTGTTTTTTATATTTGGTTTAACTAAGGTATTAGATGATTTTTTTAATTTATATTAATTTAAAATTAGGAAATGTGTGGAAATTGTGAATTATTTTAAATATTTTATGCTAACTTGGTAGTGACATGGCGCGTTGACCAACGGTCAACGCGTTTGACCGTCCAAGTTAACGATCAAAAGTCGGATCTGGCCAAATTGTTTATTTTTGTGTATAGTTCGGGCCAGAATGTTATAGATCAAAAAGATTGGCCAGGATGTTTATTTTGGTTAAAGTTCAGGCCATAGGAAAATATTAACCCAAACTTCAATCCTATTCAAGGTTATTAAGAGGAGGAGAAAGGTCCCATCCATATGTAACACTTCTAATCATATAAAAAATCTTTTTGACTAGCAAACTTCAATGAATAACAGTTATGAAGTACATTATAGATGTGGCTACAGAATATGGAGGAATATGCCCCCTGCAACTGCAACGTTGAGGGACTCGAAGTCTCTAGCCATTGGTATGATCACCAGCTCGCATCCCTCGTTGCCCAAAACCAAGCACAGCGGGACATCTGATAGAGAATCAGCGAGTCCTGGAGATAGATGGGATACTGATCTGTCACGGACCAACTCTTGACCGTGCAACACTTAGCACTCAAATCTCATTAGAACGCTAAATCAGTCTTGCTCGTATTCACTCAAACTCATAAGTGTTGAAGAAAACTCTATAGATGGGAACTCTCTATTTCTGGATGAATGACAAATGAGGAGGGTTGCTTATATAGGTATCCTCTCCACTAAGTACAATGTATGTGTGCATCATAAATAAACGAACCTAGAAGTCCCCCCCGTACATGAACTTGCCCCATATATGAATGATAGTAAATTAGTTGAATTCATGTGCACTCATACATGAATCGTAATAAATGAGGGGGATGTATGTACATTGAAGCATGAATCTAGAGATGCATGCATGTGCCTACACCCTTCTAGAATCTTCCTCGTGACATATCCGGGTGGCCGGCTAGCAGTCTCATATTGAAGATGATGCCCGGTGCCAGAAACTATAGGAACTTGGAACAAAGCTCCCCGGCTTGCTCGCAAACCTTTGTCATTGAATGGATCACAACACCAGGAAGTAGGAAAACTCCACCCTGTTTAACAATATGTATATATATATATATATATATATATATATATATGTAGTTTCCCGTGAGAGCCAAGAGCTTTGACATAAGAAAGGGAGAAAACTTTCACTCTGCTTACTCATTTGAAAGCCACTGATGATCTGAGTAATGTGCCAAGATTGCCACATCATGTAGAAAACAGAACGAATCTTGTTGAGTTGGAGATGGGTTTTTCATATTCAGGCCATCAACAAGGTAGGAAAAACTAGATTGTAACCTCGATCCCTTCAAGGACGAGAATTCGATGAGGAGATGGGAACCACTTGCGGAAATCAACAGCTGACAAAGTAGCTGGTGGAGAATCTCATTAAGGCAATAGCTTCAATGGATTCCGTGGGTTGCACTTGTGAAAGCTTTTTCATGAAAAACGAGCTCACTCGCAGAGTACGAGCTAGGGAAGAACTTTCGAGGGCAGCGGGGACATTGACATTATCTAGAAGAAACATATAATCCATTTGGGTGGTCTTGTCTTGCAGCGATTCTCCGAACTTGGAAATCTCCTTGTAGACACCTAAAGCTTCATTCAGGACTTACGTCGAACACCATGTACGCAACTACGCATGACAAACAGCGGAACACACAGTCTCCACATTTACGGAGATTGGACAATAGACACAAACCCAAGTCTAAATTCAGTGAGAAGAAATGAAAAGTTCACCTAGTGATGTCAAGAAGATGATAATACCTGATAAGGGTAGATCTAATGACGAGAGCCGAGCCATGGGAATGCCAGTAAGGAGAGCTTCGACAGAGCTTGACGCAGTGCCTGACATATGAGTTTGACGTGCTCGTTATGGATTTCACATGGGCTAGAGGTGTGAAGTTTTCCACCGTCCTTGAATCGCCGCCAGTGTTAGTATCACCACTGTCGGCGTCATCTCTATCAAGGGCGTAATTGGGATTTCTTTGCATTGTTGTTAGATTGACCTTTGTAACAGGGAGTTTTAGATATGGAGAGGGAGAAACTAGAAAAAATCTCAAAATACACATGTTTGGGCATCGCTGCGGTTGTCAATTGCATTGAATGCATTCACCGCAGAAGACGAAAGTGGTGAATGCATCACTGCGGTTGACGGCTGCGATAAATGTCTGACCTAACACTGAAACTTCAAACGAACGTAACTTTGCGCTCGGTTATCCGATTGTAGCGATTTTTATTATTCCACATAACTTTTCAAGATCTTTCAATATGAACCAAGCATTCATCCCAAAAAATGGCGTTTGCTACCGGTAGCTATTCTGCCTTCTGTCGTGAGTAACTCCACAATCATATTGCCACGGACGACTCAATAAGAGATGAGCAGCCTGCATTGGAGCAACATCAAACCGGACTTCATCTGCATACTCAGCATTTGAAATCAAACCGTGCCCTTCTTATTGACCTTGTTGGATCCTTAGTCGTTCAACAATTGAAGGTTGTAAGGCTGTGCATGCTTAATGGTGCTCAGACCCAGCTTCTTAAGTGCATCAAGACTCACTACATTGGTGTAGCTACCACCATCTATCATCACAAACAATAACTTTCCGTCCATCATGCAGCGGGTATGAAATAGGTTATCTCGATGTTCTTGTTCTGATAGAGGTTCAAGGGAGAGCACTCTATGATTGACTCCAAGAAACTTCATGTTGGAGGAATTTCACAAGTGATGTGCTCATCAACATCATCATCAGAATTAGAATCAATTCCCTTCCCCATTGGCTTCTCTTCATACTCCTCCTCAGAAAAGTATTCTTCATCTCGCAGAATTAGAGTTTTCTTTTTGGGGCATTGGTTTGCTTTGTGACCTCGACCCAGACATTTGAAGCATTGGATGCTTCTAGTTGATCCTTCCGACCTGGCTTGAATAAAGGAGCAGTGTTTCTATCTGTTGGTTTGACTCCTCCCCCATGTTCTCTGCAACTGGTTTAGTTGCAGGTGGATACCTTCTTTAAGAACCGTCCTTCGTCTACTTTTCCACCTTAATGGCTAGGTGAACCACTTCTTCCAGCTCCAAAAATTGACGAAGCTCAACTTTGTGCCTAATTTCCAGATTGAAGCCATGGAGAAATCTAAAAATTGTAGCTTCCTTATCTTCCCTCACATCCTCCCTCATTAAGAGCAATTCAAGCTCCCTGAAGTACTCCTCAATATATCGTGCTCCCTGCCAAATTCCCTTAAAGGAATCAAAGAGTTCACTTTGATAGTACCTTGGCACGAACCTCTCTCTCAGGAGCCCTCTCAATTCAGCCCAAGTTGTGAAAATCGGCTACCAATTCCTTCTTCTTTTGAGTTGTACATGCTCCCATGATGTAGCTGCATAATCAGTGAATTCATATGTGTCTAGTAGTATATTTTGTTGTTCGATGTCATAGCCACATTGGAAGAACATGATGATCTTCCTCTCCCAATCAAGGTATCCAGAAGCATTAAGAGATCCTTGAATTGAAGTAAGTGAAAGCTTGATCCCCTCGTAATTCAGCAATGGTACCTTCGCGTCCTACCTCTGGTGGTCTTCCACCGTAATCATGAAACTCGTGTTTTTGACGCGTCGATTGGGCTCTATTGTGATGAATCCTTGCATCTAGGGCTTGGTCGGTTCCAGTCGGAACGCCCTACTACTGGCGGTGATAGAGCATCCATCTGCTTGTTGATCTGGTCAAATTGAACTTTGAATGTCGCGTTCAATTGCGCCATGATAGTCTGCTATAGTTCTGAAACATTATCCTACTGCTCTGCCATTGTTTTTTCTTCGGATGGGATTTCTTCCTCTGACAAAGAATACTCGTCTGCAACCCGGTTCGTAAGGGGGTATTTTGATATCGTACGAGCACATAATTGTTACTCATAGTTAACAAAGTCTCACATCTAAGAACGAGGTTTCAAACTAGGGATAGGGTGGAATTGAAGCGGTATCTCACACCTGGGAGAAGGCTCTATCAATATTAGGATAGAATCTCGACCACAATCAAGGGGAAACCTTGATTGATAGAGAAAACTTACAAGCCAAAAGCTAATGAACCTAGATAAAATCAATATTCTTCAAAATCTTCCACAAAACTCGAGTTTAAGCCTTTATATAGGCTAGAGAAACAAAAATTAAACAAAAACCCAAAAAGGAAAAAAAAATCCTAAACAAAAAAGGTAAATTCAATCATTAGCCCCGATCTCCGGTCTCAGATCCCCGATCGGGGATTATCTTCCATTGACCGGGGGGGTCTCCTACTTATGATCCCCGGTCACCTCCCATGATTCCTTAGTTAGGGAATTAATAAGCCTGGCCGGGGAGAATCACATCCTCCCCTGCCCTCCGATCTCCACCTTTTGTTGTCGTTGGCCGTTGCTCCCCATCTTCCCACATTTGCTCCAACCATCCTCTCCGGCCTCTGCTATGTCCCCGCTCCTCACCCTTTCCCCATGCTCTTTGCCTTTTCAGCCTCCACCACGTCCATGCTCCCCATCCTCTCTCCCCTGTCAAAATTAACCTCGGTTGACAATCCTAAAATCCAGAAACTCACCAACCCTTTCCCCTATTCCATCGGTCAAATCCCCCACATCTATCTCGTTATATCCTGCCGAGCCGTGTCGCCGTTGTGCGACTGTCTCAACCCTTGACCCCAACTTCCATCTCCTTCACCATCTCCGTTCTCGCCTTCCTTAATCCAGAAACAGAGCAGCCTGCTTTGTGGCTATCAATGGGCTAGTTTGTCTCTGCTGTAGCTTTTACAAAAGTAGCTTCTCGCTGGAGTTTTTAGAAAATTACTTTTCGAAAAAGTTGTTGAGTGTTTGGCTGAAAAACTATTAGAAGTTCTTTTTTTACCGATTAGAAGTTCTTTTTAATATAAGAGATCATGTAAAACGACTAAAAAGGATTTATAAAATAAATATGAATAAAATTTTTAAAGGATAAAAAGTAGTCAAAATTGATATTTTTAGATTTATTTTAGATTTAATAATACTATTATGATTTAATTTATATAAAATTTGAATAAAAGCGGGTTAGATCAGGTCCTTAAGACCTCTTTTTGAAGTAAGATCTTAAACCCCTTTCAACCAATAGGAGAAGGAGAGAGGTAATGATTATTAATCATTGGGTAACTACTTACCTAATACGTTAAAGGGTAAGACATGAATATTAAAAATATTTAATGATATTATTAATTAAAATGAAAATGGCGAAAACCCATACAAACGTTGAGTTAATTGAGGTTTCGAGAATTAGTCTCCTCCCAACCCTAAAATCGTTCATCCTCCAAAAGTAGTCGTCGTGTCGCCGAAGCCGACGAGACTCTTTCTTCCCGACGTATGGTATCGCTGAACCGACATTGCGTTACCGTCCACCATTGCGGCTCGTCTCTCCCGTGACGCCTCGTTTGTCGTCGTCGCACAACCACTTCCTTTCATAAGCGTCGGCAGCCTTCATCAGTCTTCTGCTTCGCCGGCGTCGATTTCCCGTCAGCTTCCCGTCCCATTCCCGCCATCATCCTGTCTGACTCCGCCGTCGTCCCGCCGCCATCCGGCATCTCCCCATCCGGTCGTCGCCCCATCTTGCCGGTCTCCCACTGTCGAGGCGGAGTTTGTTAATAATATTCTTGTTTACGTTGAAAAACGAAGAGAATTTGTTAATAATGAATTCTTCATTTGTAGTAAATTATGTAAGAAATGTTAATAATGATATTGTATATTGTTAATATTGCCGAGCTGAAAAGTTGATAATAGCGTCACTAAAAATGTTTACAACACAACAAGTGAATCAAGCTTCAATCTGATTGAGAATGTTAATAATAGCGTCACTAGAAAATGTTAATAATGTAAGTGAAAACCTTAATATGTACTGTTAAAACAATGACATCTCGGTTAAGCTGCTTTAATAATTTTGATGATCTAATTAATAGTGGTAGGTTAATAATGTTTACAACACGATCGGTAAATTGTGTTTCAATTTGATTGAGAAGGTTAATAATAGCATCACGGAAAAATGTTGATAATGTATGTGAAAAAACTAATAATGTATGTTGAAAATATTACTAATGGACGAAGAAAAGTTAATAATAAACTAAGATTGATAATATTACACGTAAATTCAATAGAGAGATTAATAATAACACACGCTTAATAATAAGACGAGACATTATCAAATCATGCACGATTGATCACAACACTTCAAAATATTAACAGGCATATTAGACAACATTGACAATTCGAAAAAACGTTGATTATTGGGTGGGTAAAAATATCACGTTGTGGAGGAGATTATCAAGATAAGACGACTGTAAAGATGGAGCTTAGGATGTGACTCTGGACTATTTCCAGAAGCCCTTTCACGTCTCGCAGATAGAGTCATTGTCACAATCCCTAGACCATGATAATTGTGAAGAGACTGTGAAGTTGGCATGAAACGACATCAACGTCAGCCGAGATCACTGGCAGGTATCGAGATCACGATCGTGATCCTTGACCGTGATGTATGCACTCGGCAGTATAAAAAGGCAGTAGCTGGGAAAGAGAAAGGGGGAGCTTTGTTTTTTAAGAAAGAGCTTGGTTTTTCCTTTAGGGTTTGACCAAACACCCAAAGGGGAATGTCTACAGAGAGAATGATCTTGAGTGATCTTGGAGCTTAATTGGAAATATTGTAGTCAAGGATTCATGCCTAGAATATGACGAAGAAGAAGATGTTGAGCTATTTTGTAATCTCTCTCTCTCTCTCCTCTCTCCTCTCTATGAACTAGACCTCGTTTCTTAGGTTGTTGAACCATAGGTCTAGATTTTGGTTTAATGTTGATGTATGTGACAAATTCTATGTTTGATTGTTCATTTTATTTAGATAATGAATGATTTTCATGGATTGCATGAGTTCTACATGTCAATGGAGCTTTTGACCTAGGAGAGAGATAATCCCCTTAGAGTCCATTATTAGCGTCCTAGGGTCACTTCTACTATAAGTCGTTCCGTGTAATCCTCGATGGAGTAAATTTGTTCGATTTCGATATATGAATCCTTAGGTTGAATAGAGCAGTGCCAATTCATCGCTACGCCGTTCCAGGTCAATCCCCGAGGGAGTATATTGGTTGAGAAATTGAGTTGATCGAGCTAGGATGGTACGCACCATCAGTCCGAATGATGAAACTAGGGGATTCAAGCTAAGAGAGCTCCAAACTTGTAATTAGCTAGGATAGTGGTTAGTTAGGTTAGTTAGATTAGCTTCTTAATCACTATTCTGGGTTGGTTAGATAATTTTATTACTTGCTTACCCTATACTACACTCGCTCGTTGGTTAAACTTGGCCTTTAATTGGGTAGTTGTAGTTAGAACGAGCCAATTTTTGGGCACCGTTGTCGGGGACATTCTAGGTAATCGAAAAAAGTAACTTGGCCTTTATTAATTTAGCCGTTTTGTTCTTTGTTTTGTGTTTGTTGACCCATTCTTCGTCTTGAAGGGTGATTTGTGTTTGTTTGATTTTATTTTTGTATTGTCGTGTTTGTAGGTTGAATCATGGATCCAAATGAATTCTACAACATGTGCTGGTATCCATAACCACCCAAATGGGGGTACTGGAGCTTCATGGAGTAATCAAGAGGGTGGAAGCCAAGGAACCTGGTTCTATGATCAACCTCCTTTCCAAGAAGAACAACCATTCTCATGGGGATATCAAGAAGCTTCCCCATATAAAGAAGATTTCCCTCCACAACCCGAGGTGAAATCCAAGTTCGAGTTGGCCATTGAGGCTTTCATGGGGCATTCCACGAGACCATGTGCCACTCCACAACCAGAGCCAAAGAGTGAATTGAAGCTCATGGTGGACCAATTTTCCTGGGGCACCGACGAAGGATGCTCCAATGTGGATCTTCCAATGTCGACCCTATCGACTCATCCTTCCTACAGACATCGGAGGAGATCCTTCGAAACACAAAGAGGCTAGGAGAGATTGTTGAGCAAGCATGTGTGCAACTTGCTCACAATCGTCTCCTACCATTTGAAGAGGAGAGGAAGTTGAAGAGGCAAGCCTTGAGAACTTTAGAAGAACACACTTCGCCATGGATCTCAATTCCTCCCTCCTTCCGGTTGACACTATAAGAAAAAGTGGTGCGAGCTTGTGCATGCCATCGCCTCTCACCATTGGAAGAGCAAGAGGATGTTGAAGGGACAATCAATGAAAACCGTTTAGAGCAAGAGAAACTCACCCCGGAGAGCTCCCGTGGCGAGGATGACCAGCAAGCTTGCATTGATGACTTTCAGACCTTTCTCCTTCCCAAGACCAAGTCACGAGGTCCTTAGTTTTGAGGGTAAAATACCTCGGGTACCACTAAAGTATGAGAATTGGGGGAGCCATGCCACTAAAGTTAGAATAGGGCGTCGGGTACCACTAACGTTACTGAATTGTGCATCCGTTTAAATTTCCGTCCATCTACCGTTAAAAAAGAATAAAATATTAGTTTTTTATAAAAAAATTAAAATAATATAAAAAAAAAGAAAAAAATTAAAAAAAACAAAAACAAAAATGGGATAAAATTCAGTTCTTCTTCCTCGTTCAGGTGAAGAAAATATGAGCTCCGACTGTTGGGCGGCCAGTTGGTTTGTTAACCTCCTCGAAACTGTGGTTTCGGAGATAAGGCCAAATCCATTGCTAGTCTCTAAATTTGGGGACCTTCATCCCCAAATTTGGGGGTCATCCTCATTTTCTCCTCTTTTCTTCCAATGCTACATTCTCTAAATCTGGGGATCTTTCTTTTTAGTTAGTTTTTCTTTACTTAAAAACGTACTTATGATCATCTTAATACAATTTGTTCATGTTAGTTTTTGTACAGTTCGTTATCATTTTTAAATACAAATTTTACGGTAGAATTTTTTTTAATTTTGAGACCAAATTTTTTTTTTTACAAAAAATGATTGACCTAATTTGGGTTTACACCAACACTTGAAAATTATTGATCTAATTAAATCCCTAACTAGTCCGTAATTAAACCCCAATTAACCCCTAAAATCTTAAAAAGAAAAAGAAAAGCCACGTGGCGGGCTTTGGGGAGTCTCTATATTTGGGGGAATCCCCATCCCACCCCCAAATTTGGGGATCCTTTAACCGATCTCCCCCAAATATAGAGACTCCTCCATTTATAGAGACTCCATTGGAGCCAACTTTTCCCCAAATATAGAGACTCCCCCATTTATAGAGGCGCCGCTCCATTGGAGTTAGCCTAATTAGGTAGTTGTTACACCATTGCTGACCTAGAGTAAACAATGATTCCAACCTCATGGTTGTCCCAAACATTAGGGGTGAAAGCTTGACCCGGAAAACCCACTGACCCGTTCCTAAGGGTCGGGACGGGTCATTTGTTGACCCTGTAAGGGTCGGGATGGGTAGGGACAACTTAGGGACGGTCACGTTTTGATCCTGTGACCCTTAACAACAACAAATATCTCACACCACATTGGACCTTTTTATAAAATTTTTAAAGTTTAGGTACTAACTTGTAAAAATAAAAATTTTGGGTACCAAAACATAATTTTACCATAAAAATTTATGGATGTATTTGTAAAAAAAATAAATTTTAGGTACTAAATTGTAAGAAAAAATAATTTTGAGTACCAAAACGTAATTTGTAAAAAAGTAGTATGTTGATTAGGGCGACCCTCTAATCCGGCCCGACTCGTCCCAATCTTTAAGGGTCAGACAGGATCAAGAAAGAGACAGAGACGGGACATATCAGTTATACATCTTGAAACTTCATTGACGGGTCACACAATGTTAGAGACGGGACAGACAAATTTTCATCCCTACAAAAATAAATCTTTCCCCAGAGACCATCGGAGATAGGGCAATGCGAAATCTCATTATGTGCCGCTCCATCTGCCCAGATCTTAATCTTCATGTACATAGAGCTCCAAGTGCAGAGTGCTTAAACCCCAATTCAGGAGATTTCCACAATAATTTCCGATGGATTTGCATAAAGCTATGTTTTTCATATTAAATGGAATCCCAAAGGCAAATATGCATACCCACCCTCGGGAGCAAACTCTCCCATATTCCTCGCACTACATCTATGTATGGGAAGAGCAGCTCAAAACCCTAAAGATATAGAAAGCCTCCGATAATGCATCCAATTGTGAGATGAGGAAGCCAATTAACACTAAGGAACAAAGATCTAATCATCTCCCAAAGTCCCAAACCACAGTTTTGGGAGGTCAAGAAACCAACCCGCCGTCCAACAGCCGGAGATCATATGTTCTTCACATGAACGAGGAAGAAAAGGAAAATTTGTCCCATTTTTGTTTCTTAAATTTCCCTTTTTAATTTATATTATTTTATTTTTTTCACCAAAAAATTATATTTTATTTCTTTTTAACGGTAGATGGAAGGAATTTTAAACGGATGCACAATTCAATGAGGGGTCGTTTGGATGAGTTTATTGACAATGTGGTATTTGTAGGTTCAAATAACTCATTTTTTCATCTTGTGGTATATCAGAGGTATTTGAGATTGATATATGGTATTTTAATTTTAATTGTGTTGTTTGGATGAAAGAGTTAATTGTGTGGTATTTCATATAACAAACCAAAAATACTTTATTGCCCTTCTTACATTGCCCTTCTTCCTGGAATTAATTTTTTTTTTATCATCGGTCGATCACAACCACTACCATCGCCTGAAAGAGGAAAAAATACCCAGTTTCTGGTGAGGAAGAGTCGAAGAGATACCAGTTTGATCCTACAACACCAAAGTTCAATTAATGAAAGGAAGAATTCGCATGCACTATAAAGGAATGGTAAGAGGGTGGAATCTATTAGGGATTGGACAAAACAGAGCAAAATTGAAGGAAAGGGAAAGATTGCCTGAACAATTTCATCGATTGCGTTAACAGGGGAAGCTGGCGAATTGGCTAAACAAAGAAAGGGAAAGAAATAATCGAGTCCATACCAGCCTCATGCAAATTACCTTGTCACTGCTAAGCTCTTCCCAAACACTTTTTTTACCCATCTCCCGCAAAATTACCAGATAATAAATCAGTATACAAGTCTCCTCACCGTCGCCGCTGCCGTTAGAGAAGGAACGAGAAGAGTGAGAGGAATCGATCGAGGCAGACTGCAAGAGGAGGAACGAGAAGAGGAAAGGAATCGCAGGATGGTTCTCCTTGTCGTTGACGCTACCAGAGAAGGAGTCACCGCCGCCGCGATCGAGGTGGACTGCATGAGGAGGAACAAGAAGAAGAAGAGGAATCGCAGGACAGTTCTTCCTGCTGTCGCCGTCGCCAGATAAGCCTTTCTTTGCCACCGCCATAGAAGGAATCGCCACTGCCAGAGAAACCTTCGCTCACCGCCGCAACCTAGGCTTCAGCCTGCTCAAACTGATCTGTATAAAGAATGGAATTCAAAGGTTGCAGAAGAAACCTCCGTCGCTCAATGGATTTTGATTTGGGGCTGAAGAATCAAAGAAGAGGAGAAGAAGCGTAAAAGAGAAAGAAGGAAAAGGGTCGAGAGGAGAGAGGAGAGAGGAGAGAGAAGAGAGATTGGGGGCAGAATAGGGTGCTTTTAACGCAAAACACGTTATTGAGAAATAACAGGGTATTTTCAATAACTCGTTTTTGAGTTATTTTTGAATAACTCATGCCCAAATACCACATCCAACTTTTGTTATGCCAAACAAGTTATTTGATCCCGAATAATTCACAATAAGTTTTTTTTTTGGGTAGAAAGATGGGACGCTAAAAGGGCGCCCCTGCCTGATACTTTAAACTAAACGAGATTGGGCAATGCCCATAGAGTCATACAAGAGCCAAAAGTTAAGCCCTGAGTCACTCGGATCAACAACATGAAAACCTAAACCAAGAGAATGGCCTTTATTGGCCAAGAAAACAGCTGCTTTGTTTCCTTCTCTGAAAATGTGAGTGATGCGAATCTCCCAGTCTTGATGAAGGAGGCTCTGGAATTGCCTCCACAGATTGTGATAACGACCTTCATAAGGCCCAGGCGAGTTCATAATGCCAAGAGTAACCATCGAGTCAACTCTCAAATCCACTTTGCGGTACCCCAGGTTCCAGGCAAGCCGAAGCCCCTGGATAGCACCCATAAGCTCCGCCCTGGTAATGGTACAAGCTCCGAGATTAGAGGCGAACGCACCTAGACACCTGCCAGAGCTGTCACGCACCAGACCTCCTGCAGCTGCCAACAAATCTGGATGTTTAACAGAGCCATCAGAGTTGACCACCACCCATTCAGGATTGGGGGGGATCCAAGCAACCTCGGTCGAGGTCTTCCTTTGTTGCAGAGTGTGGATGTCCTTCTCGTTACTTTGTGCCTCACGAATAGTATTGGTCCAGCTTTGAATTCTTTGGATAAGAGTCTGCGTTTCTTGATGTTTGTTGTTGAAAATCCATTCGTTCCTTCTCTTCCAGAGGTACCACGCTGCAACCCCGAACAGCAGCCCAGACTTTGAGTCTTTGAGATTCCTAGCCATCCAATCTGTCATATTGAGACCAATAGTTAGAGTAGAATCTGAAATCCCCAGAGCTTGCCATACCTGAGCTGCCATTACACAGTGGCGCAAGACGTGTTCGGATGATTCGGGCGCTGCTTTGCACAACTCGCAGGTGTCATGGACGCAGATCCTTCGCCTTTTCCTCTCACAGTTTGTCATCAATCGGTCATGAAAGGCTAGCCAGAGAAAATGACGAATTCTGTTTGGGCCGTCCCATTTCCAGATAGCCTTCCAGGTAGGCGCGACAGTAGCATGAGTCCCGCTTCCATCACCCTTGCTGAGCCAATCAGCCGCGACGGTGTATGTTGATCCTAGCCGGAACTTCCCATCCTGCTCCATTCCCCACGTCGTCCGATCCTCCCCCGACTCCTGATTCGGCGCGTCTAGCCCTGCAATGAGAAGATTAACTCGTAGCAATAACTCATCCAAACGATCCCTGACATTAGTGGTACCTGACGCACTATTCTAACTTTAGTGGTATAGCTCCCCCAATTCTCGTACTTTAGTGGTACCCAAGTTATTTTACCTTAGTTTTGACAAGATCCCTTACTTTTTAATGTTTCTTTGTTGTTAGGAATTGTTGTTTACAAATTAGCCAAGTGCTTGATTGTTTGACTGAGAGCAGTTTTTTGAAGAATTCTGCTGCTTGGTTCGAGGTTTGGGTCGAGAGATAAATATGTCAATTTATTGCGTTTTAAGATAATAAAATTTAAGACAAATAACAATTCAGTATAATTTTAATCGGAGCGCTAGTTTGACTTACCGTTTCTTCGCATTCTATTCTACTGGAAGAAGCAAAATGGTAAAAGGCAATGGAGGCTGAATCCAGAAAAGAAAAAAAGAAAGGCAATAAAGGCGATTAACGGCAAAGAGAAAGCTCACTATCCCAACGGTCGCCAAGGAAGGACTTCAAATTTGAAACCTAAAATTTCCTCCGAACCCCAACCTCAGTACCAAGAGAAAGGAAATAAGAAGTAAAGAACACTTTAGACAAGGAATTACTACCGAGTACAACGAATTCCTCCATTCTCTCTGCACCTTCAGCCTCTCAGATTTTTCGAATTCAAATGGAAGATCTTCAATTCAGCACCTTCAACGGAGTTACGGAAGCGATGCCCGCCGAGCCTTCCTGTTTCTCTGAGTTTGGGGAAGACGTGAGATTGCTGCGAGATCCCGAAGATTCTGCTGTACCCAATGAAGCTGGGGAATCTTTGTTCGATTCTATGCTTTGCGACTCCAATTCACGGCTTGTCCCTTCTGGGTTTTCAAGCTCGAGCTGCACAGGTGAGTAACATTCTTGGATCTGGAAGTCATTGTCATGCTGGTGGGAAATGATTTTGGTGACTACGGGATATATCCGAGTCATCGGGTGATTCAATTTTTTGCAAGGGTCTAAGAGTGTGGACCTTTCAGTAAAGATAGGAGGTTCAACAGAAATCAAGAACATTGCCTGGCTAACTTCTGTTTTTTTTTCTTCTTCTCTCTCTTTGCTTTTCTTTCAATTCGTATGTTCAAGAACCAGATGGAGTTTTGAGGTTTGTAAATAGTGGGCATGAGACGACAGTTGAAGCAAGCTCCACACTCAAATTTATGGGCGACTCTTCTTTTAATGGAGGGACTGTGCTACGGACTGATGAGGATATAACGGATGCTGGGGATTTTCCATTTCTCTACCAGTCTGCGAGGTTCGGAAACTTCTGTTACGAGTTTCATGGTCTTCCTCGAGGAGATTGTTTCGTCGATCTTCACTTCGCTGAGATTATATACACCAATGGCCCTAAAGGAATACGAGTGTTCGATGTATTGATACAGGAAGACAAGGTAAAGGAACATAATTCCCATTTCCTTGCTCTGGATTGCAGCAGTCAGTGTGTTTGATGTACTGAAATTCTTCTTCTTCTCGGGCATATGGCAGGTCTTATCAGAATTCGATATCTTCTCTGTTGTTGGAGCAAATAAGCCTCTGCAATTGGTTGGTGTGAGGGTCTCAGTGAAGGAAGATGGAGAACTTGTAGTGAGATTTCAAGGGATTAATGGAAGTCCTGTTGTGAATGCAATCTGCATAAGGAAAGCACCTGAAGGGGCAGGTAATTGTCTTTCCCACTTCTGCTGCTTAAATCTTCACAGTATAGGGGGGTTAAGTGCATTCGATGGAAATATATTCTATTGAAGAACAAATCTTAGAAGTGTCATTTTGTCAAATATTACAGCACCTCAGCAGCCAAAGGAGTACCTTAGGTGCAACCATTGTGCTTCAGAGATCGAAGTTTCTTCAGCTGAGGTCAGATTTCAGTTCACTGAAAAATGTAATCTTTTTAAGTGTTCTGAATTGAATGCTTACATGGCTCTTCTTGTTAGCAGAAACGGCTCATGAGGTCTAAGGCTACAGATAAGTATGAGAAGAAGATACAACAGCTCACTACTGATTGCCAGCGCAAGGCAAATGAATGCCATGAGGCTTGGATGTCATTAACTGCTGCTAATGAGCAGCTGGAGAAAGTCAGGATGGAACTTGATAACAAAACCTTTCAGGCCCGTTCTTTAGGTAACTCTCAAACTTAACCTCATTGTAAATCTTCCGATACTAGACTAGTTAGGCTGATTCAACTTGGTTAATCAGCTTCAAAGTTTTGCTGTCTTCCGTCGTAATTTTCTGCTCCGAATTGATGTTTCCAGACTATTTTTTCAGTTCATGAAAACATGTGTCTCGTGAATCAAAAGGACGAGAGAATACAATTATTTAGTCAAGCTCTGTGGAATGTATTCTTTGGAGTGAAGTGCTTCAAGATGTCCATCTAGTAGTTAGTCAGGGAACATTAACTTAATCATCGTACTGATTTCACTTCCTCTGATAGATCAAACGGTGGGGGAACAAGCTGAGAATTTAAGGAACATTGCTACCATGTATGACCAACATAAGAAGAGCTGGACAGCAGCAATCAACAGTATGCAAGAGAAAATCAGGGTAGGTTACAAAACCATTCAAGATGTCTGTTGGATAAGAGCTTTCTTTATGACAATTGTGCTTTCTTTCTGCCTCATACTTGTCTCCCATGAAAACTTTTCAGATTATGAAAGAAGAGCACATTAGGCTTTCTCGTGATGCACATAGTTGTATTGAGTCCATACCCGAGTTAAATAACATGGTTGCTGGAGTTCAAGCATTAGGTAGGGTTCTTATGTTCAGTTCTTGAATAATTTGTGTACTTCGTTTTTCATCGAATAATGAAATAACTTCGCAGTTGCTCAATGTGAGGATCTAAAACTGAAGTATAGTGAAGAACAAGCAAAAAGGAAGCAGTTGTATAACCAAATACAAGAGACTAAAGGTAACCTTTTGTCTTGTTCCTAAGTAAGTTTCCCAGAGAATCACATTATGCAATCCTTTTTAGTAGATTATTATTGTAAGGCATGTATATTTTCAGGTAACATCCGAGTTTTTTGCCGGTGTCGCCCATTAAGTAGGGAAGAATCCTCAACTGGGTGTGCAACAGTTGTTGACTTCGATGCAGCAAAGGATGGAGATCTTGGGGTTCTCACTGGTGGTTCCAACAAAAGGACTTTCAAGTTTGACAGGGTTTACACCCCTAAAGATGGTCAAGGTGCATATACGGCCTTATCATATCACCACTGTAAATGTTCAAATTATGTACTTAATTAGATTTCTTTTTGTCAATGGTAGTTGATGTCTTTGCCGATGCGTCACCATTGGTCGTCTCGGTGCTGGATGGGTACAACGTTTGCATATTTGCATATGGACAGACAGGGACAGGAAAGACATTTACAATGGAGGGGCCTGAGCACAATAGGGGTGTCAATTATAGGACCCTTGAGCAATTGTTCTCAGTTGCCCGAGAAAGGAGTGATACTTTCACTTACAACCTTTCTGTCAGTGTCCTTGAAGTCTATAATGAGCAAATTAGAGATCTCTTGGCCACATCACCAGCATCAAAGAAGTAAGTGAAAACTATAGTTTAGTCTACACAGTTAGGCTTTCAGCGGATAAAATTAATGTGATAACATGGTATTCAGCGGTTTGATTTTTGGAATGTTAATAGGTTGGAGATCAAACAAACTTCTGAAGGTTCTCATCATGTACCAGGGATTGTTGAAGCAAAAGTCGATAACATCAATGATGTTTGGAGTGTGCTGCAGGCTGGAAGCAATGCTAGAGCTGTTGGATCGAATAACGTCAACGAACATAGCAGCCGCTCTCACTGGTCTTTTACTAAATTCTTTATCTTGTCAAAAACATAGTTGGCGATAAAAGTTCTTTTTCCTCCATTTGCTAATAGTTGGTGATAAAAGTTCTATTTTCTCCATTGCTTCAGTATTCTATGCATCATGGTGAAGACGAAGAATCTGATGAATGGTGAGTGCATGAAAAGCAAGCTTTGGCTTGTAGATTTGGCGGGAAGTGAACGTTTGGCTAAAACTGATGCCCAAGGAGAACGACTTAAGGAAGCACAAAACATTAATAAATCACTTTCTGCTCTTGGAGACGTTATTTATGCTTTGGCAACAAAGAGTAGTCACATCCCATACAGGTAAGACTAGATATACATTTATCTTTCTATTTGATTTATACTCGTTAATGTGCTGTGTATTTCTGACTGGTTTTGCTATTTACTACAGAAACTCCAAGCTGACACATTTACTCCAGGACTCATTAGGAGGTGATTCCAAAACCTTGATGTTTGTGCAAATTAGCCCTTCCGAGCATGACTTGAGTGAAACTCTAAGCTCGTTGAATTTCGCAACTCGAGTTAGAGGGGTTGAGTTGGGCCATGCAAGGAAGCAAATAGATACAAGTGAGCTTCAAAGAGTGAAAGCATTGGTAAGAGACGATCTTACTTCGCTAATCTATTTCTCTCTTCGTCTTACAAATGTCTTGGTGGTCACATACTTATTTCTTTAATTACTACAAAGCTGGAGAAAGCAAGGCAAGAATCTAGATTAAAAGATGAGTCAGTAAGGAAACTTGAAGAGAACTTGCAGAACCTGGAGAATAAGGCCAGGGGTAAAGACCATGTTTACAAAAGCCAGCAAGAGAAGATCAGAGAACTCGAGGGACAGCTTGAACAAAAGACTGCTATGCATGGCCAGTCAGAGAAACAGGTGTCTCAACTTTCAGAAAGACTTAAAGGGAGGGAAGAAATATGCAATGAACTACAACAGAAGATTAAGGAATTGGAGAGCAAGCTGAAACAAAGAGAGCTATCAGACCATGAAACATTTCAACAGAAGATCAAGGAATTGGAGAACAAGCTGAAACACAGAGAGGAATCAGACCATGAAAGTTTTAAGCAGAAGGTCAAGGAACTTGAGAAGAAGATGAAAGCGCAAACCGAAGAGTCAGACTCTCGATCCCTCACTCTTCAACTGAAGGTGGGTAAAAATTTCTACTCACTGTCAATGCTTCAAACTGTTTAGTTATCGTATGGCATGCTCTTATACATCTCGTTCAAACATGTTGATTTGCTAGATTAAGGAGCTAGAAAGTAGACTACATGAACGGGATCAAAACTCGGAGACTTTGGGGCTTCACCAAAAGGTGGTTCTATATGCTTTTTATTTTTATCTTTGCAATCGAAATATAAATCTAACTGGTGATATCAGTTAGCTACTCAATGCCCAAAAAAAGGTATAGGGAGCTCAAGAGTGGGTTATGGTTTGCAGATTAAGGAACTAGAAGAAAAACTGAGAGAGCAGGAGCTGATTTTGCAGCAAAATAGGGGAACTAGCAGCAGCAATGCAGTAGATTGTGTTAGGGCAACTCCAATAGAACGAAAAGCTTCTGGAAGAGATGATGAACGAATGATGACTGATGCTGTTGAGGCTCACATCTTGAAGAGCTCAAACTCAATCAACCGGCCCTCAACTCACGGGCACAACATGGTGGCAAAAGACAACAACCTCCTCCATGATGCGCGAAAGAAAAGACATTCTAGAAGTGGGGAAACAGAGAATAACAGCATGCAAGCATGCTTCAATGATTACAGAGGTAGGAAGTCTGACCCTCCAAAGATTGCTAGAGTTACCAGACCAATGACAACGATGATGACAAGGCCCCCAGTCATAGGCGGGACTACTAGTGGCCAAGTGGGGTTGACCCACAAGAGAACAATCAACAGAGAACCAACAACAGCAGGACATGCAGCAGCAGTCAAGAAAAGGGGTGATGCAAAGAAAAATGTTTGGTGCTAGACAACAATGCGATGTGCCGATGTCATTCATTTGTTTCTTTCAAATGTTTGTTTGTGTATTAGGATCTGTGTTATATGTACCGTTGCTTTGCCTTCTGCAAGTGCAGCACCTTTACTCTGCTGAGCCTGAAAGGGAATGAAGAAATGATACTGCCACAGGCTAACACTGTATTAAGCCAGTGAACGGAATGAGCGAATCATTGGGACTTTTGAAGCCTCGTGATGAATTTCAAGTGCAAGTTTTTTTCATTTTCCAGTCTGCCATAAAACTGTAAGTTGCAATGCCATGTACGTAGCGATACCTTTGCACCAAGAATGCTTGTAACCTTTCTATTGTCCTGTCTGCCATAAATATGGTTCTATATATATGCCACGAACCCAGTTATGTCTGATGGAATCCAGTGTCTGATAGGGTAATGTCACATGTGGTAGCTAGGGCTGGGCATGCGGGCAGGCAGATCCGCCCGCATTTGGCTCAAATTTCATTATGTGGGTGGGTGACGGGTTGTGCTCGGAGGCATTCGTCGGGTGGGTTGTAAGCGGATGTGCGGGTGACTCGCTCAAACTAACGGCAAAAAATACAAAACTGTTGGCGCTAGAGAGTCGAGACGTTGACGAAAATTAGGGCTACTACTGGAGATTGAATATTAAGCCAATTTTTCAAATCTCGACTTCCCTCTTCTCTTTATTTTTCATCTAATTCTTGTGCCCAAATCACCGGGTGACGGGTTGTGCTCGGACGCATCCGCTGGGTGGTTTGTAAGCGGGTGTGCGGGTGACCCGCTCAAACTAACAGCAAAAAATACAAAACTATTGACGTTAGAGAGTCGAGACGTTGACGGAAATTAGGGCTACTACTGGAGATTGAATATTAAGCCAATCTTCCAAATCTCGACTTTCCTCTTCTTCCCTTTATTTTTTCCTCTAATTCTTGTGCCCAAATCACCTTCTTTCCTCCGTTGAACTATTTTTCTTAGTTTCTGCACCTGATAATCATCTCCATCCATAGAAAACTCTTCCATCATAGAATTTTTATCCATTTTCGGAACTAATTCGACATTTTTTCTTCCCATTCCATCTTCTTGTTTCCGCCCGATAACTCTCCACCAATTATCTTGTCACTTGAAGTGAATCTCAAATTTGGAGGGTGAATGGATATTAAAATGAATTTTTATTTTACATATTGAAATTACACATGGGGTCTGAAATATAAATTGATCATGTCAAGTTGACTCCTTTATATTATGTAGGGCTGGCCGATTGATTTCCGGTTAGCAGCTAACCTGCTAACCGGATGGTTTAACTGATAACCGACGGTTAGGGTGCTCGGTCGGTGTTCGGTGAAGAGATTGGTTACTTCGGCTAGCTCAATAAGGCGGTTAACCGTCTAACCGAGGTAACCTAAACCCCAACCTCCACCCTCCGTCGACGCTAAGAGCCGCCGCCACCACACCTAGCACGGGAACACGCATATGTTCCCCAAGAGGTCCGGATCCACCGATAAATCGACGTCCTTTGTAGCTGAACATGGATCCCCGAAGCTGTCCTATACGGGAAGGGTGCGATCGAAGCGAGATCGGAGCCGCAAGCTCCATAGCCGGCAACGATCTAAGGGATCCGAGGAGCTGGAGTAAAAGAAGGCAAAATCGGAGAGGCGGCTGGCAGAATCAGGATTCATCGCGGGCTTTCGTGCAATTTTCAAGCCTTGTTCGAAGTCAAAGAATCAATCCAAGATCAAGACCGTCACGTCGGCATTGCACAAAGACTCGTCGTCATCCTCGAGAAAAAGTGATGCCATGGCGAGAGCGAACGATATCAGAAATCGCCTGCTGTCTAGCGTTAGAGATGTCGCACGAAGAAAGAAAGGAAGTGACGTTGAAGGCGACTAGCGGCGGCGGCTCTTGGCGTCGACGAAGCATGAGTTCTGCGGCTTCGGCAAGCTGATCATCGAATTGAGATTCGAGAACCTCTACTCACCTTTTGTATTCATCTTATGATTCTGAGTCATTTTAGTCTGACTCGCTATGACACAACACCAAACTGCGACCAAATATAATCGCAGAATGGAAATGCAGAATAGTGGTTTAGTTAAAATTATCGACCCGGGCTCTAGTCTGCTGCCTACTCCGTGAATAGGAATGGCAACAAAACCCGAGCCCACGAGTACCCACCCGACCCAACCCGGTCAACGCGGGTAAAATCCGTGTTGACGCGTTTTGGGCCGGGTTTGGGATTAAATCCGTTCACTATTTACCAGGTTGGGTTGGGTTTGGGTTTAGGTAAACCCGACCCATGGGTACCCGCCCACACCCACATAATTAATTTTCTCGACATATTTAATATTCTAAACAACTAATCTTATTTATGTTTGTGGAGACATGTCTAATTTTTTCTTTCTAGTTGTGTAGAATGAAGTTGATGTTATCGAGTGAAGAGTGAAAAACTTAATTGAAAGGAAGAAGTTTTCAATTAATCATGTTATTTATGGATAATTTGTGATTTGCTTCAATTTTCTTGAGTTTTCTAGATTGGTGTTGAACAATTGTATAGTTAATTTGTGATTTTCTTGAATTTTTTTAGAATGGTGTTTTATATATGGATAATTTGTATTGAGAGATTGATAGGAACTTGTTATTGTGAATTTTTTACGACAAAAACCCGTGGGTACCCATGAACCCGCGGATATCCAGCGCGTTGGGTTGAGTTTGAGTTTTTCAAACCTAGTGGGTTTTACCCCGGGTTTTTTTCACGGATAAACCCATGGGTTTGGGTTTGGCAAAACCCGACCCATTGCCATCCCTATCCGTGAACTTCTATTATCTAGCGGGACAAAGTGAGTGATGTAAGTTCAAATCAAGAGAAATGAAAAGCAAGTAATGTTCTGGATCTTTTCAGGTGCTAAAGGTCATCCAGGTGTGGTTCCCCCTAGTGAGCAGCTAATTCAGGTTATACGTTCCCAATTTACTCGGATTGATAGATAATTCACGGAAATTTCTTTGCTGATCTGGACTCTCGACGAAAGTTATCCAGACCCTCTCGGCTCGAATACCCGGCGGGCGACTAACCTCCACCGACATACACTAACCAAGGTTAATCACACGAAACTTCCTCTATTGGCTTTTGTTCCACTACGGAGCTGAGAATCGACTTCTCAACTAAAGCAGTCGATTCACCACTTTCAATTCAAGATTGCTCTTTTAGCCTATGCAGAGACTATTGTTCTAGGTTAAAGCAGGAATTACACATGTTTGATCAGGACTCATGCAATTCTGATTAATTCCTCAACTGAATTTATCAAATCAATCATTCACAAATGGGGTTCATACAATCATTCCTAACATACATAGCTAGGGTGATTCATACCCAGATGAAATGGAAAATTACTCCATGAAGAGATGAGAGAACGTCATGCTCGGAGAAGACATCATCAAAATGACAATGGGAATCTGCTCCTGGCGACAAGTCGGTACTTCGAGGTTGGGAAATCGAGCTCCAAAGGCTTCAGATCGCTCCAATCCTTGCCCGAGGGTTCTTTTCTTCACTCTCTCTAGGGTTCTTTTTTTGCCTTTAGAACTCAGAAAATCCGGATCTTATGCCTTTGGCCCGAGTAGCCCTTTTATAAGTTGATAATCCGCGTGTTACGGCCTAAGTTATATTCGTAACTTGGCTTGCCCGCCCGTAACTCTCTAGAAAACGGCATCGTTCCTACTCTCCGTAAACCAAGAGTTACGGCTTCTTTGGGGGAGTTACGACCTCAACCGTAACTTGAGAGAGGAGGCCGTAACTCCAAAAATGCCTTTGGAACTGGTGTCGTCGCTACCCAGGAGTTACGGTTACAAACCGTAACTTTGAAGGTCTGGCCGTAACTCCAAAGAGCTCTCTGGAACCCTGGCGCTTTTACTCTGAGAAGGTACGAGCCCTTGGGACAAGTTGGTTGCGACTGTAACTCCCAAGACTTGCCTGTAACTCCTCCCAGCTTTCTGCATGTTCTCTCCAAATCGTCCCGAAACTCGCTCTTTCGCCCCCCGTTCACATACTAGGACCTGAAACATCATAAACCAACACAACCTAGCGTAAAACGGGCCACGATAACGAGGATACAAGCTCAAACTATCAAGAAATAGTGGGGAAAACATGTTCGAATATAGCATTATCATAGTCCTATTCGCTGCAGCTCCAAGATGTAGCCATACCTCTTTTGTGACCATGTTTTATGTTCAGGCAATTTGCCTTAATTAAAGTGCCCTAGCCTGCCACATATGAAACTAGAGGTGGGCAAGGAAAAATGTGTATTTGGGTATACTCATACCCGTTCCATTTTTTAGGATTACAGTTACCCAAATATCTATAATTTTTTTATGGGACGGGACTTAGGATGAATAGTTATACAATGGGTACCCGCGGGTTACACGTTTGGGTATTACCGGTACCCGTACTACCCACCCAAAATCTCCAAGATAATTAGATGTCTGGAAATTGAATGATGTCTTAATTATCTAGGCCATGGTAAATGTTAATATGATTCATAAATAATTAAACTTGTCAGTTATGCATACTACATCTGTTGAAAACTTTCTAAAGCAGGCACATCATTTTGTAGGTGCATATCATCTACTTTCCTAGACTCCTTGATCCTCTTATCCCTCCTTTAGCGCGATTGGGTCCAGTGGCGTAGCCAGGATTCAGTTTAAGGTGGGTCCACCTCGAAAAAAATAAATATAATAAAATAGTTTTTTTAATATAATCTTACGTTCAAATTTTTTATAAATTAAAATGCATTAGCAATCGAAAATATCAAGAATATCACTCTGCATATATACAAAACAATCATTGATTTAGTTAGTCGTAGTGTTTCAAATGGTGTTCTTTGTTAAGAACCGTTAGTGTCAATACCTCGAGTTGTTGATAGAGGTTTAATAATAAATCTTATACCAACCAATAATTCATGATTTACCTGGTCGTTCGCTTTCGAATGATCTTAAAAAAAATATTTAGTATCAATAAATCGAGTTGTTGGAATATTTCAAGAATATATTATACCATTTACTACCATGCTCCCTTATAAGAAAGTCGACTTATACGAAATTGATGTTTGCACAAATCTGTATATCGTATGCTTAAGAAATGAGGTCGCCAAGATTCAAACACAAAACTTTTCGACCAACTATTCTCAACTAAACGCGACCTAGTTTTCGATATCAATTAACTATCGTACCTAATTTAACCATTTTGCCCCGAACCAGGGTGGGTCCCGGGACCCACCCTGTTACCCTCTCCCTCCGCCACTGATTGGGTCCAAACGTAGATGCATGAGCTAGGCGGATGGAGTGATCTTAACTTCATGTAATTATGTAAATGGAGTCCATCATTCTCTTGTAGGGAGTTCATAGACCTTATACAATTTGAATAAAAACTTAAATTGTGACTTGTGGATCGCATTAGAGCTGACAATTGGATCGGATTCGTGGATTGGATCCAATGGATTGGTGGATTCATGGATTGGATCAAATGGATTGGTGGATTGATCCATGAATCCAAATGACATCCAAGGCTTGGACCAAAATGTAAAATTTGAAAAGTTTTGGTACTAAAATGTCATAATGAAAAATTTTAGGTACCAAAATGTAATTTTCCAATGATATTTCTCGTATAAAAATATAAATTTTAGGTACCAAAATGTAATTTGCCATTTGGATCCATGGATTGATCCATGAATCCACCAATCCAATTTGATTTGGATCAAATGGATTGGATTTAGATGGATTGGATTAGGTGGATAATTTGGTGGATGGATTGGATTGAATTCATGAATTTGGATCCTAATTGCTACCTCTAGATCACATCAATTTCTTTCTGTAGGCGAGGATTGGATTGAATTAATGTTCTTTCCCCATTAAAGTACAAAGAAGGCTAAGTTTGGATGATTTAGTTATTTTTTTCATTATAGTTACTCGTGTGTATCCGTTATCCGTTCCGTATAGATAATGGGTATCCGTTAACCCGTATGGGTTTGAAACATGGAGTGGAATTTTCTCTCCAAATGTGATTGGGCACCCGTTCAAACGGGACGGGTACCCAATCTGGCCCGTCCCGTTGCCCACCCCGACCAAGTAACACTACCCTTCTCGACATTCAAGGCTTCTTTGTTTGATTATGATTTTCTATAAAACTTATGACATCATCCTTTTTCTTGTCGGATCTCATATTCTCGTCTGATCTATCAAATTTATTTTTCATATTCGTTTTACATCTTAAGTAATGCTTTGTTTGTAATGCAATCTGCCCTTCCACTTCTTCAATCATCATCTAGATTTAGTGATTTTAGGGCTAGATCCTTTATTTTTTTAGGTTGCTCATTATCCTCAACTCTAGACACATTTTCAGTTGGTTAGTAACTTCCTAAAAGTAAGAGAAGAGATAAAGAGGAATTTGGGCTACTTTCAGTTGGATAAGCATATTATGTGGATCAATGACCAAGACAACATGATCGAGTAAAACGATAATGTCTTGCACGATTGCTTCAACCTTTGGGTTTGACAATTTAGTCGACGACATAACAGAGTACATATACCAAAGTAAAAACAAAGCAAACAAAGGTAAAGAGATGAACACATGCATAGTATTTTTATTTTTTTTTGTTAACCGGGTTTAGTCTGTTGGTTACATCTTAGCTCAAAGGTGTGAGGTGTCTCACCCTATGAGATCTAGGTGTCTATGTTTTTATCTTATTCATGTCTAACTCCAAGTTGAGCTCCTTTAGATGGAACTGAACCCCTTGACAAGAATAGAGCAATAAAACATTATCTCTTCCTCACAAGCTCACACTAGAGAGAAATTACACAAGCTCACAACACTCAAGCAATACAAAAATGAACACTTCACCTCTCACACATTTTGCTAATCACGGAGTAACCTCTCTTGCTTTGTGTGTGATTGCTCTGCCACATTCTGTGAGTTTGTCTTGTTGCTTTCTTCTATTATATTGTTGGACTTGACAATTGTTACCTCTTGATATTTTATTATATTCGCTTGATCTTTTTTAGTTTTAGCCCAGACAATGAAAGCTTTTTCCCAACAATAAACATCAAGAATACAATGTTTGGTTATTGATGAAATATTATCAGAACTTCAAAAATTGAAAAATAATTTCGATATCACCTAGGGGTCGTTTGGATGGATCAATCTAGAAATGAGTCAATTTGATCAATTGTCTCGTTTTATAAACGAGGCAATTAAAATGAGTCAATTCGAATTACTTGCCCCCACCCCAGGTAATTGAAATTGACTCAAAACCGATCAATTCAAAATACCTCATGCAGATTGATCCATCCAAAATTTTTGCTGACAAACGAGGCAATTTGGTACAATTATCTCAAACGAGACAATTGTGGCATATGAAATTAAGCATTTCAAATAATTTGAAAAGTTTAAAATACAAATCATAAATAAGTTGTATCCAAATTACATTCAGAGCAACACCAAACTGCTTTATCCAAAATGATAAAATTCATTGGAAGTAAAATCTAAATCCATTCTCGTTAAGACATGCTCTCTTATTTCTTACTCAATTACTCATTCTAGAAGCAAAACAAATCCAAGTAACCACGGTGAAATGCGTAAAATTTGGGAACCAACTTAATCAAGCATTGTTCAGTAATGTGTTGCCAACGTCAATGACGAATCTGTACTTGACATCCGCCCTCTCCAAACGTTCCATGGCCTCGTTCACATATTCGACGGGAACAACCTCGACCTCCGCCGCAACGCCATGTTTGGCCGCAAAATCAAGCATCTCCTGCGTCTCCTTCATCCCTCCAATCCCGCTCCCGCCGACCATCTTCCTGCCCATCAGCAACGAGAAAGCCGGCAGCTCAAGCGGCTTCGGCGGCGCCCCGACCAAGACCAACTTCCCATTCGTCTTCAGCAGCCCAATCAACGGCACCAACGGGTGATCCGCCGACACCGTATCGATGATCCCGTCAAAACTCCCCATCGCCGCCTTCATCTCGTCCTGATCGCGGCTGATCAGAAACGAATCGGCGCCCAGGTTTCGGATTGCCTCCTCTTTCTTCGCCGGCGAGGTGCTGATGACGGTGACTTTAGCCCCCATGGCCTTGGCGAATTTGACGGCCACGTGACCCAGCCCACCGAGCCCAACAACGCCCACTTTCATCCCGGGCCGGTCCAGCCCATAGTATCTCAATGGGCTGTAAACCGTGATCCCGGCGCAGAGTAAAGGAGCGGCGGAATGGAGGGGCAGGGCGTCGGGGATTCGGAGGACGAAGTGCTCGTCGCAGACCATGACGTCGGAGTAGCCGCCGTAGGTTATGGTGCCGTCGGAGCTGAGGCCGGAATAGGTGAGGGTGTATTTGGGGCAGTAGTTTTCGAGGTCGTTGATGCAGTTGTCGCAGGAGCGGCAGGAGGCGACGATGCAACCGACGCCGACTCGGTCGCCGGGGTTGAATCTTGTGACTTGGCTCCCGACTTCGGTGACCTGGCCGACGATTTCGTGGCCGGGGACCAGTGGGTACGTGGAGGTACCCCATTCGTTCTTGATCATGTGGAGATCGGAGTGGCAGATACCGCAGTAGAGCACTTTGAACTTCACATCCGTCTCCCCTGTTGCTCTGAATGAATGAATGCAGCAGAGAGATAAGCAATTAGGCGCACAAATTCAGAGAAGGAGAAAGCAAATGCGCATTGGGTATGGATCAGGATTAACTAGATTGAACTAAGACGCACCTTCTGGAGAAATTGAAAGGGGAAAGGACACCAGATTGGTCCCTTGCAGCCCAACCAAAGGCCGGAACAGGGTGCTCTTGCTCTGCCGACTGAATTGCTGCCATTGTTGTAGCTGGGATTTAGTTATTCCAAGATCACTCTGAGGTTTAGTCAGGACAAGGGAATGAGAATTGCTCTTGTCTTGTGAGAATGTGGTGAAGGATTAATGGTGGAGGGGATTGAGCTAGTGTGGTTTGTATATATAGTAGTAGGCAGAATTGGAGATGATAATATGATATTATTATGTATGGGACAGGGGTTGGGAGTGACATAATTGGTGAGGTAATACTTAATTTGCAGTGGAAGCAGCACTAGAGAAAAGTAATAATAGTCAAACCATTGAAATGGGAGGAAACGAATCTTCCCATGTTTCGGGCAGTACATTATTCTCATTCCCATTTCTTATAAGAAAATATATTGATGAAGTGCAAGGGCTTGTGTGACTCGCTGCTTACTTCACCCGCTGGCTTCCCAGGTGCTGCTGCTTCGGCTCAACCCATTCAAAAAATTCAGATATAAGAGCCGAGAATTAAATACATTTTTATTTTCTCAATAGGTTCATATCTTTTTTCGTTTTAAATTAGATTTCAATTTTTTTTTACAGATGGAACGAGTTCGTTGTGCTCTACAAAAAGAGATATATTTTCCATTTTTTTTAGAAATAAAAATTCTGTGCCTCTCGTATCTTCTTTGTTTTTAATTCATTTTTGAAAATTTTTGCACAGAAGGAACGAGTTCATCATGATCTATTGGATTTACAAATTTCTGGGTGAACAAAATACAGGACCAAAAATACCACACAATACCACCCTGGTTGGTACAGGGTGGTATCTTGTGTTACACATGTTACAAGTCGTAAATGACAGTTAATATACTTCTACTATCATGAATTCAACCATCCTACAGTCTTGGTTTGTTTATACCACCATGTTACGCTTTTCATACCATAAGTATGCTCTTATTTCAATACCAGTCAATTCCATATGGTATAGACTGGTAAAAAATGACTCAAATTTTTTTTGTTCCAAAAATATATCAAATTGGATATCATTTTGAAGAGCACAATTAATTTGATCTAACTGTGCAAAAAAAATTCGACTTAAAGCGAGTGAGAAATCATCCGTTAAAGATTAAGGGGGAAATTAAAGACTTATCAGGAGAGAGAATGGACGCTGATGTGACAGATTCTAATTGGATTATGCATAGTTATTGACCACAAGGTTATTGCCCGAATTCGCTCCCTCTCTATCCATTCATCATATCCATTACCTAATTTTGCATATGTATTTATTAGAATGACAATTTCATTTATATATATTTATAAATTAGTTAATTTTATATCATAAAAAAAGCAAGTACCTTTGGCAACATACTATGCCAATGAGTAATCGAGAGTAGCTTTACATTTTTGAACTCTATGTAAAACTATACATAGTTACCGCAATGTATCCTAAGACCTAACCAGTCTCAATCAATTTATTGTCAAGACCGAAGAACTCAGTGACAGACCGTCATACCCTCCAAAAACATTCGAACTTCATTCTTAATTTGCTCAATCATAACTGGGATGCTCTTCTTGTTACCTCTATGTCGCAGCAGACATCTCTCCCGCCAGATAGTACTAATAATGGCTCTCCAGATCACTCGAGCAATTTGTTTGCTTACTGTCTTACTCTTGAGGTTATCAATCTCCCACTGTAGCTCATCCTCCCAAGAGTCAAATGAATATGGATGAAAAATAGGAGCAAGTAATCCTGCAAACATACATTTAGCTACATGACATTCTGCAAACATGTGGCTTCTAGTTTCTAGTGCACATGAACAAAAACACAAGAGAAGAGCCTGCATCCCCCAACTACTCATCTTGTCCCCAGTAGATATGAAATTTCGTACCACTAACCACACAAGGAATCGATTCCGTGGGATTGATGGCCTCTTCCAATCAAGAGAGTACCAAGGAACATGGTGCTCCCTAGAACGAAAGTCTTCCCAAAGATGTTTAATAATAAACCTTGTCATCACATTACCATTCCATAAGATCTCACCATTCTGCAGTAAAGTTTTCTAATGGATATTCTCTTTACTTTTAAGCAACTTTTGCCAGATTCAAAAACCAGTTTTAGATGTAAATGTCCAAAAATCCTGATTCTTCAATCTATACTTCCAGGCATCTCGAAATTATTCCAACACTTGGCCAAATTATGCCTCTTTTCTTTCCAACCTTGATAGCTTCTTTGGCAAGCAGTACAAACGGGTAGAGTTAGCCATTTGGGATCATATCATCAGTAGCAGGTGGGTATACACGTTGAAGATGAATCCTCCTGGTAGCATCGAACGACACAAAGCCAGGGTTGTGCACAAAGCTTTACTCAAGAATACGGGATCTACTTTGATGAGACTTTTGCTCTCGTGGCTAAGATGTCCACTATTCGTACTTTACTTGCAGTAGCTGCTATTCGTAATTGGCCGTTGTTTCCCCTTAATGTGAAAAATTCCTTCTTACATAGGGACATAAAGGAAGTAGTTTACATGGAGCAGCCTTCGAGATATACTCTAGGGACACCAGATCAAGTTTGACTTCTTCGTTCATTGTATGGCCTTAAGCAAGCACTATGTGCTTGGTTCGAGAAGTTTCATGAGACAATTTATGTTTTGGGGTTAGAGCTTTAATGACCCTTCATTGTTCATTCTTCTTCTTCGCGCGGGATATTTGTTTTTCTCATTTATGTTGATCACATGATTGAGAACTGTTATTAGAATGGTAAGAGACGAAAGGAGTAGTAAGTGTTAATCGTGTAATATCAGAGCAGAATGTAGCTGATCCTTTGACTTAAGGATTACCTAGAGAGAAAGTCTAAAATACCGCCAAGGGAATGGGATTTATGCCTATAGAAATATGAATAACACAAGATTGTAAACCGACCAAGTTGACTAGAGATCCCAAGAAATGGGTTCAATGGGCAATAACAAGTCCACTTTAATATAAGAAAGTTCATGCATAGTGAAACATGAATTCTCAAAGTTTATATAGGTTAGTTAATAGTAACTCTTCATGAGGTCTGCACTTCATATGGAGTGAAGTACATTGTTGTTGGGTGTACTTCTAATAGAGTCATCTATATGAATGTGGGAGTGGGGCCGATTCCTATGGAATTTGGCGAGGCACCAAATTTCTAGATCATTCACTAAACTGGGATAACGTGCAGGACCGTAAATACACGACTGTTAGAGAATCACATTCAATGAAAAGGTTCGATGTGCTACACTGTGTGAGATAGAGTTCAAGATTACTAGTCACTCTTGTTGAATTGGAAGTGTCCAAAACGCTAAGATTCAAACTGAAAGATACCTTAGTTTATCTCCATTCTTATACTATGTTTTATGCTCAAAGATAGCTTCAAAACTATCAAAGCATGAGGGTTTTGCATATGAATAAATTTGAAAACTATATTAGAAGTCTCAAGAGAAACTACCACATTGGTAGGTGAACATCTGTTAAAGGTGTATTTAGATATATTTAGATGACCCACTTTTGTGAGAGAGGAATGACCTAAATGACCATTATATCACACACACAAAGCGTCGTCCGTCCATTCGTCGAGCGAGTAGGTGGGTGGGTGGTCAACTTGAGACTATACAATTTGGAGAAATTCTGAATTAATTATTTCTCAATGGATACAATGAGGATAATTATTCCCCTAATTAAGTGTGATTTATTCCCCACGAAAGAGGGTATATTCTTAGGGTTTTGGCTCCACTTTAAATAGTTGATTCCTCATACCCTTTGGACGTTGAACATACGAAGAGCCAACATAAGAGATTGGTATTCATAGATCTGCGGTTCCGTTCAAACCGAGAGTATACGAGTGGCTATTTTATTCTAGGGGCAACCGACTAATAGACTGTTGTGCAAAATCACGAAGTCGTTTCACGAACATTTTAAAGAAAACGACCTAGTCTCCGATTCACCCAAATTTCGATAACCCTAATTTTTTGTTCGTTTTCACTAATATTAAATATAGTTGGGCAAATATTTTTATAAGAATGAGTGAAAATATCAATTTTGTAGTAACAAACGGTGAGACAAGAAATGATATGTTTCTGCCCACCAGCCAACCTCACATCCATACTCAGTACTACAATACAAACAACAAAGCTCCTGAATTTTTACCTCAGACCCGACATGAAAACGAAAAAGAAAAAAAAGGTACTCATCGCCATCTATAGTGTCGCTTCCCATAGTGATGGTAATCGTTTGCCTAAACCATTTCATCCCCGCTTTCATATATCATAATCTATACTCGCCCCATACGCATGCGAGAGAAGGTTTTGCAAAACCATTCCCATGCCCGTGGGTTTCAGTTGTCCATGGGGTAATACCCCGTATATCAAATATTATAATACATAAAACTTTAAATGTAAATTTTCAATCATAACACTAACACACCTACTATATCATTAGTCGGCAAAGAGACTATCATTCTTAACACGGTCCAAACATCTTATCCTAAAACATCCATTAATCCATTAGATATAATACAATGCAATCCAAATTATTATTCTCTTACTATGATGCATCTACTAAGTAATAACTAACTAACATAATCTTGTTAACACGAGGGAAAAAGTGAAAGAGTGAAGGGATAATTGAGGTAAATGAATTAGGTTTTGATTTGGGTGGTCATCCAATTGCATTTCTACTATTTATTTTCTTGAGTTACACTTACTATTATTGATAGGTTATCATTTAAACAATATACTTTTATATGTGAAGAAATGCTCCTGATGGGCGGGTATAGGTATGGGTATGAGGTGGGGAAGGTTAAAACCATACATGCCCTCTATGCATCAAATCTTTTGCGCGTTTTACCCATACACATCCCGTACCTAGTCAAAGCGAAAATTCGCCATATTAATTGGTTGAGTACGATCGGATACCCGCAATTATGGGTTTGATTGTCCGTTTCCAACCCTCATCTCAGAGGAAATATAATTCGGATCGTCTATTTATCAGCTTCTCACAGTTAGCCGGTTCTTTTAGAAGAAATTCGTCTTCTTTACTGCTTTTTGGTTGATAATTTTAATGTTGTCAGAACCGAACCGGAGCATGAACCGGTAATGCGAAAGGCTCGCACTTTAGTGGTCCAACCGGCAGTAGACCGTTTAAAAAGCGTTAGAGAACCGGTTCGAAATAAATGTTATCCGTATAAATAGTGACATTTCTTAATCAGAGCTCGTCTCTTTCTTTCGAAATTGTGAAATGGAAATAAGGATTCAGTTTGAGAGCCCGACGTTTTTTGTTTATTTCAATTTTCAATTTTTTGCAATTTTTTAATTAAATTTAACGGCTGAATGGCAAAAACCGGAAGAGCGGCTCGATCGGCTCCAGCGTTTAATAGCCTCGGCCACTCGTCAACCGCTACATAAAACCGGAGCGGTTTTAGACTATTTCGAGCCGATTTTATGACCGGGTGACGGTTTTACCGATCGGGCCGAGCGGCTCGGCTTTAATAAGACTGGATAATGCAATTGCATACCAACTTCTACCACGTGTGTTTAGAGTTGTCGATCCTAATCTTCATGGGTCGTTTGAAAGTTGCGAATGTTAAATCGTTGCATTGTAATGAATCACCATAATATAAATGCATGTATTGATACAATGGATGCATTTTAACAATACATTGTTTGGTTGTTGAGATTCTATTTTATGCATTGATTTATATAAAGTTACTTTTATGGGGAAATGTCACATTTACCCTCAACTTTTAGAATAAGACAAAAACTATTGGGGATATAAATGAAAAGAAAAGGTTGACACAAATCTAAAACCAACAATCACAACAATCTCAACTTTTAGTTGAGATTGTATAATGGGGTTAATTACATGGTTGGTCACTGAGATTACAAAAAACGTTCATGTTTGGTCACTGAAAATATTTAAATCCAATCTTGGTCACTCAAATTAGTTAAATGGTTCAAGTTTGGTCACTCTCCGTCCAACTCTGTTAAATATGTCTGATGTGGCAGTCAACCCTCAAAGTTGACCGTTAACTCGGTGACGTGGCAATTAAAAAATAATAAATAAAATAAATTTTAATCTTCTACCATTTCCAACTCATTTTGACAATAAAGTAAAAAAAAAGAGTTGGAAATGAGTGACCAAGATTCGGCGGCGGACATTCGCCCGCCCCAACAGCTCTGTCATCTCCCTCGTCGCCTCACCGATACTCCGCCGCGAAATTCGGCGGCGCCCCTCCTCCCTCCTCGCCGCCGCCCCACAACATGGCCAGGGTCGAATCGACCACCACCTTCATCGCCGCATCGAACACCCCGTCGCCTCGCCGGTGCAAATCTCCCGCACCCCGCCTCAACCGCTCCCCTGCCCTGCGCGTGACACGTGTCCAGGGCCCCGCAGGTGAGAACCTCCCGGAACATGACCTTCCGCAGCCCGGCCCAATCGGGGCCGTACGGCAGGTTGGCGAGGTCGATCCCGCCGTAGGTTAAGATCCGGCCCACAATCGGGATCGGGCGGGTCGAGAAGATGGACTCGTTGACCCGAAAGACCTCTTTTGCTATATCCGGGGAGCTGACCACGACCAGGGATCTGTTGAAGCCCTGGATTGTGTAGATTGGGCCGTGGGTTTCAGCCAAGGAAGTGAGCTGCCGGTGGAGGTCATTGCGGCGGAGGAACGGGAGGTACCCGACGACCGGCAGCCCACGTGGACCCGGCGGCAATTTGGTTCTTCGGAGATTTCCGAGGAAGTAGAGAACGGCGGTGAATATTGTGATTGCGATGGTTATGGTCAACAGTGATGTGGCGGAAGTCTCATCTGTGAGTGGAGAGATTAGGGAAGTAGCCACAGGGAAAAGCTCACCAGCGACGGGTTGAGTTGGAAATTAAAATTTATTTTATTTATTATTTTTTAATTGCCACGTCACCGAGTTAATGGTCAACTTTGAGGGTTGACTGCCACATCAGACATATTTAACGGAGTTGGACGGAGAGTGACCAAACTTGAACCATTTAACTAATTTGAGTGACCAAAATTGGATTTAAATATTTTCAGTGACCAAACATGAACGTATTTTATAATCTCAGTGACCAACCATGCAATTAACCCTTGTATAATGCATTATTTTTTGTGATTGTTGGTGAGACCTACGTAAAACAATGCATGCATTGTTTAACACTTTGGCAATTTCAAACATTGTATTGTACATAATACATGTATTCAACAAACACAACTATAACAATCACAACTTCCAAACGACCCCTTAGTTCTTTTTGGTTTCCCCTATTTTGATAAATTTTTGGGGAAAGAAAAAAATATCTTTCTTGGGGAAAGAAAAAAAAAACAACCCCCATCTACCGTAACTACCATCCCAGCGGGCCGCGGCAGCTATTGGATTTGGGCCATGTGAACGCGCCCAAGATTAAATGTCGAAAGGAGGGCCTCACAAATATGAACCCAAGCCCAGCGGCAAAGATTAAATGTCGAAAAAAAATTCGTATTCAACTATAGCCATTGTGGTTTGACATATCACGATGTTCATCCATTTGTTCTGAAATTTCAAAATTGATCAGGAAAAGTTTAAGTACGAGTTGGATTGGGTTTAACGGTTTGTTAAGTACATTCAAGTTAACTAATGGCATACATAAATTAGGAAAAATTGTTTTTCCTTAATGAGATCGGAACTAGAATTCCTGATTCCCACCGGAAAGAGATATACTTGTAGACTGTGGATTACTAAATACGAATCAAAATGTACGCCTAGACTGCTCACGTAGACGACGCCAACCCAGATTGAAAGCCGAAGATACGGACGGTGGATCGATTCCGGTTGTTATACGTATGTACTTACAAAGCTACAAGAAGAATACAAGTCTGACTCTGACGACAACCAGGAAGTTGTTATGCCATTCATTCTGTTTCTCGGGTGTTCGTTTCGACTTCAGGAATCTCTAATGGAGAAGCTAAAAGAGGGCCACCGAGAAAAAGAAACAGCTGGTAAATGGAGAAAGATGGAAAAAGTCAAGGACATGGTGGTTACAACTTACAAGTAGGGTACACGTGTCTGGTTTCCTTTCCAAAACCGTCGATATCAGAAAAGTCCAGATGTATATAAAGACGAACTCGAGTGTTATAAACCAACTGGTTCCAATAATTCGAATTGTTGAGAGAGGCCCACGTATGATACTTAATCACTTCCTTACACGCCCACTCAAACGAAAGCCGACTCATCGGCTTGAAGTTTGCATAGTCCTGCCATACTATGTGCTTGAAGACAACGGTTAATATTGAGGGGCGTGAGGACTTGAACACGTAACCTCAAAGACAAACCAGCTCTGATACCATGTCATAAACCAACTGGTCACAATAACTCGAGTTGTTGGGAGAGGCCAATGTATGGTACTTAACCACTTTCTTACATCGAGCAATCGCAGATACTGTCACTCAAGGTTGTTAACCTCTACGGGAAAGTCGGTTTGCTTAGGTTCGATCAACGTCGACTCCAAAATAGTTTCCTAAAAGTCATTGGTCTGACCGCTAGAAAGAATGGGGAGGACAGGCAGACGAGAAAGGGAGAGAGGAAAGAAGAATGGTGGATGGGCAATGAGAGTTTATAAAGAAGTGGTTAAGTATCATGTACATCTCCGAACAACTCGAGTTATTGGGACAAGTTGGTTGATGACATGATACCAAAGTTGGTTTGTCTTTGAGGTCACATGTCCAAGTCCTCACGAACCCCAATATTAACCATTGTCTATAAAGCACGTGGTATGGCAGCCCTGTGCAAACTTGAAGCCCATGAATTGGCTTTCGTTTGAGGATGAGTGTAAGGAAGTGGTTAAGTAATATAAATGGGCCTCTCCGAACAACTCGAGTTATTGGGACAAGTTGGTTTATGACAAAGTTAGGTAGGCTTGGAGGCGAAGTTGGACGGGACCCTCGTCGGTTTCCTCCAGACTTGTCATAGCTCAAGTCTTACTCATCACTCACGATAGTCACCGAACTGCGTGCCGATGCCACTTGTTACGTAGATTCGTTGGATAGAATCTCCCATACAACGTGTCTCACAAGAATCGAACGATAAGCTATAGAAATATACTTAGGACAAAGAGAATTAGGGTCAGAACGATCAGAAATAGACTGAGAAAAAGAAGATAGAAGAACGAATCAAGAAAGTGATTTGGGTTCCAACCTTCTCATGACATTAAACTAAAGAATGAGTACGTATTTATAAGCATAGAACCTCTCATTTTTCCTACCTAAAATATGACTCCTTATTTAGCAAGAATAGAAGATCAGGGTTAAGGAGGCGTATGTAGATGTGAGTCCACATGCCGATGTGTTGCCGCCGTGATCTCGGACGATGTCAGAGAGGTCGGCATGGAATTGCTGGCTAACGACGGTGCAAGTTAAAGGGACGCGTCCAAAGAAAGAAACAGGTCACGAGAACCGTGCCACCGATTGAGGAAAAAAGGCAGTTGAGAAAGCCATTTGAATTTGGTGGAGAGGAAGAGGAGGAACTAGTAAGGGTTTGTTTGAAGCTGAAGAAGGAACATGTGCATAATTGGGATTTCGAATCCTAATAGGAGAAGGATTATGTTTGCGCGGTAAGTCTCAACGTTTAAGTTTGGTTGTGTCAATAAAGCGAAATGATGTCATATGGTTTATTATATTTTGAGTCCTTATGTTTTAGTTAGAGTCAAAAGGGTCATGTTGATTTGTTTAAGGTTGTTGCATGTTTACAACAACATTGATGTTTGTGGTTGCCGATTTGTAGGATGTCTATGTTAGTGGTTAGAGTCGTGAGGCGAGATTTGTGGCTGAAGCATCTGTACATTAGGTTGAACCCTTCATTCTAATAAGGTTTGTCAGATTACAAACACATTCGAGTCTTCATTGTGGTATCAGACTCGAGCAAGCTACAACCAGATGCTTTCAAGCGGGCTTTTTGAGTGATTAGTTGATAATGATTCTGCTGTCAATTGCAGATTAGGGGTTGGGAAACATGAGAGATTTCATGAGGTATTATTATTAGGGTGAGTGACAAGATCTGCTGTCAAGAAGGTATTGTAAGTCTTTGAGAATGAGTGAATTAGGAATCTTTGTTCAAGTATATCTGCCAAGGTTCGATGGTGATTATGGTCACTGGAGTCTCTTGATGGAGAATCTACTTCGTTCCAAGGAGTACTGGCCTATTGTGCAACAAGGATTTAAAGACAGGAAAGGTGAGGAGCTATCTAAATATGAGACTAAGGCTCTTGATGATCTGAAGCTGAAGGGCTTGAAGGCTAAGAACTACCTCTTCTGCTTCATCGACAAGACTATCCTCAATACCATCTCAAAGAAAGGTACTACCAAAGACTTATGGGATTCAATGAAAGTTAAGTACCAAGGCAATGCCAAAGTTCAGAAATCAAATCTACATGCTCTTAGTCAGAACTTCGAAATCATTGAGATAAAAGGAGGAGAGTCTGTGACCAATTACTTCAGTAGGGTCATGACCATATCAAATGCCATGAGAAATTCTGGTGAAGCAATGACTGATGTTCAGATTGTTGAGAAAATCCATAGAACCTTGACTGAAAAGTTTAATTATGTGGTTTGTTCTATTGAGGAGTAAAAAAAATATTGAAGAACTGTCTGTAGATGCTCTAAAGAGCTCTCTCATAGTTTATGAGCAAAAGTTCTCAAAGAAACTACCTACAGGAGAAGATCAAGTTCTAAGAACCACTCATGAGTTTGGTGGTAGAGGAGGAAGAGGCTAAGGCAGAGATCCTTATCCTAGTAGAGGAAGGAACTGGAATATAGAGCTGTAGAATGCTTTAAATGTCACAAACTGGGACACTATAAGAATGAGTGCCCAGAATGATATAACAATCAACAAGTCCACTATTCTAATTCCAACTATGTGCAAGATCATTAGTCATATGGTGATATGAAGGATGACATGTTACTCATGGCTAGAGTTGATTACATGTATGATGAAGAAGAGAAGGTGGATGCTGACTTTTGTAGAAGATCAATTTGTGAACAAGGACTCAGACTGGTGGTTCCTTGATTCAGGTTGCTCCAATCATATGACTGGAGAACAAAAGTGGTTCACTGAGAAGAATTCCAACTTCACCCGCGCCCCCTTTCTCTCTCTGTACTCGGTCGGTCCTTCACCCCACCCCCCCATCCCCCTCACCATCTAATTCCATCGGCGTTGATCGTTCCTGATGTAGAGGCGGAGCACATGGCGCTCATCTTTGGTGACAGGACCAGGCTGTTAGTGACGAACGCTGGGGAGTAGGTGAGAGGCGATGCACTCAGGGGTGACTCCTGTTGGTGGTGGTTTGGGTTATTACTGTGGTACTGGTTTGGTTTTATTTTGGTATTCATTTTATTTTGGTATTGATTTGGTTTTATTTTGTTATTTGTAAGTGTTTTAATGTGGTATTGATTTGTTATTCATTTTGGTATTGATTCTTTTTGATGTGCTATTGGTTGATTTTATTTATTGATTTTGGTATTGCTTCAATTTGATTCTGATATTGTTTTGGTTTGAGTGTATTTGTATCGGTAGTGGTTTGATACTTTTTTTAAGTGGTATTGGTTTGTGTGTGTATTCGTATTGGTAGTGGTTATCATGTGTGTTTTCATAATGTTATTGATTGTCTCGGCTAGTATAGATTTTTCGTATTGGTATGGATCTTTCTTGGATTGTTATTGATTTTGTTTAGGTTGATATGGATTTTTTTGCATTGGTATTGATTTTTCTTGGATTGGTATTGATTTTTTTGCTAGGTAGTCGGAGAAAGTACAGATGGTTACAATCAATGAAGCACAAGGATGAAAGGATCAGAGGAAGGCAAGGAGGCAAAATCAGATAGAGGGTGAGATATAGAGCGAAGAGTTTAGTTTTTGTAACAAATTATTTCTCCGCTGTAATTAATTCGATATGATTAACATGAATGTACGTACTTTTTTTATATTCAATACAGATCCGTAAAAAATATATATATATATATATATATACCAATACCACATTAAACTTTCTTTTATTCTGCATAACTTTTCAATCATTAAACTTTTTAGTAGGAAAATTTTCTAATTAAAAGGATCTTTATTATTTTAGAGGTTTTAGAATAATTTTTTTTTTAAACCATTTCAGCATATATTTTGAAGATTGTGAGCTAGCAAAAGTTGTAGTCATTGAAGAGTTCTACAAAATCAAAGAAAAGGAGGTTTCCCCCTATCGGACGACATAGCACATAATTATTACCGTCCAAAGTTAGCAAAATCACTAAATGATCCATTTGGAGCAGCAAACGACCTTATTTAGAGAAGACGGGCCAAACAACCTTCGACATTTGCAGTTGCAGAGATCTAAAAAGTTTATCTAGAGTAAATTTTTTGCACCAATCCGATAGTCGAACGAAAAGTAACGGTGGTTTTATATTACAACGTTTATTAGACCGAATCAAATCACCAAAAAAACTAGGGTAATACCCAATGGGTTTGGAAAACTCAAACTCAACCCAATCCGCTGGATATTCGCGGGTTCATGGATACCCATGGGTTCTACAAATGCATAATAACTTCCTGTCAAAATAAAAGTCTAACATTATCAATCTTCCCATACAAATTATTCGTACAAAACACACCAATCTAGAGAATACAAGCAAATCACAAATTATCCATACAAATTGTTCAACATTAAAGGTAAAGATCCATAAACAACATAATTAATTGTCATCTTCTTCCTCCTTGTCCACTAAGCTTCTTCACTCTCCACTCCATAAAATGAACTTCATTCTACACAATTAGGAAAAATAAATTATGCGGGTACGGCTTGGAACGGGTTGGGATATGGCTAAACCCAAACCCAATCCAACCGGCAAAATAGTAGAACTGGTTTAAACCTAAACCCGATCCGTAATCCGTCAATATGAGTTTTACTCGCTTTGATCAGGTTGGATCGGGTAGGGTATCCGTGAATAGGGTTACGTTGTCATTCCTGGTTCGCAGTGCTTTTGCTAAATTGCTTAGCCTAGGAGTGATTTTGCTCAAGTTTCTTTTGTTGGCAATGATTTTCAACAAAATCTCTAAACATTGCAACAATCTGCAGCAAAATCGCTGACCATTATAGCGATCTAGTCCAAACTTTTGTAGTTTGAGAAATTTTTGAGGAAATAATGTATAATGAATTTTGTTTTAACAAACTTAGTATTTAGGGAAAAGATCCCACTTTGTTCTGGGTAATGAAGGACGTTGACCATCCTCTTTTGTTTACATAAGCAAAGATGTCATCACATATTCACATTCGACTGGTGACTGATGCTATTGGGTGGCAACTTCAGTGCCAAAAGATTAAAGAATACTGTCCACAAACACAAAGACAAAGCAGCCGGTTCGACGTTGGGCTTCAGCCCATTACCAACAATCAACTGACGTTACTACGCATTATCTGTTCACTTGATTATACCCTCGTCCCGCTCCCTTATATAAACTCGCCCTCGCGCAGCCTCCAATTCCCAAATTCTGCACACACACAGAGATAGATATCAGGAAATTCCGCTTCGATCTAGATTTCCCTTTCCAGATTTTCATTTCCGATTCGGTCAAGCAAATATGGTTGCGAATCAGCCTGAGAAGGAAAATCCGGTGCCGGCGTTTGGGTTGGCTGCCAGGGACCAATCTGGAGTCCTCTCCCCCTTCAACTTCTCCAGAAGGTTTGGAATTCTCGTCTTCCTCCTCCCGACTCTGGCTTTCACTCGATTTCGTTTCTCCCTTCGAGATCTTTTTCTTTGTATTTGTCGATGTAATGTAGTTACCACTGTAATACACAGAGCGACAGGGGAGAAGGATGTGAAGTTCAAGGTCATCTACTGTGGGATTTGCCATTCGGATCTCCACATGATCAAGAACGAGTGGGGCACCAGTACCTATCCTCTTGTCCCTGGGTAATTTTCAAACTCTCGTCTCGCCCCTGTTTCCTATGTCCTCTCAACCAAAAATCGATTCATCCAATTACTTTATGCACATATATATATGAACCCATGTGACGTTTTTGGGATTGACAGGCACGAGATCGTGGGAGAAGTGACAGAGGTCGGGAGCCAAGTGGAGAAATTCAAGGTTGGGGACAGAGTCGGGGTAGGGTGCATTGTAGGGTCATGCCGCTCCTGCGACAACTGCTCCAACAGCATCGAGAATTACTGCCCCAAAATGATCCTGACCTATGCCGGCACCTACCACGACGGCACCGTCACCTACGGCGGCTACTCCGACGTCATGGTCTGCGATGAGCACTTCGTGGTCCGAGTCCCCGACGCCCTTCCTCTCGACGCCGCCGCCCCGCTGCTCTGCGCCGGGATCACGCTGTACAGCCCGCTAAGGTATTACGGGCTCGACAAGCCCGGGATCCACTTGGGCATTGTTGGGCTCGGTGGGCTGGGCCACGTCGGGGTCAAGTTCGCCAAAGCCATGGGCGCTAAGGTCACCGTCATCAGTACCTCCCCTGCCAAGAAGCAGGAGGCCATTGAGCGACATGGTGCGGATTCCTTCTTGGTCAGCCGCGACCAGGAACAAATGAAGGTAAATTATATTTTAATGATTTTGGGTTAATTATGAATTCAGGAATTGAGATTCATTTCGCTGTTTTGGTAGGCTGCAATGGGGACGCTGGATGGTATAATTGACACAGTGTCAGCTGTGCACCCAATTATGCCCTTGATCGGGCTACTCAAGACACATGGGAAGTTGGTGTTGGTCGGCGCTCCGGAGAAGCCACTGGAGTTGCCAGTTTTCCCTCTGCTGATGGGTATGAGAGATGATTTCCTCGTCTTCTTATCAGGGTTTTAGCCTTCCAGTTAATTTGTGGGTATTTATTAACTGTTGGGAGGATATATGAACTGCAGGAAGGAAGATAGTAGGGGGGAGTTGCATTGGAGGGATGAAGGAGACGCAAGAGATGCTCGATTTTGCAGCAAAGCACAACATCACAGCTGATATCGAGGTTATATCGGCCGATTATGTGAACACGGCAATGCAGCGCCTTGAGAAGGGAGATGTTAAGTACCGATTCGTCATCGATGTGGCCAAGACTATGCAAGCTTAAGTTTTGTGATCCGTTAGGGAGAAGCTATGGGGATTTTGTTATGTTGGCTTGGTAAGAGGCAGCGTAGGAAGTGGAGAAGTGTGTGATTAGTACTTACCATCCTCTAGTGTTTTGAGAAGAAGAAGAAAGTGTTTGCTTTTATTGCTGTCATTGCTTGTGAAAAGGGTGAAATAATAAGTAACTTTGATTTGTGTCTTAAAATTTACAAGGAAAATCCAGAAATAAAAAGATGTCTTTTTTTCTTCTTGGCAAAATACACTTGTATAGTTAAAACTATCACCTTTGTGTCACTTATAGTCACTTTTGGCGAAATACCACTAATAGCCACTTCCGTCCGATTCTTTAACGCTGTTAACGTTAAGTGTGACTGGGCAAACGGAGAAGCTTACGTGGCCCGCCTGAGTTTTACACGTGGATAATAATTAAAAATATACCAGAAACGCTAATTCTACCCACCCACCTTTTTACTACGTCTTATCCTCTTCTTCCAATCCACCCACCAAACCCTACAAGTCGACACAAATAGATTTAAGAATAGAGAACATCTTAAACCCAAAATCCAAAATCTTAAACCCAGAACTACAAATCACAACCCCGGACCTTCTAAATCCCCAGCTCCCATCTTCAGCAGCGACCATCAATTGAGAGCCGAGATTGGGAGCGTGAAATCCAGAATCGCTACCAATTGAGAGGGGGAAGTCGCTGGGGAAAATCATCGTAGCCGTCTTTGAGAAGATCTTCACCACAAGGATGGAGATTTAAAATCCAGATCTGTAGACAGACAGATCGGCCAAAATCCTCCATCACCTCTCCACAGCAACTGTCGTTCGTCATGGGTCTCAACTCCTCCGTTGCCGATTTCCCTTTTGGCAAGCGCTTCAAACTCGACGCCCGCAACACCACCTTCAACATCGATCTCCACCTTCATCTCGGCTGATCTTGGTTCGGCCGCTGCCACGGTGGCGAGTCTCGTTGTCCCGAGTGTGAAATGAGAAACTCCTCCTCTAGGCAACCGACTTCTTCTCTACACATCGAGAGTTGGGGGTTTAAAGGGTGGGGGATTGAGTAGTGTGAGCAGTGCGGTGGCGGGAAAGACGGGTGGGGGAATCGGGAGAAGAGGTGAAGGGAGTTTTGGGCGGAAGGCGATGGTTGTACCTTCGCATGAAGTTCTCGGCAGGAGAAATCCCGATTCCGGGGTCGCGAATCGGCAGATAAGTGGGATTCGGGGAAGAAGAGTAAGTGTCGAGCCATTCAAAAAGTAGAAGAAGATTGGTGGGTAATGGTGAGGAGTAATATACGCATCGATCAGTATGTCTATCTCCTTCGCGGGGAAGAGGAAATTTGGGAAGAACCCTAATTTCGTTTTCTAGCAAGAGATGGGGAAGAAGGAAGGCTCGTGCGAATAAGGTAGGTGGGCGTATAAGGGTTAATTTTTTAGATTGAATTTTATTTTTTTAAAATAATAAATAAATTATAAAGCTGACGTGTCACTATTTGCTTAGTTGTCGCTGACGTGTCCGCTGAATTGGTGCCTCGTCTGCCGATCGTTAAATAAGTTGACGGTGTTATAAACACCGTTATAGTTTCTAACGAAAATGGTTATATCTGGCACGCAAAACCTTTCAAAAGTGGCTATTAGTGGTATTTCGCAAAAGTGGCTATAAGTGGCACAAAGGTGATAGTTTTGGCTATGCAAGTGTATTTTGCCTTTTTTCTTCTCTCTCAAATTCAATTTCTATGATTTACTATCTAGAGTTCCTTTCTCCAGCTCCAATAGGTGTTATCATCTTCGTCAATTCAGAGAGTGTCCTTCACCCCTTTCACTTCTTTATGTTGTCTTTGTCTTATTCTCTTGCCTTTTTTTGTCTTTTTTTTCATTCGGTCATTTTTGCACCTTTTCCATTCGTATTTTCGGCCCCTCTATGGGATTTTTACTACTGCCTCTCCATGCGAGATGTTTGTTTTCCAACTCCAGCTTCTTTTTCGGATTTTCAAATCTTGAAGTTTTGGGGGGTCTTCTATTTGGTGAGCAAAAGGGGCTATGGATTCCAATATGTAGCTCGTCTTCTCGTTGTTTAATCTTTCTTGTAGCTCATCGTTTCACCCAACCAGTCAGTGATCCAAAAATGCAATGACCTTTCATCATGCAATGGTCTATAAGAAGTCTTTTGATGTTGAAGACAAAGACTCTATCTCCGAGCTTTAGGGGTCAGCCAATTGTTATCGTGATTTTCCTCCTCTTGCATGGTGTTTAGTTGGAGCTCATGATTGTGTTTGGTCTAGCGAAGTATGGATGGAAATGAGCTTTTGGTGCACTTCGATTTGCCTTCTCTCGTTCCCCCTCATCCTTCATCTAGGTTGTCTTCTTTCCCATTCTATTTTCTTTGATTTCATATTGGTTGGTGCTTCCTAGTTCTTGAAGATGGTAAAGATAGAGCATCAGGTTTCTGCGGGGAAGGTGAAGCCACTCGAGGTTCCTGAGTGGAAGCGTGAACGCATCTCTACATACTTTGTGTATGATTTTCCAAGGACATAGCGTCCACTTATTCCCATAAATTTCAAACTAGGGGTGGATGCATTGGCAAACTTGTATATCCAAGATGTGGTGAGACTACATAGAGTTATACTAACCATTGTATCATACCGAGATCCTACCTTCATTGAGTAGTGTTGGAACTTTGAAGAGCCTTCACAAGGTTTTATGGACCAATCTTCATTTCTCGATTGCCTATCATCCACAGATCGAGGAGAAAATTCAGACATTAGTGGATCTATTGAGAGCTTGTAATTTGTATTTAAAGGGATCGTAGGATAAATATCTTCCTATATTGGAATTCTTATAACAACCATTACCACATCTCTCTGAATGTCGCATCATATGAATCCTTGTATGAAAGGAAGTTTAGACCTCCCTTTTACTAGGATGAATAAGGATTGATGTAGATTGATGGCCCAAAATTGGTACAAGTAAGAGTGGATAAGGTGAAGCAAATATGAGAATACATGAAGTTTGCTGAAGATTGTCAAAAGAGCTATAAAGACAAGCCATGTAAGGACACGACTTATATAGTGGTAGATAAAGTGGTCTAGAAGGTGTCTCCACAGAATGGAGTTAAGCTATTTGGCAAGAAGGTCAAGTTCAATCCAAGATACATTGAGCATTCATATGAAGTACTAAAGAGGGTAGGCCCTTTGGGTTGTAGATTGGCACTATCCCCCAACTTGCCTAAGATACATAATGTGTTCCATGTTAGTACTCTCAAGAGTTACAAATTAGACCCAACGAATGTTCTTAGGTTGGGGGATACTAAACAAGGCAGTGATATGTCCGACATCGAGGAACTAGTTTGGATCATTGGCTTGCCGGATAAGAAACTGCAAAGGAGGAACTAGTTTGGATCATTGGCTTTGCCTTCCAAATTCCATTAATTAGCCTAAGCTAATAATCCCACCAAGAATCATTCTCTCCCATTTCATCTCCCCAAGAAGAACACTACCAACACCACAATTCTCCTACTTTCATCACCAAAAATAGTCACCAACGACTTTTTTCCCCATTTGTTTCCTCAATTAAATTAGCCTCCTTCCTTTCGGCTCTCCTATCATGAAAATGATCAGGGAGCAGCATTCAGAAGCAGCCGCAACCCCGATTCTTGTGTTAATTATATTTTAGAGTACCATTTTCTAAATAGCCTAGTGTTTCTCAGCTGTCATTAGGTTTCTAAACCTATATATTACTCTTGTAACCTATAGAAAGAGTACAAAGCAAATAACAATAAAATAACTTGTGAGGGAAATTCTCACCGTGTACTAGTGTCACATTGACGAAACCACGTTAAAAAACTCAGTGTTCCTGACTTTCAAGTTTTGATTTTGAAATGATATCAGAACCTGTGAACTGAGGCTTCAAGATTCTTCTTCGATTTATTTGGTTGTTGTGTCAGATTTTCTTCGGCAGCTCAACTCTATTTCTGGCCGCTGTGTCTGACTTTCCTCAGCAGCAGGGTGGTTCTCTTGTTTGCCGCTTCTGATTTCTCACCGCCTCTATTTTTGAGCACTGCGTTCTCTTCTCTTGCGACACTTTGGTCTTGTTTGCTTCTCTTTAGGGTTGGTTTGGCGATCCTTTTGGTATTCTTCTTACCCTCATCTCGATTCTTCTTGATTTTGCTGCATGTTAGCTGTGTTCGACAATGGATTCAGGAAAGCATGAGGCTGTTTTGGCATAGCTCGACGGTAACAACTTCCCGTTTTGGGAATTTCAATTCCATAGCTTTGTCTCTATGAAGTGCCTCCTTCCTATTGTGATGGGGAAATTACCCCAGCCTGCTGACTTACTATGCTTCCTCCAAAGATAAGGATGACTGGGCAGCTAGCAATGCTTAGTTGGTTTCATTGATTCTCGACTCGATTAACTTGGGAAATGGCTTGAGTCTTTGCCGTTTCACTCTGGCCAGTGAGATGGGGACCCATATATGCTCCATTCATTCTCAGAACAATGCTTCACGTATGTTTGAGATTGAAAGTGAGCTTGCATCATTTACACAGGGGGGTTGGGATATCTGCCCCTATTATCAGGCTCTTGTTACTCGATGGACATAATAGGATTTATTGGCTGCCTCCTTCACTAACACTCCCGCTACTACTACTTCCATCCGGGATCATGATCGGTCTTGCGCGCCTCATGCAGTTTCTCATGAAGCTTTGGCCGGAGTTTGAAGCCATCAGGGCCTCTATCCTTCATCACAACGTTGCTTCTATTGATGAGGCCCATAGGGAGTTATTCCAAGAAGAAACTCTCCTTCGCAGCCTCTCCATGCTCGAGGAGCACTTTGACACCGCTTTTGCAGTTGGTCGGGCAGGGGGTTCTCGTCCTCATTTTCAATAGGGTAGCACGAGTAATTTGACATGTCAAAACTGTCATGAAGTTAGTCATATCCAACATGATTGCCGGTAGAGAACTTTTGTATTTACTGCAAGCAGTTTGGCCATATTGTGCTCGATTGCAAGGTCACAGCCCGTCGCAACAAGGGAAACTCCTCTTCTTGCGGGACAGGTGGTTTGGCAGGTACTGGTTCCGTTGGTTCGGCAAGCACAATTTCTTGGAGCACTAGTCCTGCTAGCGCTGGTTATGCCGTCGCTCTGGCTCCAATAATGGATCCTATCCCCGCCTTTACTCTCTCGCCCGGAATCACATCTGCAAATGTTCGTCGCTTGGTGGCTGAGGCTCTTCAGGATGCTCTTCCTATTGCACTTAAATCAGCTTTTGCTACGAGAGGTGGTAAAGGTATTCGTTCATGTTGGTTAATTGATTCTGCTGCTTTTAACCATATGACTAATGCTCATTCTCACTTTTATGTGTTGAATATTGGACTTATATCTTCTTTACAAGTCGCCAATGGGGCTAGACTTCCTACCCAAGGGTCGGTACAACATCCACTGATCGGGTTACCATACCCAACACATTATATGTTCCTCAACTTGTTCCTCAGCCGATCTCAGTGGGTTAGTTAACGAAAGATGGGTGTGTGTTCAAGTTCGATAATCAAGATTGTGTTGTGAAGGATCCGATCACAAGGAAGGTATTAGGCAAGGGTAAGAAGGATGACCGCTTTTTTGTTCTTGAAGAGTATGATCGATCTCAGGAGATGTTGCCGGAGAAGTCGTTCTCTTTGGGGAATATGGACGTGGCGCATGGAGACTGTTCGAATGCTCTTTTGTTTCGGCACAAGATGATCAGTTTGAAGATGATAGTTTAGTTGAAGATACTTTTTTGTTGAATAAGGAACACATTTCTGAGGTTCCATGTGATTCTTCTTATTTGTTGGCTTCTCAGTTAGGCATTTAGATTCTTTGGATTTCAGTGTTCGAACATCTGTTTAGGATTTATGGCATCGTCGGCTTGGTCATCCTCATAATGCTCGATTACTTAGTATGTTTCGTCGCAATTAGTTGTCTGACTCCTTGGCTTCGAAATTTGGCTCCCCGTTGCCCTGTGATCATTGCATTAAAGCCAAAACCTCTCAGAGTGCATACAATATGGTATCTTCTGCGTTGTTTAGTCGTTTTTTAATTTTTGTTTTTGTATAGAAGGAACGCGTTCATCATGATCTATTGGGTCTACAAATTTCTGTATGAACAAAATAAATAACCAAAAAATACCACACAATACCACCCTGTTACAGAGTGGTATCTTGTGATAGAAAATGTTGACAGTCGTAAATGAAAGTTAGTATACTCCTACTATCATGTATTCAATCATCCTACAGTCTTGGCATGTTCATACCACCATGGTAAGCTTTTTCATACCATATGATATGCTCTTATTTAATACTACCAATACCATATGATATATACTCGTAAAAAATGACTCAAATTTTTTTGTTCAAAAAATAAATCAAATTGGATATCATTTTGAAGAGCTCAATTAATCTGATCTAACTGTGCAAAAAATTTAAATTCCAACTTAAAACGAGTGAGAAATCGTCCATTAAAGATTAAGGGAAAAAATGAAAGGCTTTACAGGAGGGAGAAACAACGCTAATATGGCGGATGATGATTGGTTTACTCAGTTAGTAAATACTTCGTTTAATACACGAATATGTACTCGTACGTACTTTATCCATTTAAAACTTGGTATCCGTATTATTGTCAAGTCGTTTCATTTGACGGCTCCCGTACTAAACACGTATAAAATCCGTATAACACGTTTAATATCTGTATTTATGAATTAGATAACTAACTTTACTATTTTTTATATATTTATTTATTTTTAATAATTTTTTTAAATATTTATGACTATTAACTTATTATTAAACGTAACATTAACTCATAGATTAAATAAAATACCCATATGTATTTTATACATAAATTTCCCGTACCGTATTTTACTAACTATGTTCATGGTTAATTAGACCGTACAAGTTTACTTATAGGAACAGCTCCCCCAGAATCCAATGTCCGTTCGGCGTTCACATCAAATCCTCACAGAATTTCCAATGTCAATCTTGGGCTTTCAATTTTGTTTGGCATCAATCATTGCCGTAATCCAGGCCAAAAAGTTATTATTTCTCTTGTGAGAATCCGGAATTCTAGTTCCGATTTCATTTGTCATGTAGGAATTTCTTTCAGAGCAAAATCAGATTTGCGTAATGTATGGAATTCACGTGAATGTACAAATCAGAACTAACGGAAACTAGTTGACCAAACCAACCATAAAAAAAATTTACCAAAACGTGCCACCTAATTCAATTCATACCTGAAATTATCTGATCAAATTGAAATTTCCCAACACATCTACGATCGTCGTGATATGTGAAAGCAGAGTGGCTATACTATCCAAATCAATTTTTAAGTTATATTTTTTTGAGAGAAAATTTTTAAGTTTATTATCAAGTCATTTTACTAATCAATTTCATTGATCGAGAATACAAATTATGGACAACTGTAGCCTACAATACTCTCGCATGTTACTCATACTATTTCTCCTTAATTGATGCGGTGAATTTAATAAAAAAACGAAACAACTAATTTCCTTCCTCTTCTTCTAAAGTCTTTCTAATGATACTCCCATCAATCAAAACAAAAAATATTCAATAAAAATACTTATCATTAATTATTCAATATTGATATACAATCTGAAGATCAAAGTAAAATGTACAGACTCAACTAATTTAAGCCAAATTCCAAATTGCCTAAAGATCGTCCATGAATTTCTCAACAAATTGAAACTTATCTAATTGCCAATGCCTAACCTAACGACTAACAATTTAATTATGTCAAAACTTATTTACTAACCCACTAGCTGCATTTATTACATTAGGCAGTCATCAAATCACACATCCATCACAATGAACCTATCACAATGAACCCACTAGCTGCATTTATTAATCTTTGAAACTTAGGGGTCGTTTGCTTGTTGGATTTGGGTCATAGATTTGGTACCCAAATCCCAAATTTGATGGATTTAATATAATTCTATTGTTTGTTGAAGAGTGCTAAATCCGTGGGTCCACGTATTTGGTCTTTATTTTGGAACCAAATCCGTGGACTCCACGGACTTGTAAATCCCACATATTGATTTGGGATTTGCAAATCCTTGATGGTTAGTTATTTATTTAACAAATCCATCACAAATCCATCATCAAATCTATCATGCAAACATTAGACTCTTCAAATCCATAATTCAATAAATCCAACATAAATCTCAAGGTTTTTATTGGCCAAAACCCTCATTTTTCAAATCCAACAATCAAATGACCCCTTATATGGCTTGAAACAAATATTAGGAGACCATTAGTATACAGACTTTGACAACAAAAAATCTCATAAAATACTCTAAATAAAATTTCACACGGTCATGGGTGGAGCCACATTATATTGGTAAGGAAAATTTGGAAGTTCGTATGCACTAATGAGTAATGATTAGATTTTTTTTTTACCTTACAGCCCATGAACTTTACACAAGATGAATGAATTCATTTGGGGAGTTTAGATGCAGGATTGTAGTGAAGAATTTGTGAGAGATTTTAAAACAATCTCTCATTTTGCATAATTTTAAATAATATTGCATTTAGGAAGATGAGAGATTGTGGGCATAAGGAATTTTGAAATACATCATAGGTGGATTTTTGAAATAACTTATGGGCATCGCTTATTTCACAATCACTCATTTTTTTGTCACTCTTTTTCAAATGTTACACTCCATTCGTTCTTTCCTTCTTTCTTCTTCTTCTTCCTTCACCCCTGCCGTCGACCCACAGTCTCATTGTTGATCTCCTTCTTTCCTCCCTTCTTCCTTCCACCATGAAGACATATGTTCCTTTTCTCAAAGCTCGCTGCCTCCATCATCGACGCCTCCCTCTCGACTATTCTCGTTCTTCCTCTCATCCAAAAAAAGCAACCTAAATTTGTCCGATGAGATCGGCGTTGGAAACCAATCACCCATAACTTTGCCGCCTTTGCTTCAGAGGGATCGTGGAATTTGCAGGTCGTGTCGTCGATTTTGCACGTTCTTCTTCTAGATACCCAGTTCGTGAGATTACTCAAACGATTAGCTAGATATCTAGGTTTATGGGCAAATGGGGTGATTCTAGGTCGGGGTTGCTTTGCGTCGGAGTTCTGGGTTCCTCTACTTCTTAGCAATTGAAGCTAGTGGTATGATTTTCGTCTAGTGTGGTACGCAACCACTACCAGTGAGTAGTGATACACTAACACTACCACTGATACCACTACCAATGAGCAATGGTACGATACCAGTGATAGTGGTAGTGATACCAGTGATAGTGATACGCTACTATTAGTGGTGGTGGTGGTAGTAGTACCACTACCACTGGTATGGTATCAGATATAAATCACTACCACTAGAGACTAACACAAAACAAAACCCGATATGAAATCCAAAAATCACATATCTGAAAAAAAGGGATGAGGAAAAGGCGAGGTTGTGACCTTGCGATGGGGACATCGTGGCGGTGGTGGACAGCAACATGGGTGGAGGGAGGCGGTGGATGGCGCGACAAGGAGTAGAGGGAGGCGGAGGAGGGTCACGGGAAGTGGTGGAGGGAGGCGGAGGAGTGACGCAGGACAGCTGCGGAGGCGGCGACGGTCGAGGGAGGTGAAGGGCCGCAGAAGGCGATGACTGGGGTGGAGGGAGGAGCCGTCTGCGGGAGAGAGGGAGGAGTTAGGATTTATTTTATTTATATGGAAGGAAAATGATTGAGTGTGGTTCTTTCACTTCCAAAAATATTCTTTGTTTAATTTTAATCATCGATTTAAAAAAGAGACAAAGAGAACATATCCAATGGTTACAAATTGGGTTGTGACGGTATCTCGCCCCGTATACTAATTTTATGTGTATAATTCCATTAAAAAAAATTGGTAATAGTCCCACGGTGAGGGTAATAGTGGCTTGTCTATTGACACTCTTTCGAGTTTTATGACAATCTAGGACTAGTTAGGTTTTGGTGAAAATTAAATTGATGCATTTTTATTCAAAAATTATATTATTTTTTGTAGAATTTTATATTGTTTGATTTTCGTGATAATTATTTTAGTATTTGGATAAGTTATATTATTTTTTGGGTGAAATGTCACTTTTTTCTTGATTTTTAATATGAAAAAGCAACATACATAAAAAGGTAGGTTCATAGTTGGAAAAAAATACAACAATCTCGACCAAACTATCTCAACAATCTCATCCAAAATTTGATATTAACAATAACTCATTTGAGTAATAATTTGTGTCACATCAAGCAAACAATCCTTGTATGTTCGTGCAGAAAATTCAAAAAAATAATGCATTGTGAGTGTGGACAATGCATGCGTTATTAGTTTATAACTGTACCAAGCGAACTATCACTAAAACCAAACAACCTATAGATCATTTTAAGCTATGCCAATTAACTTCTTTAACTTTTCAATTCATATGTTTAACAAGTCCATATTCTCATTTATGGGTCATTTACTTTCAAAATTGATAATTTTTTATCCATGGTGTACTTATTTATTTAAAAAATAACATAGTAAAGTCTTAGATTAGAGCGATTTTATTATATCAAATGATATAATCTTCCTTTTCAAACATAAAATATATTATTTTTCCTTCACTTTGTGATAATAAACTAAATAATTCAGGCCTCCAGAGTAATTCTGGCTCCACCCCTTCTACATTAACTTTAAATAATTATCACATTCTTGTATAAATGTATTTTATTTTACCCAATTCTTACCACAAAAAAAAGGTGCATTCTCCGTTCTCACGAATTTTTGACAATTCCACTCGGTTGGAAAATTTTCAAAGGTAAGAGAAAAATAATGATACAGAAATTTACATGGCCTAGCGTTGGAAATGGAAATGTTTTCTAAACAAGTTCCTGCTTCCCCCTTTTTCTGATCAACCAACGTACAGATCGATGTTCATGTTTCTTACGTACATACTCTTCTTGCATATATATATATATATATACTCGATCCACCAGTACTCAAATCTCCCACGCATTCATTCTTTCTTTCCCAATAGATCCAACATGGAAAGGAAACTAATCTGGTCACCTTCTTCACCATGCCTACTTCCTTTCACCTTTTTATGCCTTCTTCTGTGTGCCGCATATTTACAACCGACTCAAGCTGATGCTGCAGCCGGGTCTGAAACTCAGAATTTGCCCTACATCCAGCTTCTGGCTTCCTTCCTCTTCAAGCAATATTGATTTACGCGACCACTTCTTTTGTCTTCGATTGCAGGACGAACCCGGCTCCGGCAGGAAACGGTGCCCCGTCCTGTGACGTCAAGCTCACGTCTGGAAAAGACAGAGTAATTAACCATGTGCATGCATGTAATTTTGGAGATTAGAAATATTTAATTGCGAGTTTAATTTTAGTTCTTTTGTGTGTTTGTAACAGGCGACGATCGATAATGGAATCATCGAACTAACCTTGACGAATCCAGAAGGCTTTGTCCATGGATTAAAATACCAAGGCGTCGAGAACGTGTTAGAAACGCACGAGCCGGATGATTTTGGAGGGTCGGATTTTAGTTTCCTTTGCATCGCATTCCAGTATCTTACTATGGAGAAATTCATGATTTACACTAATTAACCTAGTAGTATTTCCTTAATTATGATCAAAAGCAACAAACCTAGAGAGAGTGACAAAATGTCTCATAATTTTTCTCGTTTAGTTATATGAAACTAATAACCTTAAATTATCCAAACATGATCATGTAAAAATTCAGGTATTTTGATGTGTCATGGGACCACCCAGGAGGAGAAGGAAAGACTGAACAGTAAGTCTGAATTGCCCACTTTTAGTGAAGCATTAGTGAGCCTTTTTTTTTTTTTTTTTTTTTTTTTGTATTTGCTTCCTAATTAACGCGATGAAAGCTTACTATTTGAAGGGTGAAGGGAACGAAGTTCACTGTCATAACTGAGACAGCAGATCAAGTGGAGCTGTCCTTCAGCAGCACATGGAGTTCTTCTTCAAAAGAATTGGTACCGCTCAACGTCGACAAAAGGTTCATAGTACAAAAGGGCGTGTCAGGGTTTTACTGGTACGTGATCGTGGAGAGGCTGAAAGGATGGCCAGATGCAGACATGGATCAACACCGAATGGTTTTCCGGCCAAAAATAAGCATGTAAAAATTACCTCTCTCTCTCTCTCTCTCTCTCTTGTTGATGGCATGCAGCCCAAAAAAATCGATCAATATAAGTATTGATCTTAATTTTTTTTTTTTGTGTAGGTTCAAGTACATGGCCGTATCCGATGACATCCAAAGGATGATGCCGGCGTACAGAGATCGAGAGACCGGACAGAAACTGGCGTACCCAGAAGCCGTGCTCTTGACGTCTCCGATTGAGCCCGAATTCAAAGGCGAGGTGGACGACAAGTATCAATACTCTCTGGAGATGAAGGATCACAGGCTCAAGGGCTGGATCTCCGACGACCCCAAAATGGGCTTCTGGGTCATCTCCCCTAGCGAGGAGTACGCCGCCGGCGGGCCCAACAAGCCTGAGCTTACCTGTCACTGCGGGCCCATTTGCCTTGCTGTAATTAGCCAGCCCTCATCTTTTTTTCACAACGAGAATTTTGGAGTCAAATTAATATATATGTGACTGACACGGGCGCGCGTTATGGTTGAACTGAACAGATGTTTACCAGCATGCACTACGCTGGGCTGGACATGGTCACAGAGTACAGGAATGGAGAGCCATGGAAGAAGGTGTTTGGCCCAGTTATGGTTTACTTGAACTCCATGTCTACCGATCATGCCGCTCTTTGGAAAGATGCAAAAACACAGGTACCTCCTAGTCCTCGTACCTTCATTTTTAACCCACAATTTTATGTTGTGTCTAGATTCGGTTACATAGCTTCAGTGTCCTGATTTTTATTGTTGGCAAATTCAGATGGAGAAAGAAGTGCAGAACTGGCCCTACACTTTTGTTGCATCGGCAGACTATCTCCCGCCTGCTAAACGAGGAACTGTTTCCGGCCAATTACTCGTTGATGACAAGTATGAACCTCACTAGCTAGCTACTTAAGTTCCCTCAATTTCACCGCGTAAAAAAAAAAAAAAAACACTATCTATCTATCATTTGACTGTTTTGCATAAAAATTTAAAAATCAATTGCAGATTCTTAAGTCCGACTCCGAAAGAGGCATGCAAAGCGTACGTGGGTTTGGCATTGCCAGGGACCAAAGATGTCTCATGGCAATTCGATGTCAAGGTTCTTGAATTTCTCTACTCATATATCTCAACTCTAATGACTAAACATGATATGATTTAATAATCTCAGTGACCAAATGTGACATTGACCCTAAGTACTAATTTCCAAGATGTACGGAACATTTTGTCGTATTTACATATAAACAAATGCTTAATGTGTGTTTCACGGTTTTTTTATTTATTTATATTGTTAGGGTTATCAATTTTGGACACAAACAGATGAAAAAGGAAATTTCCTGATTAAAAATGTGATACCTGGAGAATACAATTTGTATGGCTGGGTCCCAGGTGTTGTTAGCACTTTCAAGCATCCTGAACTTATCACCATTCAACCAGGTGTGCATTTGTTAAAATTCTATATCCACCTAGTGAATGCAACCTTGTAGTTCGTTTGCAACATAATCAACATCGATTTGACAACTAAAGGGTGTTTAACATTACAGGAAACGAGGTCAAATTAGGTCCAGTTACTTACAAGCCACCTAGAAATGGTCCAACGTTGTGGGAAATCGGCATTCCAGACCGTTCTGCTGACGAGTTCTTCGTACCAGACCCAAATCCAAAGTTCATCAATAGATATTTCATCGGCAAACCAAATGATAAGTCAGTGTTATGCAGAAAAATTCTTAACATCTACAATCCTTATTCATATTGGGAGCTCATGATTTTTACCTTCTCTTCTTTTGTTCAATTACAGGTATAGACAATACGGATTATGGGCTCGATACGCTCAACTATATCCTAAGAATGATCTTGTTTTTGATATTGGTGTTAGTAATTACAGCAAGGATTGGTTCTTTGCTCATGTTCTAAGGTACAGTTGCTCCGGTTTGGATAATCTATCAAACGCTTATTTAAGTTCACACGTTTCATCCGCTTATAATTTTTAATGATTTTTAACACATTTTCTTGCTATGAATGATTGAATGGTACAAGTGGTTCTAACACATCTAAAAAAATTCAATTATGTTGCAACTTTACAGAGAAGTAAAGCCGGATGATTATGAAACAACCACATGGCAGATCAATTTTGACCTTCCAGAAGTATGCCCAACTGGAAATTACACTCTCCAATTGGCATTGGCAGCCTCACTGGAAACAAATACATATGTATGACACTTTCCTTCGTCAATTTCCACTAGGAATGATGTATTAAGAGAAGAATGGTCATTTATGTATAATGCATTCTCTGTCTCTTTTTTTTTTTTTTTCCCTCAGGTTTACGTAAACAATTTAAATGCTAAAGCTCCAGCATTTGCAACGGGGAGAGTGGGGAAAGACAATGCAATTGCGAGACATGGAATTCATGGAACTTATTGGTTCTTTAGTGCAGGTCTACCTTCAAAATTATTTGTAAAGGGAAAAAACACAATCTTCTTACGTCCGGCAAGAGGTGGAACCTCACCATTCATGGGAGTCATGTATGATTACATTAGGCTCGAAGCACCTCCCACCCAACCATAAACGTCCCAATCTTTCATTTCCCATTATTTAATTTCTTACAAATACATATTAAGTCATGATTTCTTGTTTTGCCATGCAAGTTCGCAACAATTCAAATTTTTTAAAGTAAATAAACAATTGGGATTCTTTGTTGTAGAATTGGTAGATTGATAGTGGATTGGATGATTGTGTTGAGAAATGTCAACAATATATAATTGTACAAGTGCGGCTGACTGCTATGTAGAGACAACCCACCTTCTGATTTTGGCAATGCAATTTTATCCTAAGAAACCAATGCCCTTTTCCTCTTTTTTGCTTCCCCAACTCCCCATATATAAACCGATAACAGAGTTTTCAACCTCCCTTAGCACCTTCATAGGCTACATAAATAATGTCATCCAATACTGCATGATATATACTTGTGACAACTGAAGAAATCAGCTACATTCTGCCCGCATAACTCAACATATTAGCTTGCCATGATCTTATTCTAATAGTTATATTGTCGACAAACACCTTGCAGTCATTGGAGGAGAGATTCCTAGTGATCAAAGGAACCCCCAAAGTATCTAATAAACTTTTGTCATCCTTATAAATAAAAAAGAGAGTGTTAACTATTGAACGAACAAGGTTTGTACTATATAGAGAAACATGCATATGCTAGCCTTTTCTAACTACCTGATTCCCGTGTTTTATAGATCTCTCCATTCTGTTAGCATATATAATTTGGAAGAATTGATTTGTTCATCTCATTTCTATTTAGGTGTTTGTTTGAGACTTTCATGAATAAACCTTTTATTTTTCCATATTTTACGTAAAGTAGTGTGATATGGTGATATGTTAGGACCTACATGTATTATGGATTGATGGAGGCATGATTTGAAACATTGAAGGCATAATTGGAGCTCGTACAACGAGCACAAACCAAATTCACTGTTGTGCAATGTATTTTTGGCTTTGTTAGGCCGTGTATTTTCCACTTTAAACTGGGCTATGTTGTATTGAAATTCACTGGAAATCCAAAAACTACTATCCTAAATTTTGCTCGTGAATTCTATTAATCATGGGTTTGAGTAGTAGAAAGCTTAATTTTTTAAGAGGATCCAACTTTGGGTGAGAAATAGAGTCCCAACAGTTTCTATTGAGAGAACATGATATAAGGGGTGGGAATGAGAAGAAGAAGAACACCTAAAGGAAGCTTGAAAACAAGAAAGTGCTTGAAGATCTTAATGAAGAAGATGGATTTCACCCTCTTGAAGATCTCTTTCTCACACACATATTGTTCTTGCTTTATCTCTCTTGTAAACCCTGTGTGTATTAGTTTGCTAGATCTAGAAGAATTCTTATATGATTGTTGGAGATTTGAATAGGGTTGTAAATGGATTGTCGGTAGCCAGTTAATCAATAAAATAATCGGCTCTACTAACCAGAAATCGGTAAGGTGACACCCGACTTTGGTCTCAATCGGGGTTTGGAGGCATTTTGGCTAACCTATAAGATACCAGTATAACAAGTAACTAACCGCCACCAAATGATATTGCCCGACCTCTTTTCTAGTTTCCTCTCATACGCTCAAGAATATATCTTCATCTTGGATCTCTTATCTGCATTTATACTCAGAACAAGAGACACGATAACACTTCGTTTTGCTTTTGGAATTTTGGCTTGTATTGATTTTCACTTCTTCAATCAGCTTATATGCTGTTGAGTTTGGGTTTACAGATCAAGGAAAGAAGGCAAGCTTGGGACAGAAGAAAGTACATTCCGAAACAGGAAAATGAACAAGTTAACTAGTTTGGGACTCGTTTGGTAATTTGGCAGAGACTACTTCACTCCAGGTCCGATGCGTCGTCGTCTTGACTGCTGTTTGAGTTTGCTTTAGTGGATACGGTGCCATCTGGGTTGCAACGGTTAATGGATTTGAATGTTGGAGCTCTGCCTCCTGCTCTGCTGATTCTGGTTCCATTTTAGGCGAAGAAAAACAAAGGTTTTTCTCTGATACCCCCCCGCAAGCTGGTGGGCAGAGATTCAACACACCAAGCTTGGAGAGAAGGTGATTGAAGGCCGCCGGAGGAAGAGGTTTGGTGAAGAGATCTGCCAGTTGGTGCACGGTGGATATGTGAAGTACTTTGATGATATTGGAGATGATCTTGTCACGCACAAAATGGCAGTCAAGCTCAATGTGTTTCGTCCTTTCATGGAAAGTTGGATTTTCGGCGATGTGGATTGCAGACTGGTTGTCGCAATAAAGAATTGCTGGTTGGGGATGGCCAATTTGCAGATCTTGGAGAAGATAGAGGATCCATTGGATTTCGCAGCTTGTGTGAGCGAGTGCCCGATATTCAGCTTAACAGGAAGAGCGGGAGATGGTGGTTTGCTTTTTGCTCTTCCATGAGATTAGAGAGTCACCCAAGTAGACACAGTACCCTGTTGTTGATCTCCGAGTGTCAATGCAAGCCGACCAGTCAAAGTCACTGAAAGCCTTGAGCTGAAGTGAAGAAGTAGCTGAGAAGAAAAGTTCACTGGAGGGAGCTGATTTGAGGTATTTTAGAATTCTGAGAACTGCTTTGTAGTGGTCTTGGCTTGGATTAGACATGAATTGGCTCACCTGTTGTGTTGCATAGCTAATTTCTGGTCTTGTAGTGGTGAGGTATATGAGCTTGCCCACGAGTCCTCTGTATAGAGTGGGATCTGGAAAGGGATCAGAATGTTGAGATGATAGGTGAATCTTGTAATCCATTGGTGTAGTGACTGGTTTGCAATTCAATAAATCTGCTTCTTCCAAAATTTCCAGTGTGTATTTCCTCTGAGAAATGTGGATGCCTTATTTTGATCTGGCCACCTCGATGCCCAGAAAGAATTTGAGGGGTCCCAAATCTTTTATGCTGAAGGCATTGTGAAGGGACTGTTTGAGACTGGTAATTTCTTGTAAGTCAGTTCCTCCAATGACCAAGTCATCAACATACACCAGTATGCATGTGTAGGAGGATTTAGTGGCCTTGTAGAATAATGAATGATCCACTTTGCTCGATTGGTAGCCTTGTGACCTGAGTTTGTCTGCTAGTTTAGAGAACCACTGCCTTGATGCCTGTTTTAGACCATAGAGTGACTTTTTCAATAGGCAGACTGGAGATTTGAAGCCTGCAGGAGGCTTGTAGCCTGGTGGGAGTTTCATGTAGACTTCCTGGTCAAGGTCCCCATGTAAAAAGGCATTGTTCACATCCAAGTGGTGAACATGCTAGTTTTGAGCAGCAGCAATTGCTAAGAACAGCCTGATGGTTGTCATTTTGACAACTGGGGTAAAAGTGTCTTGGTAATCAACTCTTTCCTGTTGGTTGTAGCCCTTGGCTACCAGTCTTGCTTTGAATCTGCCAATAGTTCCATCAGGATTGAATTTGATCCTGAATACCCATTTGCATCCAATTGCTTTCTTGCCTGCTGGTAGTTCTACAATTTCCCATGTCTCATTAGCATCAAGAGCAGAAAGTTCTGTAGTGACTGCTGCATCCCATTCTAGGGATTGGATTGCCTCTTTGTATGTGTCTGGTTCTTTGTAGGATGAGATAGATAGAACAAAGTGTTTGTGATTTGAGGAAAGATTGGAGTAATTAAGAACAGTGGAGAGTGAGTGCTTGGTACCTTGGATGTGCTGCTGTGGAAGATGATTGGTAGAAGGAAGCTGCTGAAGCAGGTTACAATGGTAGTTTTGTAGGTGAGAGGGTGGTTTAGAAGGTCTAGTGGATTTTCTAGTTGGTTGGATTGGTTGTTGTTGTGGTGGTGGAGGTGGGGATGGTGGAGTTGGAGAAGGGGATGGTGAGTCTAGGTATGCAGGATGATCATCCTCATCACTGTCTGAAGGAGGATCTGGAGGGTTAGTTGGAGGAGAGTCACGGGGTGGCGGGGGATAGTAGGTGGTGGGAAAATCATCAAACAGGGTGGGAAGGGAAGTTTGGGAATAGGCTGGGTTGGGGGAAGTGGTTTGTTCTTGAAAGGGGAAGTGATGTTCACAGAATTGAACATCCCTAGAAGTGAAAACATCATTGGTAGCAAGATCATAGATTTTGTATCCTTTGATACCTTCTGTATAACCAATGAAAACCCCTTTTCTTGCCCGAGAGTCAAACTTAGTTCTGTGGTTTTTGAGTGTGGTGGCATAGCAAAGGCAGCCAAAGATTCTAAGGGCAGTAAGATCTGGTTTATGGTTGAAAAGGAGTTCAAATGGTGTTTGTTGTGCAGGACAATAGAGGGTACTCGATTGATTAAATGAACAGCATGTCTAACACAGTCACCCCAAAAACCAGAAGGTAAGTTTGCTTGGAATTTTAAAGCTCGAGCAACAACAAGAATGTGTTGGTGTTTTCTTTCTACCTTGCTGTTTTGTTGAGGTGTTTCAACACAGAAGAGTTCATGAAAGATTCCTGTGGTGTTAAAGAAGTCATTCATTTGAAACTCTTTTCCTTGGTCACTACGAATTCTTTGGATTGAGGTTTGGAACTGGGTCTGAACATAACACAGAATTCCTTAAGTTTGGACCTAGCTTTTGATTTGGAAGATAGGAGAATGATCCAAGTCATTCTAGTGAAATCATCAACAATGGTTAGGAAATATTTGAAACCATCATAGCTAGGAACAGAATTAGGGCCCCATAGATCAATGTGTATAAGCTGGAAAGGTTTAGAGCATACAGTGTTGCTCAAAGGAAAAGGCAGTCTTCTCTGCCTTGCAAAATGACATACATCACAAGGTAATGACTTGTTTGTGTTAATAGAGTTACATATTTCTCTCAAAGAAGGGATTTTGGAATGAGAAACATGATCAATTCTATAGTGCCAAAGATCAAAAGTATGGTAGCTTGTGGCTGTGATGTGTTTGGGTATGCTGTCTGTTTGGTTTGGATCTATGAGGTAAAGGCCTTGGGTTAGCTTAGCAGAACCAGTCATCTTCTTAAGCTGCATATCCTGTATGTGGCAAACATTTGAGAAGAAGGTTAAGCATAGGAAAGTATTGGTAGTTAATTTGCTGACTGAGATGAGGTTGAAACTGAATTTGGGAACAAAAAGAGCTTCCTCAAGGATAAGACCAGGAACACAGGTAACTGTTCCTGTGTGGGTTGCTTCAACATGCTCTCCTGTTGGTAAGGTTATGTATATGTTCTGAAGTCTCCTGTAGTTGGTTAGCAATTGCAGAGAGCATGCAACATGGTTTGAAGCTCCTGTATCTATTATCCATTGTTGAGGTGGGGAGAGATTAGAGTCAACAATCAGGCTGAATTTACCTGAATTGTTACTGAATGCTGCAGCTGTGAAAGATGGAGGCTTTTGTTGTCCTTTGTCTTTGACCAGAGACATTAACTTGTCAAAATCTGCCAGGGTGAGCTTGATTTCTTCATTGGAATCATCATGGAGGTTGCTGGAGGAGGCATTAACAGATCCTCTTCCTCTTCCAACACCTGTGGTAGTCTTGGGAGGGAATCCATGGTTAAAGAAACAACGTTCTTCTGAGTGGCCTTGTCTTTTGCAGAAGGTGCATTCATATGTTTTCCTCTTATTGTTGGAGTTCTTGGTGTTGACACCAGGTGTCCAACCATGCTTGTGGTAGCATGTGTCCTCTGTGTGGCCTTCAAGTTTGCAGTGAGTGCAAAATGGCCTTGGTTTTCTGGTCTGGAATTGGTTTGAGGTTTGAGCAGCAAGAGCCATGCTTTCAGTAGCAAGGCCTTTGGACTGAGGTTGACCATTAAGTTGGCGTTCATGTTGGAGCATCCTCTGAAAGACCCTGTCAATAGGGGGGAGAGTGTCTCCAAACAGAACTTGGGAACGGACACTAGAAAAGTTATCATTAAGTCCTCTCAGGAACTGAATGATGTAGTTAGTGTCTCGATAGAGGAAAACCAGCTTCATTGCTTTGCAGGTGGTAGAACTTGTGGTGGAGCAGTCACATAGTTCAAGGGGTTGGTAATTATCGAGCTCATCCTTGAGGGCAATGAGGTTGCCATAATAATCAGTGACGGAAAGGGTACCTTGTTTCAAGGTGCAGAGTGATTCAGTGAGTTCAGCAATGCGAATGAGGTCACCTTGGCCATATCTTTCGCGTAAGCTCCTCCATGCTTCCAAGGCTGATTTGCAGGACATGATGGTCTTGCGGATTGCAGGGTCCACAGCTTGCTGAATCCATGCCAACACCATGATATTGTTTCGTTTCCAAAAGACAGATTGCTCACTGTCTTCTCCTGGATCTGGGATGCTGCCATCAATGAAACCAAGCTTGTTTTTGGCTCCCAATGCATTGAACATTGCTTTGTGCCAGTTATTGTAGTTGAGTGTTGTGAGTTTCTCTCCTACAAGCTGGGATCCTGGTTGCTCAGAACCATGGAGATAGTATGTATCTGCCATGGGATCTGGGTTTGCTTCCATTGGTGGCGGCTAGGGTTTAGAACCCTTGAGGCTCTGATACCATAACACTTTGTTTTGCTTTTGGAATTTTGGCTTGTATTGATTTTCACTTCTTCAATTAGCTTATATGCTGTTGAGTTTGGGTTTACGGATTAAGGAAAGAAGACAAGCTTGGGACAGAAGAAAGTACATTCCGAAACAGGAAAATGAACAAGTTAACTAGTTTGGGACTCGTTTGGTAATTTGCCAGAGACTACTTTACTCCAGGTCTGATGCGTCGTCGTCTTGACTGCTGTTTGAGTTTGCTTTAGTGGATACGGTGCCGTCTGGGTTGCAACGGTCGATGGATTTGAATTTTGGAGCTCTGCCTCCTGCTCTGCTGATTCTGGTTCCATTTCAGGCGAAGAAAAACGAAGGTTTTTCTCTGATACACGAACCCTACATAATTCTTTAATTGCAATATAGTATAGTTATTCCTCCCAATTTTGACCTTGTCGCGGAATGAGATTAGGTGCTAATCTCTTTAGAGGTTAGCACCATGCTAATTATGTTTTGAACAATTAGATAAAATTTTATTAACGATCAGGATTAATTGAAGGTTAATTTAGTAGAAAACTATAATCACCAACTCTAACCCTAATATATATACTATCCCAACCCCACATTCGCACCATAGCCGCCAGTTTCTCTAAAACCATTTCTCTACCTCCCTCGCCCACATTCTCTAAAAAAACCTGTTACTTTAACTTCTTCTGATGCCTTCATTTGTTCTCTCAATGAGAGAGGGCAAATATGGAGAAGGCAAATATGTTTATTTGTCGACTACCCACAACAGAGAAAGATGGCTTCTCACCGGCGCGAAGGAAGATGGGACCACGACGAAAGGGCCCTTGCGATGGAGGGAGGCGCGATCGAGCATCTGACGTTGGAGAAGGTAGATATGTTCATTGGACTTTATACTGCTGGCAATTTGGTCCAGTACTGTTTGGTTTTACTCGAAACTGGATTGTATAACTCGGACCGGGATCGGACTGGGACCGGATAGTAAACAATCCAATCTCATATTCGGGCTTAGATTTGAGATAAAAAAACCCAGATAAAGACCGGATAAGAGACCCCAACACTCAAATCCCCACAAGCTCAATCTAAAATCAAAATCAAATTGGGACCGGACCGGGTCAAGACCGGAGTGTATCTAATCCAATCTTTGGTTCTTATATTCCCGAAAAGACCGAACTGGAACCGGATCAATTTGATCCAATTTAACCAGACCGGACCGTATAGCCACCCTTATCGTCCTACAACGGAGAAGGCAGATCCTGGCGAGCACGGTGGGAGATGACGCCAAGACGGAAGCGGCGGACATATCTATTGCAGTTACGTAATAGTGATTATGTTGATTATTCGTCGTAGTAATTATGTAGTAGTGATTCGTATCTATAGACATGTTAAATCAGTTTTAAAATTACAACCAAAGTCAGTACAACAGAATTGTTAAATCACTACTAATTTATCATTTACAGTAAAATCACTACTGACATCACACTACTAGAGTTGTTAAATCAGTATTAATCTAAGTAGTAGTGATTTTTCAGTAACAATTATTTCCGCATTCGAATTTTCTAAGTGAGAAATTGTTAAATCACTATTTATAAATGTATACTTTTTTATTAAATTAAAATTTTAAAAATACCAAACATGCCCTTGTTACTCTCTAGCATCAGATCTTACTTAAATATAATTAGGGGTGGGCAATGGGAAATAGGTATACACATACCCGTCCCGTTTTTTAAGGGTTACGGGTACCCAAATACCAGTAATTTTTTTACGGGATGGGACTTGGGATCAAAAATTTCTACAACGAGTACCTACGGGTTACCTGTTAATACCCGTTTGGGTCATACGAGTACCCGAAATACCCGTTTGTGTCACTTCTTTTTTTAATCTACTTCGTCTTCAATAGTGTGTGCACTGTGCAGTACAGTTTTGGTTCATTAGTGAGAATGGAAAGAATTAATCTGCTGATTAAATGGCTGCTTTCCACTAATTAATAACCTGGCAAGCATGATAATTAATGTTCTTTTCCCGTCAAATTTTGGGTTTGGTTTTGTATGAAAAGGAAATTGTTTTGTCTATTTATGTAATGGAAGATTGGATTAGTGTATGCGGCAGAGAGGTAGAATAGAAGGAAGGCTTTTTTTATTTTTATTATTATTTTGGTGTATTCTGTTTCTTAATTCATAGAGCAAAGTTTGGATGATTTTTTTTTTTTAATTAGGGGTACCCGCGGGTACTCGTTATCCGTCCCGTACGGGTAATGGGTACCCGTTAACACGTATGGGTTTGGGACATGAGATGGAGTTTACTCTCCAAATAGGATGGGTACCGTTTCAAACGGGACGGGTACCCAATCCCGTCCCGTTGCCCACCCCTAAATATAATGGACAGTGATAAGAATGATTAGCATGGTGTTAACTGCTAACTCTTATGAAGTTACCCCTCTAACTCCTCCCGTCGCCGCTCGTCATCCTCAGTACTCATTATCCCCGAGGACCATGGCCGACCACTGCTGCCTCCCCATCCTTCCTTTACGACTTGTAGCTGATGTTGGGAAAACTCCAACCTTGCGAACAAATTCGAGATTACATCTCTCGCGTTAGCTAACTGCCCAAAACCCTCAAGCACGTCCCTTTTGCCTCCATTCTCATATGTGCATGCAAATAGTGGATGTGCTTCATTGAGATTTTGATCTTTTTGTCGATCCGATGCGCAAGGTGTAGATGGTGAAATCTTCACGAAGCGGATAGTGTTTTGGGGTAAGAGTTCGAGACATTTGATATATAGTTAGAAATAAAACCCACTTACACTAAATATGAATTCTCGACTAGCAAAATCAAAATAGAGAAAGACTCTCTTTGTGAGGTAGAGATGTGCATGTGCTTAAAATCAGAACAAAAAAGCTTCACCCCGTTCATTTTTAGACTCTCATGCTTAGTCAACTTTTTATGATTGATAAAACTAGGCCAAATTGTCCTTATGACATATGTACTTCAACAATGTGATATGGTTGTCTAAGTATAAAGGCTAACCTTGTAAGTTACTTATGACATACTACCTATGATCAAAGTTATGTGTCATCATAGAGGACTAGTGACTTGTGCAATTTTGAGTATGGTTTTCTTGGAGACAATCAATGTTCAAGTGCGTGGAATTTGATGGCATGTAACATATACGATTTTAATCACTCATTTAATGCTTATTATCCATATTTTTGTATTTGTTTGGCCATTACGATTTGAAATTTCTTGTTATTTGCTCAAGGGTGTATTTAGTAACCTCTAGGTGTGTTTTTATAATTTGATCACGTTTTGGTAATATTACGTGGATTTTTAGGTCATATCACCCCAATGAATAACCTTGTACGAGATAGAGTCATCATGACTAGTAAGTTGGAAGTTGGGAGTAGAGCTTGGAAGTGCAGCCCAAATTTGCGGCCATAATTGTCTACCAAAACGAAAATTGGCGGCTTAGGCACCATTTTTTCATATGTGCATTTTTCAAATTTTGATGACCCATAAATGGAACCTACATTTATAACAGTCTGAACCAGCAGTGGACCAAAATGGCGGCCAGAAACTATAAATGGTGGTCTGACCAATAAAATGGACCGCCATTTTGGAGGAGTGCTTTAAAATGAGATTTTCAAAGAGAAACATGAATCTCTGATTTCATATATCCAACTAGGGTTTATATACATACATATGGTCTATAGAAGCTCCCAAGCCTCGAAACAAAGAAAGAAGCCAAGGATCAAGAAGAAATCGTGATGGTGGTATTTCCTTCTTTAGTATTCTTTAGATGGCTAAGCTCTTTGATTGTTCATATTACATAGGGGTGCGATTTTACTCGATTTTCATAACAATTATGCTAAATATAGAACCAAAAATTGGGTTGGATTGAAAATGATATAAACCTTAACTGGATTGGATTGAAAATTGCTCTGTCGGAATTTATCCTGAAATGGCCTACGGGATTGATGATGTGCATCAATTATGTCAATGATAATGCATTTTCAGAATGTGGAGAAATGTTTAGTTAAGGTACTGTAATAGGAAAGAGTTCTAGGTTCAGTGATGAAAGGTGACATAATCCAAAATTGCGGGAGATCCTAAGGAAAGAAAAATAAAATTTTAAATGCAAAGCCCAAAGCTAAAGCAGCGGTCGTGGGCTCGTGGGTGTTGAAGGAAAATCCCGCCTTTCGTTTCTTTTTATATATGTTTTGTTTTGTTTTCCTTTTTCTTTTTTTTTTCTTTTCCTTTTGCTTTCCACTCTATCCCTCTCCCTCGATCTCCCCTCCTCTCCATTTTGATCATTCCCTCACAGAGGCACGTTCATCGTTCATGGAAGCTTTCAAAAAATCAAACCAGGAAACTTGAAAAGAGAATCAAATGTAGCCGACAGCGATAGCATCACCACCATAAGAAGAAATAAATCAAAAAATGTGCCTCCTTCTCCGCCGTTCTCCTTCCAATTCAGGTTTTGATCGCTCTATTTTTCTCTCTCTCTCTCTTCATATTTACGTGATCTTATGATTCTCTCTGCCTTCCAAGTTCCAACATTGTTTGAAAGGTTTAAAGTGCCTGCGAGCTTCCGAAAGATCCAATGGTGCTTTGTTCCTTTTAGCTTTTTGAGAATTCCGCATAGGCCAGTTGATTATAGGAACCTCAGAAGTTTATTTTGGATCTTTTGGGTGAACCGGAATTCGTTTGCTGCTAACTCTCGTTGGCATTTTCTTCAATTCCTTGCTCCTTTTGCTGGAGCTAGCTAAGGATAAAAAGATATTCCAATTAAGCTTTGCATGATGCATTCAAGTGTCTATTGTGATTCATTTCCACCCTAGTTTTCTAATTCAGGTTATTCCTCATTTGATAAATATTTTCAGGATACTTTAAGAATGCAAGATTGTATTGCAATTATTACCTTTTTCATTTCCGTTACGAGTTTGGGTAAGTAATGCTCTCAATTATGTTTTTCCTTAGGATGGTTATGATCAACTAGAGGTGCCACCATGTTCGACGGAGAAATCTCGCTTGTCTGGAGGCTGATGACCAGCTCCGAGTCATATGGCCCATTTCTTTTCCGGTGGTTCTTAACTGCAACATTGGGTGTTCTCGCTCTTGCATATGCAATCCTAATATGGCAGAGAAAGACATCATTGAATTGGGTTAAAGCAGCTGCTAGAGCAAAGAAAGAAGCATGGAGGAAACTGAATGTTCCTAGATCATCCCATTCATGGATGGAGGATTTAGCACAGATTCGACTGCCTTCCACTTGCTGTGTTTGCCTCACTTCCTTAGTTTCTCCAACTAATGCGTCAAAATCTGCGTCCCACAGTACCTCTTCTGTCCATCGTTGCTCTGTTTGTGGTGTTGCTGCTCATTTCTACTGTTCGGAGTTTACTGCAAAGGATTGCAAGTGTGTTGCCCAAGCTGCCTTCATTCAAGTCCAACATCAGTGGTCGGAGAGGTGGTCTAAAATGGAGGAAATCTCGGAGATGTCTGCCTTTTGTTGTTACTGCGATGATCCTTGTGGTGTTCCTTTTGTTACTGACTCGCCCACATGGCATTGCCTATGGTGTCAGCGGCTTATACATGTCAAGTGTCATGCTAAGTTGTCAAAAGAATCTGGAAATATTTGTGATCTGGGTCCTCTAAGTCGGATTATTCTCTCTCCACTATGTGTGAAGGACCTGGATGATAAAGGGTCTTCATGTTCTACCCCAGAGGAAATCCCAGCTTCCACATTTCGTGGACAGATGAAAAGGAGACGTACCCGGGGTAAAAATGGAAACAATCACTCTGCCAACGGTAAGTTGCAAGATGCATCATCAGCTACAACTAAGGCCCTGGATTTTTTACTAAATGGGCTTGTTAATCTGAGGAAATCCGGAAGTGAGAAAACTGGCAATAGTCGCTCCAAAAGAGATGGCAGATCTAATGGTCCAGTCAATGGTTTAACACACAAGAAAGATGGAACTACTTTCAACAGTCAACTTAAAAGATATGCTTTGGTAAATCTATCTCAAGATGCAAGACCCCTTCTTGTCTTTATTAATTTCAAGAGTGGAGGGCAACTTGGGTCTTCTCTCCGAAGTAGGATGAACTTGCTGTTAAATCCGGCTCAGGTTCATACCTAAGCCCTTTATTACAACTAGTCACTTATATATTTAAGTAAAATGCATTTCTTCTTTCAACACTTTGTTTGTTTGGTTTATTTCTCAAGTTGTCTCTTGTTCTTCATGTGGTGCAATATGTTTGCCTTAGGACTCATTGTAGTAAATACTATACGAAAGTAATGAATCATTAAAATGACATTGCTAGAGCTACTAAAGTTGGTTGAGTTATTGCTTCAGTGAAGGAGTAATCTTATCCATGCGATCTAGTTTATTTTTGCAATTCATTCGTATATTTATGTAAATGTATGGATACTTATCAGAATTATTGGACTGCAGGTGTTTGAACTAAGTTCTTCTCAAGGGCCTGAGGCTGGTTTACAGTTGTTCAGCGATGTGCAGTATTTCAGGATTCTGGTTTGTGGTGGAGATGGCACAGTTGCATGGGTCCTTGATGCAATCGAGAGACATAATTTTGAATCCCCTCCCCCAGTTGCTGTGCTTCCTCTTGGCACTGGGAATGATTTGTCAAGGGTATTGCAGTGGGGGAGAGGTTTCAAAATGGCAAAGCGACAAGGTGGCCTATGTGCTATCTTGCATGAGGTTGACCATGCTGCAGTTACAATGCTAGATAGATGGAAAGTAAATATTATAGAGGAGAATCTAGAAGCGGACACGAAGAACATACAGTCAAAGTTCATGATTAACTATTTAGGTATAAATCTACCCTTGGTGGTGGTTGCAACTATCTTAGTGATATGCAACTATTGCATGGCAGTCACTCATTAGCTGATTTGTTTTCTGTAGGGATTGGGTGTGATGCTAAACTAGCGTATGAATTTCATGTGACTCGGCAGGAAAAGCCTGAAAAATTTAGCAGTCAGGTAAAATTACGTTATGTCTGAAGAGTTGGGGAGATATTGTGCTTATTTTGAAGACATCATTTATGTTTTCTCTTGGTAACTGTGGTATTGAATTATTATGGTCAGTTTGTGAATAAATTACGATATGCTAAAGAAGGTGCAAGGGACATAATGGACAGAGCTTGTGCAGATTTGCCATGGCAAGTGTGGCTTGAAGTTGATGGAAAGGACGTTCAGATACCAAAGGTATGTGTAACACCATGTACTTCTTACATTATTGTTCAAGTTCTCTGTTGATGTGGCTTTAATTTTGAGAAATATACCTTTTTTATATTTTCGAAAACCCTTTTGTTTTCCTGCCGTCCAGGATACTGAGGGTTTAATTGTCCTGAACATTGGCAGCTACATGGGTGGAGTAGATCTTTGGCAAAATGATTATGAGCATGATGATGATTTTACCCTGCAGTCCATGCAAGATAAAATGCTAGAGATTGTATGCGTTCGTGGAGCCTGGCATCTAGGGAAAATCCAGGTATTGAATGTTCGTTACACGGCTTGTTTGAGCATAGATATTTTCTTTCATTGAGTTGACACAATTCGGTCGACACAAGTTACTATTCATATATATGAAATTAATGCTTTCCTTTAGTTGTTCCTGCTGTTCTTGAAAGTTCATAATGAAAAGTGTCAGACCCACTTTAACATCGTGTTAATGAAAAGTGATCCTGAAGGGCTTGATTAAGAATTCTAAAAAACCACAAGGAACAACATGGGGAAAATTTTAGCAACATAGTTTAGAGACTTGGTAGTAAATACTACATCGTTCAAGGGATGGAATACGATATCTTTTCTTACATGTTCCTTCCTCTTTCAGCTTTGAAATCATACATTGCCTCACATCATTTATCAGCAAAGTGATTTGCATATCCACAAGCACCAACTGTAGCTCAACTTTCATAATTTTGGGTTTAGGTTGGACTATCACAAGCAAAGAGGCTAGCACAAGGGAACATTATAAGAATACACGCTTCGAGTTCATTCCCAGTGCAGATAGATGGGGAGCCATTCATCCACCAACCGGGTTGCCTAGAGATCAAACACGATGGTCAGGTAAGGAATTCTAATTATCCCAGAATGATGAACCAAACATATCAAGCAATGACGTTTGGTGAAGTTTTGGTGCTGGGGAGGTGGAGTTTCTGTTTTCGTGGGGTTCATTTTCGGTCTTTCTCTCTTGCGGTTATAGGTGTTCATGTTGAGGAGAACACTAGAGGAGCCAAGAGGGCATGCAGTTGCGATAATGACTGAAGTATTGGCTGACGCAGAGTGCAAAGGGATCATCAACACATCGCAACGGAAAATACTGCTCCAGCAGTTGGCTCTCAATCTCTCTTGAGTTGGAATCCAGATGAGGAGTCCCTATTTGGTTTGGATTAACAAACTTTTGTCCCGCAGTTAGCATTGCCTTAGGTTCTTACGATAATTGTTTTGTAATTGGTTTGGTATATAGGAGTCGGTCAAACAGGCGTATAATTGATTCCTAGAGTTTTTAGCCAGGCCCAACTGCCAAATGGCATGAAAATTGGTAGTTTGAAAGGTAAGGCCTTGTAACAGAAAAGAGAAAACAAAAGCAAGTGTACCATTTGAAAATATATGAGTGTTGATACGACTTGAAATCCTATGCTTTTTCTTAGGTCTAAGTTTGGAGATTGGGGTGGTTTGTTAGTGGGGTTGGGTAATGGATTTGGTATCCATATTTCAAGCATCAAGTATCGTGGACAAACTCATATTATTTTTAACAAGTTTATTGTTTAATGCGGAAAAAATTTGTGGGGGGGGCCATGAATTTGATTTTTTTAGATCTTCGGTAGATCCCATCGATTTGCGAAGCCCACCATTTGAGATTTCTTAATGAAAAACAAAATTTGTGCATAAAAAAATCAAGCAAACAATTAATGAACTTTTTCAAATCCATAATGCAACAAATTCATTATAAATTCAAAAAAATTTAAAAATCAAAACCCTCATTTTTTTAAATCCAACAAGCAAACGACACTTGGCATGACCTGATTAATTTAAGGAACCAGATCAGATGCCACAAATTTGCTTGTGCTTCGTCTAGTTTTTGGATAGGGAGAAATCAATCCAAGGGTCCAAAACGCTGCTTGTACTTTGACTAAGTGAAAAATAGGGTTCTAACACTAACTTTTGGCATCCGAATAAACTAAATGAGTGTAAATTATGTCATGAAACGAATAAGAGTTTGCCTAGCGATATTGCCTTTGGTTTTTTTCTATATATATAAGGGTGAAATACATTAATTAATAAAAGTATTTAATTGTTCAGGAAAAGAAAATAAGCAAAGAAATAAACAAACAAGACAAAAGAAGTTGCGCTCAAATTGGAGCAGCAGCAAACCAAACAGAAAGACAGACAAACCAGAGTAAAGGAAGGAGGAGGAGATAGTAAGAACACAAACATGGCTCTATCAGCAGCAGACGAAAGCATCCTCGGACAACAAGGCGCCAAAATAAGGCAAAATACACTTATATAGCCAAAGTTTTCGCTTTTGTGATAATAATAGCAAATTTTGAAAAAATACCACTTATATTCACTTTCGTCCAAATTTTTAACGGTGTTAGCGTTTAGTCTGACTAGACAAACAGAGATGTTGACGTGACAAAATCTTATTTCCAATTTCTTCTGTAAATATCCACGTGGATAATAATTCAATTAAAAAAATTACAGGCTAAAAACTTGATAGAAACCTGCAATTATGCTATTTCGTTATTTGGACTATTTTGTCGGTTTATGGTTCTTTATGACTAGTTGGGATTATTTTAAGGGTCATTTGGGAGAGGACAATAATTTGGGGTAGTATTGATAGATTATCGGATTATATAAATATTATTGTTAGTGGAAATTATCCACTAAGAAAGATTAAACCTAATTTAGTTTTTCTAATTCTCTCTTTTCCTCTTCCCTATGCCGAAAATCTTCCCTCTTCCCACCTTGTTGCTGCTCTTCACCCACCCCTCATTTCTCAAACTTCTTCATTTCCTTTAATCCCCTACCAATCAAGTAGGTCACCTCCTCGGTGATCGCTCCATTTTCCAAATCCCTAGCAAATGATAGAAGTTCGAAAATCGGGTTTTATGTAATCTGGTATCAGAGCCCGGTTCGATGATTGAGTTCGGCGCTGCTCCCAACTAGACATAACTCAAAAATTAATGGTGTTAAACAAATCAAAAAAATTTGCTGAGAAGGTTACCGGGAAGGCTTTGATGGAGAAGACGTACGATGACGCCGCGGCGCAAAAGCCCACTATTGGCACCAAGAAGGCTGCTGACCATGGCGCGACCAAGGAGAGCTCAGTGAAGGGTTCGGCACAGCAAGTGGAGGAGTCCCAGGACGGTGTCACCATGGTTGATGTGACGCACAAGGAAAAAATCAAGTCGACAGTGCAAAAAATAATGGTGATGCATCTGAAAACCAATTCTGACATAGAGGATTTGTGGAGGGCCATTGATGACGGAAAGCAGTGGAATAAGAGTTGGGAAATGGAGCGGGGGAAAACGGAAGAAATGGACCGATATGAGGGTTATCGGGAGGAAGACAATCATAGGTGGAGCAAAGAGCGAGACCCACGGGGCCCACGAGACTACCGCGGGAGGACTCCAAGTATTGACAGGTATGGTGGGTACACATATGATTATGAGAATGATCTTGTGTTCAGAGCCAAACCTCCAACAATTGAGTTCCCAAGATTCAACGGTTGTATGCAGCTGACAGGTGGTTCAAGAACCACCCCACGAAGGAGGAGCTAAAGGCGCACCTGACGTTCTTTTATATTGAGGGAGATGCTCTGCATAGGTGGGAGTAGTTGGAGAGGTAATGCACTGCCACCGGGAGGCTGATTCCCTGACCAAGGTTGCAAGAGGAGCTTTGCTACCAGTTTGGAAAGTCAGAAGAGTGATCACTAGAGCAGGTGGCCAAGTTGAGACAAACAGGGTCAGTGGCGGAGTATAGGGCGGAATTCCTCAAGCTGGGGACCAATGCAAAGGGGTGAGGACGGCCTGAGGCCAGAGATCGCTGCCGTGGTCCGGGTCTTTGATCCGGACTCCTTGAGATCTGCTTTTCGTCTTGCATGTTACAAGGAGGAGGAGATCGCGAGTTGGAGAAGCACCATAGGCCGCTATTAGAAGCCTAGTGAATGAGGAAGTAGCAGCTCGAGACAATGGAGGAGGAGGGGCTTCGGTCGTGGTGATTTCAAGCGGAGGAACGGTGGTGACCGCCACCCCGGTAATGACCGAACCGGGACCTAGAGCACTGCCGAAGGGCTTTGTGAGGCTATCTCAGGTGGAAATCGAGCATAAAAGGCATGAAGGCAAGTACTTTTATTGTAATGAGAGGTTCACGATAGATCACTAGTGTGCAAAATCAAACTTGATTATGTTGGTCGGTCGTTGGATGGACGAGGCAGAGGATGAAGCAACGACGGGAAGAGGCGATCCAGAGGCGGGAGTTAAACTTTGAGGACAAGGTTGTTCTGAAGAAGGCGGGGATGATATAACCCTGCAATTCTGCTATTTCATTATTTGGACTATTTTTTCGATTTATGATTCTTTATGACTAGTTGGGATTATTTTGAGGATCATTTGAGAGAGGATAATAATTTTGGGTAGTATTGAGGGATTATCGAATCATATAAATATTATTGTAAGTGGAAATTACCCACTAAGCAAGATCAAAACCTAATTCAGTTTTCCTAATTCTCTATTTTCCTCTTCCCTCTACTATGGCGCGCCGTATCCCCTTCCTTGCAGGGATTGAGGAAGGCAGGGAGGCTAGAGCCGAGGAAGGAGATACCAGAGGTGGATAGGTTGAAGAATCCCTGGAGCCACAAAAAAGTGGAATTAATGTTGTCATTGCGCCGAACGATTCTTCACCAGAAGACACTGCTTCGCCGCCACGGATCGCTTCACGACCAGCAAACGCAGATCTTGACCGTCTACTCTCCCAGCTTATCCTATGTTGCCTTTCGGGTTGTTCATCGTCGAATATGGTCAAATCTAAACACTCAGAAGGAAGGATGTGGCCATAACAAGAATCTGCCTCATCTCGAATCGGGACAAGCACATCTCCGATGCGTTCACAACTAGGCCTTCAATACACAAATTGAAACCCAGAACCAGGGTTTTAGGTGGCGCTGCGTTCGAGCTTTGAGGAAGGACCTGGATTCCAACCATCTCGAGATCGGAGATGAAACAACCAAGTGCATATCTAAGTATCCTCAGAAGCCACACATCAAAGTCGCCTCACCAAAAATGGACGCGGGCCAAGACTAGCTTCTCCTCGCTATTGAGGATTTGATTCGGGGATGGGATGAAAGGGTTCCTTATTCTTGGCGAGAGGACGAAGATGAAAGGGGATCGCCAGATTTTTTTATAATTCAATTTTGTGATTAAATAAAAATAAAAATCATTCTTTGAATTTTTAATTAAAATAACACGTGGTGTCTAGGTGTCATCAACGTTTGAGTTCTCACTGATGTGTGCGATGATTTGACATCCTAGTCAACCATAGTTCACCTAACTCATGGAGTTTCTAACACTGTTAAAGTTTGTAACGGAAATGTCTATATTTGTCATAAACTTTCAAAATTTTGGTCATAATTAGTATTTCTCCAAAATTGGCTATTATTGATATGGTCCCAAACGCTCATAGTCTTGTCCTCTTTCTTTTAACTACAACTTACATGACTCTATGTTCATAAAATGAGATATAAATCCATTCTTCCACAGGTCATGCCCGAGTTTGTTCCCCTGAGTCGTCAATTGGTCTCCAATTGACTTGAAACTTTCGCCTATAAATGTGATAAAGGAACACAAGCTGGCGTATAATAGTACAAACTATGATAAAAACCAAGCTAAACAATCAAGAAATGAGGGGTAAAACATGTGTAAATATGTAGTCATCATCTTGGCCCATGAGACAGACAAGGCGGGGCACCGTACCACCCAGCCATAGTCAGACCGTTCAGGAATTGTGTAGATGAGAGCGGGCTTTTGGATGTCAACTACATTGGACCCAGATTTACTTGCCGCAGGGGGATCCTCTCACAACAAATGAATAGAGCCCTATGTAACAAGAAATGCCTTAGTAGATTTCCAGATGTCAGAACACAACATCTCGAACGGATTGGCTCTGTCCATAGACCGATCCTCCTCACATGTGTGTAGGGAAAAGACAACAAAATGGGAATAAGCCGTTCTGGTTCTTAGCTGCTTGGCTAGCTCATGAGGATTTCTCTCATGTGCTCTCTGAAGCTTGGCAGCACGGCGAGTGATTTCCCATTTCCTCATGGCATCTAACTCAGGACCTGATTAAATGTATCAAAGAAGTTTTCAGGCATATTATCAAGCGGAAGTAGGAGTATTTCGGATGCCTGAGAGCAGCAGAGTTGGAACATGAACAAACCGCAATGGAACAGTCTGTCGATGCCGAGCAGAGGCTTCAGAAGGAACTCGAGGATACTCTATGGGAGGAGCATCTCCTTCTATTTAAAAAATCAAGAGTGTAGTGGGTTACAGAGGGAGATAGGAACACCTAATACTATCATCTCTCCACTCTCAAGAGGAGGAGTTTCAATAAGATTAGAGGTCTGGAGAAAGAGCGTGGAGTGTGGGTGTACCAAGCCGAGCTGGGATCGCCACTTGTCCTCGCATATGATTTTCCTTTATTACTTCTGATGTCAGAGGAGTTGCTTCAGAGAGCCATTTCGCATTAGGAAGTTTGGACCGCGGCTGACTCGGCTGCACGGGACCTGGGTTAGAGACTTCGTTCTCGCGGAGCCGCACCTAACAAGGCCAGCTCATCCTTTCGCCTTCCACGTCAGCGGCCCTCACAAGCCCTCTCCTCACCACACACCACATCTCTATGGCATTGTCGACCCCACGCCACCCTCGACGGACCACTAGAGAGTTGTTCGCTCCTTGTTACCGTGCCAAAAGATGTTGGTTTCCCTATTTGTAGCGTCGTGCCCCATCGTCGCCCGCCATCATAACCACACCACCAGGTCACCGATTGGCCTCCGCCTCGACGCCTCTAGCCATTGTTGTCCTGCTTCTTCAAAGCGTCAATTGGAAGGAAATGAAGAGAGGGAAGGGAATAGGGTTCACCGTCACTAAAAAAAGAAAGAGAAAGTGATGGAGATTTACAACCTTATGTGAGAGGTGTGGTGAGCCCGTGAAGAAATTTATTATTATTATTATCTCTTATTCATAAATTACAATTTTAACCCCCTAGTCCAAATTTTTAACAAAACAAACCATTCCATAATTGTGGATTTGGTACCCAACTTTTTAAGTAAATTAAAACAACCATCCCTTTTGGGTCAAATGGGTCAACTCTCGATTGACCCACCACCCTGCCATCCAGTCGTCTGGACGGGCCAACTGGCCAACTCGGCTTAATAACCTTGGAAATCACTTAAAAGCTACATCGAAGCATATTATTGTTCAAAATTAAAAGCAAACAAAATCCTGAACTTTCTATTGTTAAATTAAGTATCAGAGTCAAATCTTGGAGAGGTGAACCTGAAATGAGAGACAAACAAATAATATGATCTTAATTACCTTTTATTCCATAAAAATGTGGTATTGATTGCTTTTCAATTACCAAAATGAACCGACAATATTGTTTACTAGTCAGTATACAATAACCCTACTACTATTTTCCATTAGCTATCGAAAGAAGGTGGAGAAAGAAAATAAGAAAGGAAAGCCTAGCTATGCTATCAATTTCCTTTAATTTACTTGTGGTTTTTTATGGGTTAATATATTTGTATGTACTGAACTTTGCACATACTAAACATCTTGATTAATTTTTTCGATTTATAACATCCTGATCCAAATTATACATCAAAGTAACGAAATTGTCCAAATCCGATGTTTGACCGTTATCTTGGATGATCAAACGTGTTGACTAACGGTCAACATGCCACATCACTGCCAAGTCAACAACTTTCTCTTAAAAATTTTCATATTTTCCACAAATTACCATTTTTCTTTTTCTTGGTTCAAAATAAAATTAAGTTTTTCTTCTTCTTTTGGTTCAAAATGAATAATAAAAATGGTAATAGGTGAAAAATATTAAAAAAATGTAAGTGAAAGTTGATGATTTGGCAGTGACATGGCATATTGACCGTTAGTCAACGCGTTTGACTGTCCAAGATAACAGTCAAACATCGATGGTCAATTTCGTTAATTTGATGTATAGTTTGGACCACGATGTTATAGATTGAAAAGATTGGTTAGAATGTTTATTATGTGCAAAATTGAGGCCATATAAATATATTAACCTAAAAAATACGCGAAGTCCCAAATATTTTGAGAAAGGAGAAAAGAAAAATCCAAAAGCCCAAAACATTGGGAATGTCATGTTCAAATTAGTTCCAAAACTTATGCGCTATACACAAATTGATTGGAGGTGAAGAGAAGAAAAAGTAGTTGTAGAAAGTTCCAAAAGTCATTGGTACTTTTTATTTATTTATTATTATTTATGTGCTTATCAATCTTCATTGAATATGCAACAAATCATGCAGCTCCAAATAAAGCCTAAAATAAGAATGATGACAATTTTAGTTCAAAGATTACACTTTCGAGACTACGTTCCAGAATAGCAAACACATTATAGGTAACGACCCAAAAATCTTGCAAACTAGATCACTTTTGTTGTGATCTCTGCACTTATTATTAAGTATAGGGATCTTCTTGTAATTAGCCAGCCGACCCAAGTTTAGTGTTGTAGTGTTTGGCTCGGCCTGTACTTAAGGGGAAGAGTGCTTATGTTGATCCCCAACTAAGAAAAACCTAAAAAGATCAATAATAGATCGGCCGAGAACTCACGTTCTCCGTGGACTAGTCCCGTTCTCACCGAACGGGGAAACCACGTAAAACTCGTCTCTTGTGTTCTTTCGTTTCCGCACTTTCGATTTCTACATGGTGTCAGAGCTGTGAACGGATTCACGGCCATTTGTTTTTACTATGGGTGACACAGATGATCATACCATACACAGCTCGTCAAGGAGCAGCGGCGGGGACAGCGGTCTTGGCTCCGCCCAGGTTCTTCCGCGGCCTTCTCCTTTCTTGATTCATAATTCCGATAACCCCAGTCAACTTTTTGTGGGTGAACTGCTCACCAAAACCAATTACGGCGAGTGGGTTGGAGACATCACTGACTCCTTCATCGCCAAGAACAAGCTTGGGTTCGTTGATGGTTCGATTTCGGCGCCTGACATCGGGGGAGAAGACTATGCCGCGTGGAAGCAAGCTAATGCTATGGTAAAAGGTTGGCTCAAGACAGCCATGACTAAAAATATTCGGAGCAGTGTTCGTTTTGCACGAACAACTAGAGACATCTGGGTCGATCTCCAATCTCGTTTTGGGCATGGTAGTGCTGCTCGTATGTACGAGTTGAAGCGTACTATAAATTTACTTCAGCAAGAGAAGACTTCCATCACCACATTTTATACAAAGTTGCGGGGGCATTGGGATGAGCTGAGTTCGTTGGCCCCCTCTCTCGAATGCACTTGTGGTGGCTGTACGTGTGATGTCAAGCAGCGTCAGCGCGAGGCGAAGGAAGGTGAGCGCTTATTTGACTTTTTAATGGAACTTGATGATGCTTTTAGCACTGTTCGGACGCAGATCCTAGCCATGAAGCCCATTCCCAGCTTAGGAGAGGCTTATCATTTAATTATGAATGAGGAGCAGTCTCGGCATATTTCCAACAGTCGTCGTCCTCGCCCGGATGCTGCTGTTTTCCAGGCGCAAGGGGAGCGCCGATCAGATAGGGTTTCGTCGCAGGGGGAGCGGGACGCCGATGGCAAGCCGGTTTGCAGCCACTGTCAGAAGCCCGGGCATTTCAGGGAGACATGCTACAAATTGATCGGGTATCCTCCACGCAAGGAAGGCGAGCAAAATGGGAAGAAGAAATCCGACCGAGCTTCCTGATCTGCTCCGCGTGCTGCTGCTGTTGAAGTCGAATCAGACTCTAGTCCAATACCAGGTCTCATGGCCGCCCAGCTCAGTCAACTCAAATCCTTTCTCAACACCGATTTGAGAGCCTCGACTCAAGCCTCCACGGATCCAGTCTCCAACATGGCCGGTACGTGTTCTGTTTCCTCTTCCTCGTGGGTTATAGATTCGGGATGTAATGAGCATATTGTTAATGACCATTCTTTGTTGGTTAATGCGCTGGAGTCACCCCCAGCTCTTCAGGTTCGGATTCCTAATGGAACAGGCGTTCCTGTTCATCGTATTGGTTCTGTCAAGTTGTCTAACGACTTATCTCTTCAGCGAGTATTGCATGTGCCGGATTTTCAATGCAATTTACTCTCGGTCAGTCGGCTCACAGCTGACCTTTCTGTGGCCTTGATTTTTATCAGTGACTTCTGCGTTGTTCAGGACTTACCATCCAGGAAGCTGATTGGGATGGGTAAGCACATGGATGGGCTGTATTATCTTCGGTTGTTTGATGAGCAGCATCCGGTGGCGCATACAGCTCGTCAGGCAGTGGATAAGACGGCCCTTTTGGCATGCTCTATTAGGACATCCCTCGATGGCTAAGTTGACGGTTTTGCAGAAGTACATCTCGACACCACTTCTTCAGCGGAGTTCACCTTGCCATTCTTGCATTCGAGCTAAACAAGCTTGTGATCCTTTTATGTCTAGCTCGATCACGACTTCCTCTTGTTTTGAACTCATACATTTGGATATTTGGGGCGGCTATCACGTTCCATCTTTTTCGGGTGCTCGTTATTTTTTGACGATAGTGGATGATTACAGCAGAGCAGTTTGGGTTTATTTGCTGCGGTTTAAATCCGACGTAGCTCGCACTTTATGATCCTTCTTTCATATGATACAACGACAGTTTGGTAAAGTTGTTCGGCGTATACAAGCCGATAATGGTCCTGAGTTTGCTACGACGGAGCTTCGTGATTACTATGAGCAAACTGGTATCATTTTACAAACCTCTTGCACAGATACTCCGCAGCAGAATGGAGTTGTCGAACGCAAGCATCGCCATCTCTTGGAAACCGCGCGTGCTTTACGGTTTCAGGCTAATCTTCCTCTCGATTTTTAGGGCGAATGTGTGCTCACTGCAGCTTATTTAATCAATCGTATGCCGCTGGTCACTACTGGGAATCGGTCACCTTTTCATGTTCTTTTCGGCAAAGATCCTTCTTATCATCACTTGAGAAGTTTTGGGTGTCTCGTGTATGCTCGAGATAATCGACGTGCCTTGGATAAATTTGCTGAACGAGGGCGAGCTTGTATTTTTGTTGGATACCCTAGCACTCAACGGGGTTATCGCGTCTTTGACCTCGAAGACAAGCGCATTTACACGTCTCGGGACGTGAAGTTTCTCGAAGCTGTATACCCCTATCATCTTCACGCGAATCCTTCTTCGACGTTCATGCATGCTCAGTCCACTCGGCCTTCTCCTGTTATCACAGAACCAGTTTGGGATGAGGATGTAATTCATGAATCTTCTTCAGCCGACCCCGTGCTTCCCATTTCTCCAGCACCGGACCCGCGTCCATCGTCTCCTCCTAGTTCACCAGCGGAGTGCATTTCCACTCCTGGTCTTTCGACCGAGAGTTCCCCATCCTCAGGTTCGGATGGCACTTCTTGTCCCTCACCCTTGTCGTCGTTGTCCACGTCGTCTGTTCCTGCTGCCTCGGTACCTATTGTTGAGCAGCACCTTCGACGCGGAGATCGACTACGCAAGCCTTCCGTCAAGCTACACGACTTTGTAGTTGATCTTCCTAATTTTTCTGGCAACAGTACAACAGCTTACCCCATTGAAGATTATTTGACTTATCAGCGTTTATCGCAGGCTCATCATGCTTTCGTAGCCGCGGTCACAAGTCATGATGAACCTCGATTTTTCCATCAGGCTGTTAGACAGGAACAATGGCGTGCAGCCATGGTTGTTGAGTATCGTGCCCTTGAGGCTAATGGCACGTGGGAACTTTGCTATTTACCTCCTGGGAAACGCGCCATTGCGTGTCGTTGGGTTTACAAAATCAAGTTCAATGCTGATGGTACCATTGAACGTTTCAAGGCGCGTCTTGTTGCTAAAGGCTTCACCCAGATAGAGGGCATCGATTATCATGATACCTTTGCCCCGGTTGCCAAATTAGTAACAGTGCGTTGCCTACTTGCTGTTGCTGTCAGTCGAGGGTGGATCATTCATCAACTCGACGTTAATAATACTTTTCTGCATGGCGATCTCGAGGAGGAAGTTTACATGACTATTCCTCAAGGGTTTGCTGCTCCTGGCGATACTCGTGTATGTCGTCTTCGTAAGTCGATCTATGGTCTTCGTCAGGCTTCACGTAACTGGTACCAGAAGTTTACACAAGCTTTGTTGGAGCTTAATTTTGTCCAGAGTCGAGCGGATCATGCTCTTTTCACTTACCGACGTGGCGCGATTTTCGTAGTGGCTCTCATCTACGTTGATGACGTTATCTTGACAGGTAACGATATGTCTTTCATTCAGTGTGTTAAGGATTTTCTCAATGATCGGTTTACTATCAAGGATCTTGGTGATCTGAAGTATTTCCTGGGTATTGAGGTTGCTCGCTCACCTCGCGGGATGGTTTTAAATCAACGAAAGTATATGCTTGACATACTTGCCGAGTCAGGCCTCACGGCTGCTCGTCCTAGTCCTACTCCTATTGAACAGAGTCATCATTTGGGTCATGATCCCTCAGCTCCTGCGGCGGACCCAGCTTCCTTTCGCAGGCATGTCGGTCGGTTACTCTATCTCATTGTTACCCGACCGGACATCACTTATGCAGTTAATATCCTCAGTCAGGCCGTTCAGTCACCGACTCAGGCACATGTTGATGCAGCTGCTCGCGTCCTGCGTTATCTCAAATCATGTCCGGGTCGTGGTCTTTTTCTTTCAGCTTCGCGTGACCTCACCCTCACGGCTTATTGTGATGCTGATTGGGCGGGGTGTCCCCTCACTCGCCGCTCCACCACTGGTTTTTTCATCACTTTGGGCTCCTCACCCATTTCCTGGCGTACTATAAAGCAGTCGGTTGTTGCTCGTTCCTCTGCTGAAGCCGAGTACCGTGCTATGGCTAACACGGTCAGTGAAGTCTTATGGCTTCGATGGCTCTTGTGTGATTTGGGGGTGCGTCACACTGCGCCCACACCTATTTATTGTGACAATCAGGCTGCACTTCATATTTCAGCAAATCCGGTATTCCATGAACGCACCAAGCACGTCGAGCTGGACTGTTATTTTGTTCGAGAACGTGTCCAGTCTGGTGATGTTCTTCCTCTCAAAATTGCTACTGCGGACCAGCCGGCGGATACCTTTACGAAGGGTCTTAGCGTGGATCAGTTTTCTCATCTACTGGTCAAGTTTGGACTTCTCGATATTCATTCCTTCGCTTGAGGGGGAGTGTTGTGATCTCTGCACTTATTATTAAGTATAGGGATCTTCTTGTAATTAGCCAGCTGACCCAAGTTTAGTGTTGTAGGGTTTGGCTCGGCCTGTACTTAAGGGGGAGAGTGCTTATGTTGATCCCCAACTAAAAAAAACCTAAAAAGATCAATAATAGATCAGCCGAGAACTCACGTTCTCCGTGGACTAGTCCCGTTCTCACCGAACGGGGAAACCACGTAAAACTCGTCTATTGTATTCTTTCGTTTCCGCACTTTCGATTTCTACAACTTTGTTTTTTTAAAGTACCTATTATGGCATCATCACATACATCGGACATCATCCTAATTTCCACCAAACACATCTTTAATGTTAACAACTTTTCTATGGTACATTTACCCTTAAGTGTTAATCTATCTATTCCAAACATAATCTATTGTATATGATTCTTTCCTCTTCAGAGGACAAAAAAATGTGTAAACCTATTCCAATTATGGAATCTTAAACACCCAAAAATGATAAAGAATCTAATAAGAATATTTTTTTTCTAAGCCCTCACCAAGTATAGACATTACATTGTACGAAGACTCACAGATATGTAATTAAGAAGAGAATCTAAACATCAAAACATAATACGTAGAATCTTTGAGCATGGATTTATAAGGACACAAGAGTTCCCTTACAGTGACAGCTACCTATATCACTCCTTTTACATGGAATCTATTTCTGAAGAAGATCATTTTTTTAACTAAATAAGAAAATGGTTACAGACTTACAGCAAAGCAAATCTTCTATTGCTGCCAACAAACAACACATCAAAATGGTAAACAGATCCGACGCCGAAATTCCATTCCCCAAATCCAATATATTTTATTCCTGAACCAACCCACGACTATATATACTTTCACAACATTGGTTCCCTAATCTTCTCATGTATCCCACCAATCTATAGTTCCTTGCCTTTGCATGTACATTTTTTCACCGTTAATTTCAGCGTTTATTTATTCATCATTTTATTTCACAATTGCAAATAACAAATGGCTCTTGTCATGCCATCGCTTCTGCTACTAGTTATGTTCGTAGTAGTAGTATCCGTAATGTTTGCTCCTACAGGGACCTCCACTTCTAGCCAGGGCTTCCGGGTCACACTCAAGAGAGCGGACTCGGGCCAGAACTTGACCCGGCTCGACCGCCTCCGCCGCGGACTCGACCGCGACAACGCCAGGCTCCGAAACCTGCCTGAAGCCGCCGGTGACGTCAGCACACCGGTCGTGTTCGACCAGTACGAGTTCCTCTTCGACCTAGCCATCGGCACACCTCCGGTCACTTTCTCGGCGATCCTGGACACCGGCAGCGACCTCATATGGACCCAGTGCGCCCCCTGCGTCAACTGCTACCCTCAGAACACACCGATTTTCGACCCGGCTCGGTCCTCGTCCTTCTCCAAGCTCCCTTGCTCCAACCGCTTCTGCTCCTTTTTCGCCAACCCCTGCGGAAACGACGGCGCATGCAACTACGTGTACCCCTACTTCGACGAATCCGTCACCAAGGGCGTCCTGGCGACCGAAACGCTGTCGTTTGGAGGACCGGGTGGCGGGAAGCTTCCGGGGATCGCGTTCGGGTGCGGGCGGGACAATACTGGGGACTTGAACCTGGGAGGTGGGCTCGTGGGCCTGGGCCGAGGCCCATTGTCACTCGTCTCGCAACTCAAGGAGCCCAGATTCGCGTACTGCTTGCCTTCAGTCGACATCCCCAACGCCAGGGGTACGCTCACGCTGGGATCTCTGGCAGGGCTGGGAAACGGCGCCGCACTGGCGAAAACGACGAGATTGATCAGGAACCTTCAGAAGCCGACGTTCTACTACCTTGCGTTCCAAGGAATCTCGGTCGGTGGGACCCGGCTGCCCATCGATCCGTCGATCTTCGCCATCCAGGTGGACGGCAGCGGAGGGCTGGTAATCGATTCGGGGACTACGTACATGCGGCTGAGGCAGCCGGCTTTCAACGTGGTGAAGGAGGCGTTCAAGGCGCGGGTCGGGCTGCCGGCTGACGAGTCGCGGTCGACGGGGCTGAGCCTGTGCTTCGTGACGGAGGGGAACTCGGCGATCAGGGTGCCGAGCCTGGTGCTGCATTTTGAAGGGGCGGACGTGGAGCTTCCGAAGGAGAATTACATGGTTGAGATTCCAGGAAGGGCGTGCCTGGGGATACTGGGGAATACTCGTTGTCGATTCTGGGGAATGTTCAGCAGCAGAATTTCGTGGTGCTTCATGACCTTGTGGAGGGGACGGTGTCGTTTCTGCCGAGCAAGTGTCGTTGATTGGATTAGGTTGCTGCTGCGGTGGGCATGGAGTGGGATCGTTGGTAGAGTATGATTGAGGAGACGACTGCAGATTCAATTGGTTTAATAAGTTTGTTTTCTACATAAATAAGTAGTAGGGGGGAAACTGGAAAGGGATGGTTCTGGGTAGGGATGGCAAATTACCCACCCATGGATAATTATACCCAAACCCAAGTAGACCTATTGATAATGGGTTGGGTATGGGTGAAGTGCATATGGATTTGGGGGTTTAGAGATGGGTTTGGGTTTGGGGCTTCTATAATCTAAATGGGTATGGGTTGGATATGGATATCCATTTACTTGAGGGTGTTTTAACTACACATGCAAAAATTGGACCTATTTGTAAAATTTGAAAAGTTTAGGTACCAAAATGTAAGACCAAAACGTAATTTTCCATCGATATTTTGAGGACTTATATGCAAAAAAAATTAAATTTAGGTACTAATTATGCATATCTATTAAGTTTGGGTACCAACTGTAATTTGTATTTGGGCATGGGTACAAACCCAAATCCATTTTATATAAACCCAACTCAACCCAAAGTAAATGGGTATGGGTACAAACCCATCAAACTCTACCCATATCCATCTATTTAGATTTCATACCCAACCCAATTGGGTTGGATAGTAAGAAACCCATGGACATGGGCAAAGTTGTCATCCCTAGTTGTGGGCGGATGATGGGGTTACAGTTACATGATTAGTTACCGTTGTGTACGTACGTAAATGTGTTGAATACTTCGGTGTGTGATGATTCAAGGCTGGCTATATATCCATTTCTTCTATTCGAGTCTTGTAATTAAGTTTGTTTATTTCATGTTATCATGTTATTCAAAAATAAACTCACAAGTTGGACAATAGATTCATATTTACATGATCTTTTGTGCAAAAGTTTGATGGTGGCTCGGAATTTGAAAGGCAAAATACACTTTCGTAGCCATAACTTTTCGCGTTGTGACAATAATAGCCAAATTTTTGAAAAATACACTGATATAATCATTCCGCCAAAAACTTTAACGGACCAAATGCAGATGCTGACTGGACTAACTGTTAGCACGTTGACTTATGACGTGTCAATTGACTTTTTTTTGCCACGTCTACTTAAAAAAATTGAATTTTGCACATATAATTAACTAAAAGGAATATTTCACAAGAAAATAACAAATCATCAAAAAAGACTAATATCATTGCTTTCCCCTCTCTCTGCTCCAAACAGAGAACCAAGATCTAATCCCTAACTTATTTCTTTCTCCCCACGAATAACAAAAATCTAATCCCTAGTTTCCTTGCTTCCAAGAGCGAGTTCCTCTTCCCCTACTTCATCATACTATCCTTTACTCTTCTCTTCCGGCAGCAAAGGCGAAGAGGGCGGTGGACAGAGGACGAGGGGATTCTTCACTATTCTTCTTCGCACTGGCAAGGCTTTCAGAGGTGGATAGCGAGATCCGCACCAAATTTCAAGTTATCACCGCTTTCGCGTCAAGTGCGGCTCCATTGAGGAACGCTCGCCTCGCCTCCCACAAATCCATTTTCGCCCGCACTAAAATATGACGTGGCATCTACATGGTATGACGAATCTAGTTAGAGATGATGTGTCGTTTAGGTGGCATCCACATTAGCTTAAAATCTACTTAACTGATAGAGTTGCTCACGACATTAAAAGTTTGTAACGGAAATGACTAAAATTGTCAAACAAGTTTCAAAAAGTGGCTATATCTGTGTTTTTATCAAAATTGGGCTATTATTGTCACAACTCGAAAAATTATGGCTATGAAAGTGTATTTTGCCAATTTGAAATTTGGAATCATTGAATGATTATGCGGATTGTGATAAGAAAATCAAACTGTATTCTTCTTGCAACACATGAATTGCACAGACTGTATGTTGCACTTTGTATGTTTTTATTTTTGTTTTGCTTTTATGGTTGCAAGGGGGGTTCTACAGTACCCAAGGTGAAATTCGGGGTACCGCATACTTTGAATAAGAAAACGCTATCCAAAACTTGAATTAACTGATCTTTCGGACATGATACTATACCCTAACCCTTAAAAATCAAAATCTAGGTATTAATTCTCTAAATCTTACACCCCAAGATCAATTTAATTAGAAACAATAATCGACGGTTATGATTCGTTCAAATATAGGCAAAAAATCAATGCATCATCTTAGTGTTTATTGTTTATGATTTAGATAATTAGTACCTACGGTTCACTCATTAAGGGTTAGGGTATAGTATCATGCCCAAAAATCCTGCTAATTCGAAGCCTAGATAGCATTTTTATACTCAAGGTATGTGGTACCCCGAATTTCATCCGGGGTAGAAGGCACCTTGGTTGCGATAGTATATTTTGTTGTAGATTTTATTTGGCTTAATAGCATATATTATGCCTCCCTACTTTTGTAAGTTAATTAAACGTATCATCTAATATTATATGATTGCACATTTGCACTTTCATATCCTTTAATTATGATAACACAATTCTACCATTCCGTCAAATTTTCCGTTAACTAACAGTTATGTGAGAGGTCAAATGTCTAATTTACTCCTCCTCACCCACTTAGTCACTTACTCAATTTAACGTATTTAATTTTCCTGAATTTTCCCGTTTATATATATTTTTTTTCAATTTACTCCCGAATGACAACATCTCTCAACTCTTCGCAACCATAAAAAAAACTCTCCGCCATTAGCCATTATCTCCGCCACTGCAAATCCCGGCTTGCCGTCACCTACACTAGCATTAACCCACTCATCCAAATTAGTCTTTCTAGGGGGGCTTCGTTTTTGAGATGAATTATGCGAGTTTGAAGCAAGCAATCAAAGAGCAATACAAGTGCTGCTAAGCTCCAAATTGCGAGTTGTCGATAACCTATTTCAAAGCAAATCACTCACCCACCGCATCAAGACAACTAAATCTCATAGCCTTCATTTAATGACAACGGATATGTCAATTCTGGCACATACAATAATAGAAGAACAATACCTCGGGAAGTGGTCTTGATGAACAATGAAGGATCATTGAGACTTTGAAAGAACCCAAGACCAACCAGAGTGCCTTGAAATTTCCCGAACCAAGCCCTGGGGCCTGTTTCAATCCATACAGGGATCTACGGAGTCTGCATACCTGTCCTGGCCTTCCAACATTGTATCTTGGAGATTTTTCCATGTAAATCAACTCATCCAGGTCACCGTGCAGGAAGGCGTTCTTCACATCAAGCTGGGACAGTGACCAATTTTTCATAAAAGCAACAACCAGCAGAGTGCGAACAGTTGACATACGTGCTACATGAGCAAAAGTCTCATTATAATCTACCCTGTGCTCCTGAGTATAACCCAAAGCAACCATTCTAGCTCTGAAACGTTCAACAGCCCCATCTGGATTCATCTTAATCGTGTAAACCCAATGGCTGCCAACAGTAGGAGTGTCTGGAGTAGGTCGGTCAACAACGTCCCAAGTGTGATTTGCATGGAGTGCATCAAATTCACTCCCCATTGCTGCCTCCCACCACGGATCGCCTTGAGCATCCTTGTACCGAGTGGGAGCAACTAAAGTATCAACTCCTAACTCCATATAATCATCAAAGCGTGGCGGTGGAACTCCATTGGTGGAGCGAAGAAACTGCCGAAGCTGCTGGACAGGAGATGGAGAGGAAATGCCACTAGAGGCCGACCCATGGGAACTGGACGAGTGGCCTGAAGATGCCGTAGATGAAGTGGCTTGTGATGTACTGGGGGAGTCCATATCGTCAGGGGGAATATCAGGAAAAAGGTCTTCAGCAGTTGGATCATCATCAAGGAACATAGGAAGTTTACTAGACAAAGGAAATATAGACTCGGAAGAGGACACAAGATCAAAAGGCTCATGTGCTAAAAAAAATACGACAATGCTTGCTATGCGAATACGATGAGCTACGAGATCAAAACATAGATAATCTTTGTGAACATCGCTATAACCCATAAATGCGTACTTCGCAGTTCTGGATGTCAACTTTGTACGTTCTCGTTTTGGAAGAAGCACAAAGCATAAACATCCAAACACACGAAGACGGAATTACGGAAATAGTCAGGATGACGGGTAAACAGCTTAAAGAAAGGACTCGCATTACCAAGCATAGGAGTAATTTGATAATTGATCAGATGAACTGTTGTGACAACAGCCTCAGGCCAGAACTTAGATGGGACATAGGAAGCTAACAATAATGCTCTAGTCAGCTCAACCACATGTTGATTCTTCCGCTCGACTAGACCATTTTGCTGAGAAATACCGGGACACGATTTTTGACTAAAAATACCACGGGATAGATACACTTATCGAAGAGGAAAAGAACTAAATTCTCCCCCAGGATCAGAACGAATGATTTTTACTGGTTTGCCAAACTGAATTTGAACCATGTTCAGGAATTCAATTGCAACATCTCGCAGATCTGATTTTAAACGAAGGAGATATATCCAGGTATATCGAGTTGCGTGATCTATAAAAAGAGCAAAATAACGAAATCCATGGCGAGAGACAGTGGGGGCAGGTCCCCAAAGGTCAGTATGAATCATATGAAAAGGTTCCTGAATAATAGAAGTACTAGGAGGATAAGATATACTGGCAGTTTTAGCTTTAACACAACTAGTACAGGAATATGAATCATGCATAGTAACACTGGTTTTTTTTTACCCGGTAAAGACTTCTCGGGCTAAGCGGGCCGCGCCGGCATCTGCGCCGGTGCTTCTTCTTTCATTGATCAGTTCGGTGTCTTGGGTGTTTGACTTCGATGAGTGCGATTCCATCTGGGGGAGCTGCTTCATCATCTGATTCGGGGGTTCCTTTGAAACCCTGGGCAGATCTATTTGGTATCTCGGAGGCTAATCGGCTTAGCTATATGAAGCCTGAGGTGTATAAGGGGGGGCTTCGGATGCCAAAGGAAGTGAGTGAGGAGGGATCTGCTCGATGGAAGTTCAGTCTGGTTGGGCAATTTCTTCATCCTTTTCCTGCGCTTTCGGAGCTTCGTCGATGGGCGAATCGGATGTGGGGAAGGGATGGACCAGTGCGTGTGTCTCTTCTTGGAGAGAAGCTGTTGATTATCCAGCTCCCGTCGCAGGCTACTTGTGATTGGATTCTGGAGAGTGGCCCATGGTTCTACATGGACAATCTGTTGTATCTTCGCCCGTGGAAGCCTGGAATTGATGTTGAGGATCTGGGACGCAAAGCTCTACCAATCTGGGTTAGATTCTCGAATCTTCCCCTGGAGTATGTGAACTATCGTGGGCTGAGTAAGACTGCGAGTTGGCTAGGTATTCCATTGGGTGTGGATCAAACGACTAGGGTGGGAGGACGATTGGGGTTTGCAAAAATTCTGGTTGAATTACGCGCAGATGGTGAGTTCCTTGATCATATACTGATTTGGCCTACTGATGATTTCTCGATCAGGGTGGGGGTAACATATAGTCATTTGCCTCCAGTTTGTAAGATGTGCAAGACATTTGGACTTGATTGTGGCTGTTTAAGGGAGGGTAAAGTATGGGTTCCGAAGGTTGTGGATTCTGATATGGTAGAGGAAATCATTCCGATGAAGAGTAATGCTAAAGGGAAGGAAGTTGTTGTGGAGACTCCTGAAAATGTAAACTGTTGGGTTAATGAAGTGGTGATTGGATCCAATAGGGTTGAAGTTCCTTCAGGGAGTGCAATGAATTGTATACAGGGGGTTAATCTTGAGGAATCATTCAAACAGGTATCTGAAAGTATATCACCGAGGCTGCCTTCTGACTTGGAGTTTCAGAAAGTGGTTCATGGGGCTAAGCCAAGATGGTCACCATTACCTAGTCCTACAAGTGTTCTTTCTACTTCTCAATCGTTTGCTGCTTTGGAAGGGTTACATGAAGATAAGGTAGTTCAACTCCAGGGGCTCCAAAAAAAGGTGGGAAGAAATCAGGGCCTAATCAGCCCTCCTCTCCCCCATGATTCTCCTGTTCTGGAATGTTAGAGGGTTTACCAAACCCTCTAAAAGGAAGGACCTGACTAGGGTTCTCCTTAGGTATAAAGTAGAAGTGGTTGCTGTTATTGAGACAAGAGTTAGAAAAGCAAAAGCTGAGGAAGTTGTAGAGGGTTTTTGCCAGGGCTGGAAGAGACATCTTAATTATATTGATTCTGAGCTTGGAAGAGTATGGCTTTTTTGGGATCCAGAAGTGGTTGATGTAAGGGTTTTGCTCACAGGGAAACATTTTGTGCACTGTATTGCTCGATCTGTTAGTGGGGAATCATTGTTTTTCACGGCAGTCTATGGCTCCAATGATGAACTGGAAAGGAGACAAACTTATCAAGAATTATCTTCAACAAAGATCAGTGGTGCTCGATGGATAGTGAGTGGAGACTTTAATGCGGTTTTGGCCCCTGAGGAAACCTCTAACCTAAGTGTTCGAACCAGTTGTATGGATGATTTCTCCAATTGGGTAGCTGCAATGGACTTAGTTGATCACAGAATGGTGGGGCCTCAATTCACATGGTCAAATAAGCAGGTTAATAATCCGATAGCAAGGAAGTTAGATAGAGCATTGGTTAATGAAGATTGGTTTGATGCATTCCCTGAGTGTAGAGTGGATTTACTTACTGCTCCATTTACTGATCATTGTGGTGTGTTAATATCATCTCAGTCAGGTCAGAAAACACTTCCTAAACCTTTTAAATTCTTTGAATTTTGGGCTGAGGACCCTCAATTCCTTCCTCTTGTTCAAGAAGCTTGGGGGTTGGATGCTCAGGGACCCCCTATTATGAAGGTAAAGGCTAAACTGAATGAAGTGAAGAGGGTCTTAAAGAAGTTCAATAAAGAAGTTTATGGGGACCTAAGTGGTCAAGTAAGGAAGTTGGAGGCTCAACTTAATTTGGTGCAAATTAATGCATTGAATGAACCAGGGGAACTAGTATTTCAGGAGGTTGCAACTATGGAAACTAAACTAGGGGAATTGAAGAAGGCAGAAGAAAGCATGTATAAGCAAAAATCAAGAGTTGACTGGCTTGCTCTAGGTGAATGTAGTACAAATTACTTTAAATTTGCAGTGAAAGTTCGAAATGCTAAGAAAGCAATCAGGAAATTGGTGGCTGAGTCTGGTGAGGAGTTGCTTGACAGTGAGATGATTGCAAATGAGGCTGTGCAGTTTTACTCTTCTTCTTTTGGCAAAGTGGACTCTCTAGTGCATCCAAATAGAGAGAAACTGGAGGGTTTAGTTCAAAAGAGATTATCTGACGATGAGAGGCGCTTTCTTTGTCTTTCATTTACCCCTGCTGATGTGTGGAATGTGGTTAAAAACATGGATCCTCATAAGGCCCCGGGCCCAGATGGTTTCTCTGCGGGGTTTTATAGGAGATCCTGGTCTATCATTGGAGGAGATGTCACAAATGCAGTGCTGGACTTCTTTCAATCAGGGCGCCTCCCAGGTAGTGTTAACTCTGCTGCCATATCTCTACTACCAAAAATCCCTTCAGCATGTGCTCTTAAGGATTTTAGACCCATTTCCTGCATTAATCTTCTTTATAAGATCATTGCAAAGTTGCTTGCTTCTCGTTTGAAGAAGGTCTTACCCTCAGTAATCAGTGGCAATCAGTCTGCTTTTATAGAGGGTAGAAAAATTATTGATAACATTCTTATGGCCCAAGAATTAGTTAGTGGTTACCATAAAAAGCAGTTGTCATCAAGGTGTGCTATAAAAGTAGATTTGATGAAAGCGTTTGATTCTGTTAGTTGGGAATATCTTTTCTTGATGTTGTCTGTCATGGGCTTCCCCAATCAATTCATTAGATGGATATCATTGTGTGTCAAAACTGCTCGATTTAGTATATCTGTGAATGGGGGTTTGTGTGGTTACTTTGGGGCTAAACGAGGGGTTAGACAAGGGGATCCTTTATCCCCTTATCTCTTCACCATTGCCATGGAGGGCCTGACAGTTGCTCTTAATGCTGCGGCTCATTCTGGTCTTGTTCCTTATCACCCTCAATGTAAAAGAGTCCAGTTAACACATCTTTGCTTCGCTGATGATCTCCTAATTTTTACTGAGGGATCAGGGGGTGCTATTGCTAAGATTCAGAATCTGCTCCATGATTTTTATGGTATGTCTGGGCTGCAATGTAATCCTCGAAAGTGTGAGGTATATTTTGGGGGTTGTTCAGTTGATTTTAAGAAGCAAGCTTTGGAGGTTTCTGGTTTTCAGGAGGGTAACCTCCCTGTTCGTTATTTAGGGCTTCCACTCATCTCTGGAAAGCTCTCATCTGCTGAATGTAAAAAGTTGGTGGAAAAAATTACTCAGAAAATTAAAAGTTGGAGGGTCAAAAAGCTTAGCTATGCTGGTCGTTTACAGCTCATATCTTCTGTGTTCATGGGAGTGATCCAGTACTGGATGCAAGTGTTCTTTCTTCCCAAGAAAGTTCTTAAACAGGTTCATAAAGTGTGTTCAAATTTTTTATGGCATGGTGGGGATGAGGGGAAGGCTAAGATTAGCTGGGACAGACTGGCAAGGCCAAGACTGGAAGGAGGTGTGGGACTTAAAGAGCTGTTTTCATGGAATCAAGCTTGTACCACTTGAATGATTTGGATTCTGCTCATGCAGAGTGGGACCATTTGGGTGGCTTGGATTTTGAATTATCGGATTAAAGCAGGTAGCATTTGGACCATTAGGCCATCTTCTGGTAGTTCGTGGACTTGGAAACGTATTCTGAAAGTAAGAACAGAGGTTCAAAATCATTTCTCAGGTCAGGGGAGCTCATTGTGTTGGGATGGCTCACCTATGCAGAGGTACTCAATTGGAAGGGTTTGGGAATCTATTAGAGTGAAATGGCCCAAGGTGAATTGGCACAAACTGATCTGGGGTAAAGGTTTTATTCCTGGTCCCAGTTTCTTAGCTTGGTTGGTTCTCCAGGATAGTATTATTACAAAGGATAAGCTGATAAAATGGGACAAGCAGATTGACAGTTTGTGTGTTTTATGTTGCAATAAGCCTGAATCAAGAGAACACCTATTCTTTGATTGTTATTTCTCAAGGGAGGTATTAAGATTGGTACATTGTGAGAACTGGTTTTGCAGGGGTGACTGGCCTGGAACTTTATCAGCAGCATGTATGCTGAGTCACAAGAGCACAGCAGCAGGGAGACAGGTGGGGAAGATATGGTGTTTGTGCACTGCTATGATCTGGAAAGAAAGGTGCAAGAGGTTGCATGGGGAGAAAAGCTGCAGTGCTGATCTTCTGGGCAGGATGGTTTTGCAGGA